TTTCAATTGTACCGATTTAATGGTGTTGAGGAATCGTGCGTTTGACGGACGACGTTTATCTCTAATCAAAAGAAATTTATAAAGAGGAGACTAGGAGAAATATATTTTAATAATATTAACTGAAAATACATGTTCAAATACTGTGTTCAAGTACCAAGACGTTCGTTTTCAACCAACAATTTTTGACTAATGTGCGATGATACTAAAAAACACAGATCCTTCATTAACAACATCATTATTTGATATATTGTCCTGAAACATAAAACCAATTCTTATGATTTAATGGACGTTCACGAGAATTTGATGAAAATAGGGAAAAATGAGAATTTATCGTCACAGTTTCAGAGTGCAACTTTCTTTCAAGTATCAAGGGCCATCTGAACAGATGTTAAAATATCCAGTCGTTTTTAACACGAATTTTTAGTGTTGATTCAGTAACTTCCACTTTCTTTCCTATTGCTGTTTTACGTTATTCATTACGTTATTCAGATTAGCAACTGGATATAACCACAAGCAATTTAAAGTTTTTCTATACTTGTTTAAAGCGAAGGTCTTTTTTTAGGTGGTTAGGTGAACTAAACGAGCCAAATAATCGTGTTAGCGATCGAGGCTATTTTGTTGGTAAATTTTGTGGCGCTTCTTCCCGTCTTTCAATGGCGTGTACCAGTCCAGTGTAAAGGTTTTTGGTTGATAACACCCAGTAAAATATTCTTTTTCGTACGAGAATAAATATATCTTGTAGAGTATTATTGTGCTTTGCCAACATCTTTCAAAAAAAAAATTCGTTGTAAGGTAATTTTGGGTATCCAGCTGGTCTTTCGGAAGCTTGTTGAACTTAAAAACATTATTTCCGCCTTTGAAACCATATTATTGTTGACGCATAATGTACTTCCAGGCGTACAATTATTTCACCAACACATATGAACAAATATTAATAACTTTCGGTCCTGTGGTCTTACTAACAAATTAGTTTTAAATCAAACGAATAGTCATATTTGTTCCATTGTATTTCGGTTATAAGTTGTTCTTGAGTGTTTTCAAGGGTTGCATGATTTTTTAAGTGTAATTTTGATATTACGATCAGAGAATTTAACGGAATAAGCTCTTAAGCTATTGAAACCTCAGCTTCCTCAAAACGGATTTTCATTCAAGATTATAATGTTCTTTCTGGACCTAAATGCAACAAAATTTGGGTATTAATTTCTCCGACTTGGATGATGTGGCACACATCAAATATTTTGAGGGTGTACGACTAGTTAGGAAATATAGGGCAATAATATAGTTTTTTTTTTTGTAAAATGAGGAAAATAGAAAAAATAAATAAAAACAAATATTCAATACATTTTTTATAGTATTCTTGTGTCTATTACATTAAAATACAAGGTTGACACCGTGAAATTGGAGATGCATTGGGACTCTCATGATCCGCGCAAAGCGACAAAAACATCCCGAATATTCAAAATGGATTCAAACCTTCGAAATTTTCGATCAAATGTGTCTAGTGCGTTTGTTGGGTTTTATTGACATTGTCTAATTTTCATATCATTAAAAATTTATCTCATTTTTATAGCGCGATGATATAAATTGTTATAGTATGTTGTAATCGTTTCAACTGCGAAACGATAATTGTTCTTTTAATCGTGATGTAAGTAATTATATCTTACACGCAACATACTTCTTTCGAAATATAGTATCAATAATGTAAGTGTGACTCTATTTGATATGTTGAATTATTCATGGCGGATTGCAAAATGTATTGCAAGTCATGATCCCTCGTAAAACATTGAGCTTGTAAACTATAAGAGTGACACATTTTCACTTCTATGAAAGTAAATTAAAAAAATTGTATTGGATTGTATTGTTTATCACGCGCTTCTTTATTTTCTTCGAGTATATCCGTAATTTGTGGCTTTTTATTTCGAAAATGCTTTTCTGTCTTATTATGTCTATTTTCTGACGATGTTTATCTCCGCTATCGATTGTTCATAATGAAAAGTACGAATCCAGCGCAGAAATGGTGTTAGTTTCACGTCCATACTGACCGGAAGTAGTGTATCCCTCTGAATGCAAAACGGGGGCAGTTATAACAAAAAATCGAAACTTGCGAGCTTCGTTTTCTACTTGCACATGATAAGCATGTGCTTTTTCATCTACAATGTGGAAGGCGTGAGCTCTGTTTGTACAAAGAGAAACACCTCTTAAATAGTACTGCCGCCATTTTTGTTTTCACTACGAAACCAGACAATGACGGAATCATGGCAACAGCGAGTGTTCTTTCCGTGAGCTGAGAAATTATGTTTTTAATGTAGATTATCAACAGCTTCCATACATTAATTGAGCCGTATTCATTATTCGTACACTTGATATGACAAAAATAATTAGTCTACTTCTTTCTTGACAAATGTATTGTGAATAAATCTGTTAATAAAATTTATCGTGTGAATTTCGAAACGCAAATAATTCATATTCTTGTGCGTCTTTATAAATTTGAAATGTTGGTTAATATTAAAGATACATAACATATATTCTGTAATAATATTTAAAAGTATTCTGTGTATTTTTATACATAATAAAGTAAATTAATTTGCGATAAGCTTCTCTGAGTTTTGCCACGTGCAAGTTGCCAACTCGTTGAGATTTCATCTCTTTAAAGGAATTATTATTGTATTAATCCATTGTTATTGCGCATTGTATTGTTTTTCACCTGAATTAGCAATTCAGCAATCTTGGGGATGAAATAAACATATCATATTAACATATAACCTGATTGTGGTAAAATATAGTATAATCCGATTATAAAGTAGATTTCACGCTCAATTTGATTATTACAGTGTTTTTCGTGATATAGAGATTCAAAAAGTTTTGATACTTTAGACGTGCTGTGAACAATTGATATTGAAATTTAACAAGAATAGACTTGGAACAAGAATATGGGTTTCGGGTATTTGGGATTGAAAATAGAGTACTCTTCCTACTTTCTAACACCAAAAATATACGGTCTAATATTCTTGCTCTTTTACTCTGATATAGTCTGCCGATCCACACTGCTGCGGAAGACAATTATATGTAATATTAAACATACGTTTGACGCTAAATGTAAAAAAGCAAATGTTGAATATAAGTTATATATTGAATTCTATTCAAGTCACCAGATTTTTATAAATTGTCTATATATTTATTAATATTCAACTCGAAATATATTTCAAAAGCGCTTGGCTTCTTGAACCCTTGATAACTGACAACTATCGTCTCTAACAATGTTCTCAAGTAGCAATAAACCGCACGAAGTGGCAATACAAACTTTTAATATATTGCCCCTTTATCCCTAATGACCAATGGATTCATAAATGTTGCAGATATGATAATGATATCACAGATGTAAATACAAGAATCAAGTATGTGGAATCGCCTCATTGACTGGTGAAGAATACTCAGCCAACTCAATTCATATTGAATATGGTGGAAGCATTCCTTTCAAGTAGCGAATTAAGTGAGAAACCCTAGATGGGAGAAAATATTAATATTTGTTCATACGAATAGAAATAATAACAAAACAACGATATCTCTTGAAGGGAAGTATGCAAAAACAATATCAAAGAACGACACGTGATGTTTAAGTGAGCCGATGGGTTTTGCGGTGTGAAAAATGGGTGGAAGTTACAAGTTTAGATGACAACTTTCATAACTATACCTATATCATGATAGTTTAATTTGCAAATTCATCTTATGAGATTTAAATAGTCGTAGTTAGTCTTTTGTTCATGTTTCACTTGTCAGAATAGAGTACAATTTATCACACGTTTACATGTAATACGTCAGATTCCCAGACTTTTGAAACCCCCTTTTTCAAAGTTTTTGTCTAAAAGCTATAACTTTTTCACATTTACATGCTAATATGTGCGTTAACAGAAGTACCCTGATGTATACTTTTATAAAACTCAAATTGGCATGCACGCCGTTGACCATACGATTGCGTGTGGAAATGTGAAAAAAATTCGTCTTAAATTTAACTGAAAAGCTAAATTAGAATAACCATAGCTGAAAGATTATCGAAATAAGTTTCAGAAATATGTGAATAGGAAACGAATGTTGAAGACATGACAAGAAACGGATTATCTCTTCAGTCAGTGATCTCATAAAAATTACAACATTCTTTATCTCTATTTTGTTTTGCTAGTTAATGGAATTTTATGCCATTACGTTAAAAGATTTTACGGTTGTTGCTTTTCAATTGCATCAAAATTTTATTATTGTTTCTTCGTGGAATTATAAAAAGAAAATAGTATTACTGACATGATATAAAATCATAGAAACATTGGGGATTTAATGTTGTTTGTATAAAATGTTAGATGATTTCATGCTCTGTGCTTCTCTTCAACAAAACTCATATTTACTTATAATATTAAATGTATATGGTGAGTATTTTAGGTTTGTCATTGTAAAGTCAATATATCATACATCCAACTACATTTTCAATTCATTAACATAATCGTTTCAAACTTAGTTTTGGCAACATAATTAATTGTAAACTTGTTATGGCGATTTTTTCTCACTTCGCGTTGTCGGAGTGATGACATTACTGGACTAGTTAAATTAAATTTTACACTTGAAACGATGTGTTCGCGTATTTTCGGCACTTCTTGTTTTGTTTTTTCTACTGATTGAATAGCAAGTATCTATATATCAGCGGGTTGAATCAGTATTAGATAAATCCATATCTGAGAAAGTAATTATTAGATTCGAAATTCATGAAATGTCACTTATGCTACGCTTTTTGAACTTATGTTAAAGTGTTTTCAAATTTCAGATATTGGAGAGAATTCCATCTTTTTTTTATTATAGCTGAGGATTAAGAGAAAAAGAGAGAAAGAAAACGAGATTCGAGAGAAAAATGGATAAGAGAGAAAATTAGCTTTATCGTTCCATTAGATGAGTATATAAATATAAAAAGTCGGTCTTTCCGATACCCAAACCCAATCGAGTATTTTAGATTGAGGAAATTTAAATTAGTTTGTTTGATTCAGTATAGATTTGAAAATTTAATTATATAATAAAATGCAATCTACTTTCCAACGACACGGATTTACTAATAACCCTTCTTTGATGCTACGAAATGATAAGTTTCCAAGAACTCCAAAATGTGCTCGTTGTCGCAACCATGGTGTTGTAAGCGCATTGAAGGGCCATAAAAGATACTGCAGATGGAAGGATTGTCTTTGTGCCAAATGTACCTTGATTGCTGAAAGACAAAGAGTCATGGCGGCACAGGTAAAAATAAATAGTCTTGTGATACAAAATATATATATTTCAAGATACTTCCTAGATGTTATTTAGCTTTAGAAAGTCGAGACAAATATGTGAAATTAATAACTAAGATGAGTTTGATATAATTTCTTACTCTATGTAGTTAATCATATACTGTATAATTTCCAGCAACAGATTGTTTGCTATTGAATAATAAACTACTATAATTTTGACAACCTCGATTGGAAACTGTTATTTAGCTTATAAAACAGATCACTTTCTTCGATGAGCGTCGTTTATTTGTCCGAAGTAACAAATGTAAAATGGTGTTCATTGACTATATCAACTTCTTTTTATAGGTCGCACTTCGACGACAACAAGCCCAAGAAGAAAACGAAGCACGAGAGCTACAATTGCTTTACGGCGTCACTGGATTAAATTCTAGCAGTATGACAAGAGACCATGAAAGAGAGATCCCAAAAAGGCCTCGACTTGATTCTTACCCTTCGGGGTCAGAAGACACGGAACCAGGGACAATTTCTCCCGAAAATCATAAAAGAATGAAGTTTACGGATGTGGAGTCTAGTAATGTAGAAATATCAAAAAATTTCGGCAATAAGTTAGAAAACGAGGAAACAGAAAAGACATCGAAAATGGCCGTGCTTTTACGACTTTTCCCAAACATTGATGCAAATGTTCTTGACTCTAAATTGGAGGAGTTGGATGGAGATATAGCAAAAGTTATAGAAAAGGTTGGTAACATTTTGCTGAAGTAACCTATTTATCGAACTAATTAAGAATATATTAGTTTACTATGTTTTATTATATTTTGTATTCAGATTCTTAACGAAAAAGATTCGAGTACAAGTGAAGATTCTGTGGATAATCGTATTGATAAAAATCAAAACAGTATCAATCTGAAAAACGAACAAAAGCCAATAACAGTAGAAATGACTCCTCGAGAAAAAGTCAACAATTATATTTCAAGAAACTTTCAAAACATAGGTAAATTTCAACCTACTGGTACTGGTAATACACTTAGAGTGGGTTCAATATGGCTAAATATGTCAAGTAACAATTTTTAAGTAACAATATCAAAAGTGGAAAAAAACGAGTGAAAGTCAAAAAATATATTTCTCTTTTTTCAGGCAATTTTGAGAACATGCTATCACCACCGGTCGATCCTGCCTTGGAAATATATCCAAGACAATTTCAAATTGAACCATCAAGACAGCCGATACATGGCCATGAATTCTACAAGTCTATGATTCATCGATTGTCACAAAGCGGGATGTTGAATCCATTTATGAATTTCCATCATCAGTCATCAATTCCGCCATATTTTATGCAAAACTTTCCAACTCCAATAAGAAGGGATACCAGCTTTTTAAAAGTCATGCGAAGAGTTCAGAGTGAAAACAATAACCCGTGTAGCGACTCAGCAACTGCGAATGAACATTTGTCGGAATGATTCAAATGTAATTGAGCCATTTCGTATATTCCATATTTTGTAAGGCAATGAAGACTATTAGTTTGAGGGATAATATCACTCTTTTCTTCTGAAAATGTTTTTTTGTCTTCGTGCTTTCACTAATCTTAAATTTGAAACTGACATCCGCATTAAATTGTGATGAATTTTACGATGTTTTATTCATTTTTTATTTCAATTATGCCTCACTCGAATTCAATTCTTAATTGCAACTTTATTTGTTCACTTGATAAAAGTAATATTCGAAAACAATATGAAAGATATACAAGTTTTTTGTTAAATGTTTCTTCTATTCTCTACTTTATTCCATTTACGCAAAGAGGTTTATGGAAGTTTTGTGGCTAAGTAGAAGAAGTTAATTTGGCGTACGGAAGTAAGATGTTTAACTCAATTGTCATATTTCCGTCCGACATAGCCCACTTAATTTATTACACCATGTGTGAAGTGGTGTCTTTGGTGAACCTTCGCGTTCACCTGCACCGCCATGATGATAATTGTCGGATTATCGCACCTATATTCTTCTTCTTCTATTTCGCTAGTTCTATAAACTGTCCACTAAAGTACATAGTGCCAATTACATATATATCCAAAGCGGCAACACATGCCAGGCGAAAATTATTCTGATGATCGTTTCTAAGTGTGATATATGTAATTGTTGGTGTGTTTCGGACTCACAAACAGAATAATTTATGAGATAACTTTAATGTTGCGATACATGTGACGATGACAAGGAAAGCATCTCAATTTTCCACTATTGTTAATTCATTTCTAGTTTATTATTATATTACTGAATTTGTATTTTAATAAAATCATTTTCCAATACGTGTTAAAACTTGTATTTCTCGTCTCCATACGAAAGACTTGATTTTGAATGACACGAAGTTTTATAGCCTTTTACAGAGACAATCTTCAAGAATTCATTTAAGGCATAAAATCTAAGTCTTAACCCACTTTTTCACAACGGTTGTAATAAACTGAATACAACAAATTCAAGTTGAATCTTTTTAAGCTAACGGCTTTTCGCACTCATGTAGGAGTTGGCCATAATTTTATGCCCAAGTTCTTATTTTCTCCAAGTATTTTTCAAATTTGAATAAATGAGGGTAATTAAAAATAACTCGTATTTTTAGCCGAGACGAGTTGCACGTACAGTTGCACTAAAGATATTTAACAGTTAAAAAGAAGAAATGCGCCAAAATAGTCTCTTGTCGGTTTCATAGTGTACACAATTGTTATTTTAGAAAATCATGATACACCTGCATATCTTTCAATATTTTCACCATTAGCATTTTCATCACACTATGTGTACCGGGCTTGTCATCCGAGATTTTAGAACCTCAACGAATAGTATTTTTAAAACAACAATACCTACCGACTTTGAATAACCACATATGCAATATAAGAACTATATGAGTACATCCCTAGATTTATATCATGTTTGCAAAATAATTTGTGATATTTGAGTATATCGATTTTCTAATAACATTTTATTTATGATATTAAAAACAAATAGAAGAAGAATGCCTTTGTGCCTTAAAGTAATTTTCAGTCAAGAGAGTGCTTTAAAAACAGTAAAGTATGATAAACTGAATCGAATACTTTCAATGGAGATTACATTTTCAACGTGACTAGAAATATTAAATATTGTAGTACGATGTATTGTTCAGTACCAACCAACTTTCCTGTTATTTTAAAAATGTTTCTTTCCTATTTAAACAATGACACATTTTGATGAATTTAACACAATAACATATGAAAACAGTATCGAATGAATGTGTGTGGCCGTTAGGTTTATACTGATTACTAAATGGATAAATGTCTTGGGTGGTTGAATAACAATAGCAATATTTAACGCAGTGGCGCCGTTACTCTTACAACGAACCAAGTCAATCTATACTTAAACAAAAACACTGAAGCATATGTATTTAGTTGTATTTAGACAGGGCACGTTTATCTGTCGATCGCTAATAATCATTCCATCTAAAATCACAATGTTTTGTTACATGAGTAACAGTTCCATAGTTCTTTAGTATAAGCACATTTCCATTGAATAAACAAAGCAATCGATGTATATATAACAAGAGTAATATGTCGATATGTGACCTAAGATTTAACGAAGTGGTTAAAATAATTTCCAAAAACACATCCCTGGACAGATATACAGACAGGAGTTATCCCAAGGGGTATATAGTTATTCAACTGTATTTACTGAAATATAGTTTTGAGTTATCAAACTTGGTCAAATTCTACAAGTTATCGGAGGTCAAATCCAGGGAATCCTCATAGAGTTAATCACAACGAAATCATGCAGTTACATTAAAAAATTAGTGAACCTTTTGAAAGTTATTGTCGTAATGAATGCATTTATCACGGAACAAATATTTTTTTGAACCTATCAACTGTCTTCATAAATCCTAAATGTGAAGCATCAGAGAGAAAAAATGACACAACATAAGCAACATTCTTTCTTATAAAAATTTAATATAAAATAAAAGGAAGTACCGATAAACTTTAATAAGTTTAAACTGTTGATAAAAATTTATGGCGTGAAAAATTTTAAGTGCATTAAATTTATTGATATTTTCAAATGATAAATACATGAGCCTTTTAGTGCCATCGTAGTCCTAAACTCTTTTTGTCATACCTTTTACGCAGCTGTGCGGGCAAATTAATAATTACACTATGTGCGTAATAATGGTTGATAGTGACAAAAAGCAAATTTATTTTTATCCAAACACTACATCATATTGCGATATGTTACAATGACAGAAAATCAACACGATTTAATGGTCAAATTATCGATAAAATCATTTGAATCAACAAATATCCATTACCGGTGTGGCGTGAATGAATTATCAAAATAAAATTAGCAATAATTGCAACAGTAAATTTATCGGATTTGATGAAAATTGCCACTCTTGTGACAAGTTGATTTCTATCTTTTACAGGCAGGTGGGAACGATGAAAACGAATCTGTAAAAAAGTTTGATAGCCTATTTGCTATATCTAATTCATAATTGTTGCTATAAATAAGATCAATGAAATAAAAACATGTCCTCGTTCCGATCCCGATGAGTACACTTGCAATCCAAAACCACAGTATATTTAAGATGCTAAGATTTACATTTAAAACGGTCCCATGGTTCAAATTCGATTATAATAAAAATTTTGGGGATAAGAACGTTTGGAATTACGTAATCCGTTTTTATCTAACTGGGTACACGTAGCAACAGAATTCAAGTGATGTATCTGTCTACGGATGATTTCGTAACAAAACTAGGATTTATAAGAATGGCGCCAATATTTTTGTATCAATCTCTTTATATACATTTGTCCTGCTCAGACCACCCAGTTGCTGATCTTCTTCATAAAAACACTATGTAGGTATGTACTAAACATTTCCGACAAAATAGGATAACACTTGACAAGAGTGATTGGGTAAGGTAAGCTATTGCAACGTTCTCGAGTTCAGTGTAAGTTGTCGCATAAAAGGAAGTATTCCACCCTAAACTGTTTTTTCTCTACTTTTATATAACTATAATGCAAACGATATTATCTCGATTTTGGTATACATCAGGTCATCGTTAGTCTGTTGTTAGTATATCGCATAATAGATCAAGGTTATGACTCGTACTTGAAGGTGTAGAATAAATTGACATTGTATACTTTTTAATAATGCAAAATGATAATTATGACTTTTATTATAAGTTGTCGATTCCGATAAAAGCTATGCTTTTGATTCTAAAAGAAAAATATTTGGGGGCCATCCGTCTAAAATGGCTTCTCCTGAGCATGGAATATCAGAAGCACATAATGCAAATAACACGCATTATTATGGGATCCATTAAGTACAAAAATCAAAAAATTAAATGCACAGAGCTATTTTTTCATTAATATTCAATTACAGATAATTTCTTCGTTCTGTTCAAATGAACCACAACATAACGTTAGCTGTTGGCTATTTGGCGTCCATTGTCGGTTTGTAGAAAAACAAAGCTAACAAAACACAAATTGTTGGTAGGATTTCGAAATTAATTCACGAGAAGAAACTTGTTGTTATTTGTTCATACGTGTGTGATGACATGCACCACATTCTTAAGTACATTATGCGTCAACAATAATATTCCATCAAAGGCGGGAATAACGATTCTCTAAGTTCAATACATTCCTCATCAAGCAGCTGTGTACAAGCACTTTAACACTTACACAATAGCACAATGTTTTATCTGATGACATGGGCTAACGGAATAGATGGGCGCCTTTACAATAAAAGAGTTCATTATATCCCCTAAAAATGAATTATTACATTCATATTTTGGGAGAAAAGGAAATTATTTTCCACGCCATATATTGGCATAATAAACTTGATTTTCAACACAAAGTACCTTGGAATAATTGTTATTCGATGTTGGTGAATTAATTTTTTTTTATATTGTTGAAATAAGCACTTCGAATCAACGAATCATCTAATTTTTATAATATGTGCGTTCCAATGTAAGAGTTTATGCGGTTTTTAGCTACTTTGTTAGATATTAGCCTATTATTATTATTGGTATAGTAGCGGTTTTTGGTTTGTCTTCTCTGTGATAATAGTGAAGTTTACAGAAATCGATTTTACGGGGTTAATTTAATACGTATTTGTACAATTATTCGCGGTTTAGCGCAAGTCATCAAACTCTTTCTTGTGTCTATTTTCAACTGTTTTATCATTTTATATCAACTTAATGTAACTGTAATTTAATAAATATTTAATAGTGTTGATGTTCTAGCTATTACACGATGTCAATTTAAAGACAAAGAAAACAGGGTATAGTTAAGGTGTAACATTTTTCATTACGCTTTGACAGCGTGCATTTGAACTCTACCTCTCCGGGTATTTTTTCGATCAAACTAAAATAATTGATATATATCCATCAGATATGAATACTTTGATCCACTTGCTTGAATTGCCATTTGGATATCGGCTGAAAGCTGGATCTAGAATAAAATAGGGATAAGTTATTGAAAGGACATACTAAGGACTCGCGATAACGATACCGGTATGGGGATGGCTTGTCATTTTATTATCATGAACATGGTAGATGGAAAGTCTAAACCAGTGGTGGACCATTTTGCAACAATGGGTTTTATTAATTTTGTGTACGTGTTTATTGACCTATGGCATTATTATTCAGTATTTAATATAAATACTGAACGAATTCAATGTAAGGATTGCACTATAAATATATAAGTGTATACATGAAATTCAAAGCTTGGTAAGATACAAATCAGCCAGGATAATTATCATGCTGCGTGAGATTTAGAGATTATAGGATCATGCGATTACGATGTCATTATATCACATAAATAGAGACCAAATCGCGCACGCGTAAGCCCTAATGCGTTTTGTGTTTTATGCGTGATTTAACAAGTTAACAGAAAGTGATCGAATCAAATTATGATGTATATTGTAACAACGTATGACGTTTTAAAAATAAAATTCTCACATTCTTTAGCAATAAATCGATCATTCATAACTGTGGCAAGAACGAACAAACAGTGCGGTGAACAATTGCGGCAGCCACAGATATATATTCGTTTTTAAATATAATTTAATGGTATTTTCAACAAAATGGCGAAATATGATTGAATTGAAATCATATTCAAAGGCATTCAATCCAGGAAACAAATTTATTTGGATTTCAAATAACTTGCTAAACTAGAAATATGTATGATCAAGGTGTATGAACATGTTAGGACCGCGTGCGAAAAAAAGCTGAAACATGAGATACTGTGTATAATGTCATGTAAATTCGGAACGGTTCCAAAGGCCGCAGCGAGAACTCTAAAAAGCTCATGATATTTCGAAAAAACGTTAGTACTTTGATTTGAGTAAATGGACAAGAAGGGCAGTATTATTGCAACGGTGGATATATATCTTTGTATGAATCTCGTTCTAACACAAGCCCAAGTCACAACCCCATGATACTGAATTCGACTGACAACTCTGCACCAGTTAGCATTAATTGTTTCATTCAATCGAATTACAAATCAACATTTTTGAAATTGATCGGGGTAACAGAGTTTGGTAAAATGTATTTCAAATTCCGCAATTTTGCAGTTGATTCCACATCGGAGAATTCATATTACTTTTAGAACTTGCATTTGCACCTGTTGCATTATCCAATTGCGTAAATGTAACTCCTAATTTTAACCCTATGACCTTATACATCATTATCGCTTTCCCTATCTTCGTAAACGATTGGCAAAACAAACAAGTAATTGAAGTAAAAACAACAATGAACAACACTGAAGAAATATGAAACTACGATCGCACATGTTGCGGAAGTATTAGATATGATATTTGATAATTCTACTAAGAAAACTTAGTAATATAAGGAATTAGTTCATAAATTAGAATTTGTTTTACACTTTTAATATACTGTACTCCAACGACATGTGGAGACCTATACTCTTAACACGATTATGTGCTTACCACCTACCACCTGCGCTAATCAAATTATAATAATGCCTGACCAGCATCACCAGAATTTTTTGAAGTGAAGAAACAAACAATATGTATATTTATTGACTTGGCATGACTCATGTTATTCAGCAATATGTATTTAAGAAAAAATAACGTGCAGCAATTGCTTGTTTTTGAGTGCGCTTCGTTGACGGTCAAATTTTGAAACGTAATTAAAAGGAACCCCATCATGAAAGAGAGTAGGTTACTTTGGCAAATTCAATAAAACTATTTGTTTTTTTTAAATAATTATATCTATTTACAAGAAAGAAATCACCGAAAATACTATGTGTCGGAGTTGATCCATAGAAATGGCCCGATTGAGATGAAAAAATTCAATCTTTCAACTCCTTAATTTGACAAATCGTTAAATCAAGTATTCGCAACATAAAATAACAACAATTTCTTTGCTTTCTTATAAATATTATTTGTTATTTTAGTTCCGTATGCCGCACCTGCTTCATCATCATAAAACTGCGTGTGGTTTAACGCAATTTTGAAACCGAATGAATATTTGTAGAATGAATAATTTGATTTTTGAATCAATTTAGAAACAATTTCAGACTGAGTGACGAAAAAAACAAGAGAGCATGGTCAAATATAAGGACACGACGTATAAAACGAAATATTTTACCATCAATTTCATGGGTGACGATGACTCATGCTCCCAGTATTAACGTGAATTGAAATACCAAATGGTCCAAGTCACTTCTGCATTATCATACCCGGTACCGTAGTCTACCGTAACCTATAAAAAAAACTTCCGACTTTCGCTAAGCGACGTACGCCAAGCACGAGATCCGTTGACATGAGGTCGCGGAACCGCTACAATTAATTTTAATTTTATTGACGTCACCACACAAAACTTCAGATAGAAAAACGAATCCCACAGAAAATTTAGAAATAATAGAAGGTTACTCTCTAGCGAAACATACATTCTTTAACCACCTAACAAAAATGCTAACAACAACATAATAAAAAAAAAAAAAAAACTATAGGTCCACTACGTGTCTCGTAAAAAAATATTGTAGACGAAATTCTCTCAGATTTTATCATGTTAAAGTCAGTATTATCATTCTGTGCATGTTTTTCGTCAATATTAAGCGAACCTTGCTTTAAGATAGAATTAGAAGACTAGAATACAATACGGAAAAATGGAATCGGTGCATATATAGGATTTCAAGGAAATGTTGTCGTACATTGCGGGGCTATGAACCGCATCACATTAAAACGTCATAGAGTCGATCTCCCCTAGCACTTACGAATATATACATATTATTGACTTAAGGTATTGTCCTAAATGATGATGCATTTATTATTGCGTATAAATTGGATGTGCACGGAACAAACGTACTGTTTATGTTGATCGGTCGACTGGATTAAAATAGTAGAAACAGTGATATTGATCAACGTTTTACAGCGATTTTTAACTTACCCATCAGTGCCCTATGCTTTGGGCACCCAAATGAAATCTTCAATCTATGAACTAACAACGGACACTTTGAACGTAGTTAATTAATATCCCACGCCTTGCTGATGCCGCCAAGCGCAGCACGATACAATCTTTATGTACCGGACGCTTGGTTTGAAAGAAACTTTATTCTGTTCACAGATGCAGGCTCAAGTAAAACTAGTACTATTGTCCTAGTGATAAATTTTTAACAAGGACCCAAAGTACAGCCACAAACACATGATTCAAATTAAAAATTAAATGCAGTGCAATTAAATGGGTATGCAAACATTCCGTGCACAGACGACCAGTGCGTCAAATGGCAACCAGTTTTGAATGCGGTGTACGCCACAGTGAAAACGAATATACTGGAAAGGTGAAATCAGTTTTACGTATATATGTCAATGTGTTCAGTTGTTTTGTTGGAAACTTGTTTTTACCAAATCGATGGCATCCACTATCACATATGTACAAATAGATTCCATCCATTTGATATCAAATACGATTGAGAATCATTTATTATCAATATCACTTGGCAATACGTGGATATACGTAAAAGTCCAAAAGTTTCCATCTCAGTGCATCAAAAAAACGACAAAAATTAGACTACGGCGCAGAAGAATGATTGACCAGCAGAGGAAACGAGAAATATCATTCACTCTGAGGATACTTTGGTGCTCCGATTCTTCAAAATTCAAAACAAAGCGACACCCACCCCTTTCGTAATAAATTATGAGAGTGATAAAATGAAAAATGTTGCATTTATTAACATATATTGGCACGTTAAAAATATACAATTTTCTTCACAATAGTGAAAATTGAATAATGCCAAAATTTACTACGGGTCTGGTAAATTTTGATCAATCAAAATGAGCAAATGTACAAAAATTAAATTTAAATATCAAATTTGTAGGACATGTAGTGTATATTATCCTGACTTCACCATGGAAACTCATTAAAAATCTCCCGTTCCTTCGACTACTCATACTTCTTGAAACTATCCTTCACATATGATTCGGCAGTATAGCCAAGCATTTATTTAGCATTTTAGTTAGATAGTATTTGTTTTGTCAGCGGCTAGCAGAGCCAGAGTCACAGATTTCATTTGGATTTAAAAACGTTCCATGCAAAACCATAGTCCATGTAATGTGTTGTAATTTCATTCCGTCTCATTCACAGTAACAGTCGAGTTATACACTAAAATATCAAAGTCGAAATGGCCTTGAAATTTGAAAAAAATTGTCATTTGGCATCCATCTTTAGTAAAATTCTCCAAATTTGCAGTACTGCTAGAAGACAAATAATATACCTGACATACTTATAATACTATTTTTAATTCGATAAGGCACGTGATTTACCTTGGTAGTGCATGGAGTCTCGAAACCTCGTCATTAGTCGTTTGTAGAAAATGTTTTTTGATGAAAGTTTTGGTTTTATACGAAGTATAGTCACCAATTCAATCTCCTTCCTAACAAATTATATAGCTTTTTGTTGTGAGGTTGAAAATAGTTTGTAAGTAAATTTCTAGTATAATTGGACATAGTAAATTCAGGCAAAGCCGCTTTTGAGCGCGTCCTTCCTTTGTTTGACTTTAAACAATAAACTGTTGAATTTGATTTAAATAAAGTTTGATTTATTGAAATTTCTTTTCTCCACCAACGATTAACACAGAACATTCCAGTAACTTTGCTACGAATAAAATCTTCACGGCGTATGAGTTTTGGAATTTTAAAAAAATCTTGCAAATCTTCTATCACTGTGGCAGGGTCGTTTATAAATTCATCTCCATTGATTATGTACATAGAACCTCGAAATTCTTCCAACCATTTTTTTATCGGCCTCAAATATTTTCCATCATCAATAAGTTTTTTCCACTCATTATTATTACTATTCAATCGCTCCAAATTGTGTTTGTTGTCTGTTGGTCTAACTAACTGGCCTTCGACAAACGCATCAAACGTGGTCGGAGTCATTCTTTTATAAGTTTGCTGTCAACAGAAAATTGGCTACAGTATTATAAAGTATAATAAACACTAAGAATTTATGAGCATGCGACTTTAGCAAGTGCTTGGAATACCAGTAATAAATCCTAGGTCATAAATCATAGGTCCACTTCCTTTCCAATAATGCTCAAATATAATTTAATCGTGATTTTAGTGTTTCTATTTTTTTCGATATATGAAATAAAATATCATACTTCCACGCCAGTCATAACAAAAGTTTAACTACAAATACATTGGAGCTACCAAAACTTTATTTTCGTTCATTATATGATTTCAACTTCTACCGAGAAATTTTAAGAAATTTTTAGAATATAAAAAATCCGACATGCTTCAATTTCAAAGAATGAATGTTATTTCTTTCTATCTAATATTTTTCTTTAATTTTCCTTCAATGCGCCGTTAGTCGAATACTATTTTTTTTATGTTTCACTCAAAAAATCTGAATAAAATATACATGGAAAACCAATTGAATTGAACAGGTACAATGTTACCTCCATAGCAAAACTTGAGAGAGCTCGTTGAATTGGATTGCATAGTATCACAATTATCTTCAAATCCGGCATAATTTTATGCATTTTTTTCGCTATGCCGTACCTCCAGAAATACGATGGTGATTTTTCCATTACTATCTCATGATCGGCTGCAGCGGGAAGCATGTTCCTAAATGCAAATAAGTATATATGATTTATTTGTTATATTTGAACATTTAAAGCTATCACGAATTGTATAGAAATCCAATCTATAGAAGCTATTAGTTAGCAATAACGATCGAAAAAAGATTTAATCTGGAGGAAAACACAACTAATCGTGATATATGAATCCGATAGCCACTGAGGCTAAAATAAACTTAGTCTTTGATCTATTTCCATTCTTAACCAACATGGACTATGATTGGAGAAAAGCGGGAAGACCTGAAAGAGTAAGAATTAAGCATTAGAGACGCATATGTTATATATATCCCAGATTTAGATTCCTGATCATGTGCATGCGTACGGCGATTTAGCATAGAATATAAAATTTGGCATGCACACGAAAAAACTCAAAATTTATCCTGTATGTATATCTACATAATGTCCTTTACTTGTAGTAGTTCAATCCCATCTTTTCTAAGTCTTTTGCAAAAAACTGCCCTTCACCTTGGAGTGCGCGTATATGTGGATGTAGATTCAAAAACAGATTAACTGCGGCAGTTCCGCACTTCTGTACACCGATTCCAATAACATCGGGAAAACGGTGCTTTCTATTGCCAACCTATAAGAATAATTTCATTAGAAAAATTAGCTCTGTACATTTCTTTTGAATTTTGGTGAGAAACTGTTTGGATAATATAATGTGTATAATTGCGCAATTCATTTTTGTTGAAACAATTGAATACGATTTTAGATACAAGCGTACTCGAAAGGGAAGTTTTCCGCAGCGTGGTGCTAAAGAGTCTGGAATATAATATTATTAATTTCTGTAGATACAACTATTCTTTTCTATCGCTAGACTGATGAGATTTACAGAGATATAGAAAATATATATTTCCATATTATCTTTGTTGGTGACTAATTTATATGCTTATTCATGCAGTAATAAAGTTCTTACACTCTGCATTGTTTTATTCAGGGCTTCGACCCATTCTCTTTTTCTAATTTCATGATTTTCTGTAAAAAATAATATAGATGTAATTTGATTTTATTTAAAAATAGTGAAAAAATATTTTTGCCGATCACAAACCTATTGTTCTACTGAAAAATTGAGGAAACGACATTGCTGAATGTTTATTATTTTCCAGATTGTTGCAATTCACAATAAAAAATTCGTAAAACTATTGAAACTATTTCGTGAAGTTACAGAATAGAACATGTATGACAATCTGTTACCATAAAAATGGTGTAAGTTACTATATTTAGAAGGCTTTGAGTGGTCGGACGAGTAACGAGTAGGCTACTGCATTATAAATCAGCGATGGGTTATATTGAAGACGATGATAGGAGATGGAAAAAGATCAAGTAAAGAACTCAATACATAGAAGTATCTTATAATGCAAACATAAATGAGTGCCGTTAGAAAGAGCATAAGGCATTAATTGCCATAAAAGTAAGACGAAGAGGAGATATATGCAAATACACCACTGCCTTATTTATTTTTTCATCCAATCTAGTTTTCTAGACTAGTAAAAGGACCAGGTCCAGAGAACCAGTTCACATGATTAAGACGTCGTAATGACTTTCCTACATTAGGTTGAATTTCAATCGATTTAATTAATTTCCAATACTTGTGTAAAGCCTTAACTGAAAGCAAAAAATATCTTTCTAGTAAGTATAATGTCCTACTAACGCCTGACTATAAGTGAATAAAATAAATAAACGAATACCTTCAGCCTGTCCTAGTAATCCATGGTAGTTTGGGGTAGATATATCCAATTTTCTGCAATTTAGAAAAATGAAAATTGCCAACAAGAAAGCAAGTCCGAGCTTCAGTATATATCCTTTTTTCATATTGACAATGCGCTAGTAACTTAGTTGGCTTCATTCTTGAAGTATCTTCATTTAACATCAATTTTTAATTGATTACACGAATCGTGATACTTCATAGATGTCGATATATACATGAAATTGAATGATCAATACTATAGTTGTATATGACAAATGTATACAGACATCTACAGGAGATCTCACTACACGTGTGGAAACAGTCGGTATAGAATTGCTGGGATTATATATACCGGTATTGTAATAGGTGTTCGTCACCAAAAAAGATTTTTAATAAGTTGGCATTTTTGCATTCATGTATGAATGACCTAACATTTTGTTCTCATATATACTCATTATTCAAATCATCTAAACATGCAATCTTCAATTTCTGCAACTTGAAATAAATTCATAAAACAAATTGACGATCTTTGATAAATCAAAACTTACATATATATTTGGGTGGCCCAAAAGTAGGTAAACCGTTATTTTATTTATTTTTTATTACCTTCCAAGCAGCTAGAAAACTAATGTAAAATTCACACTAGATTTATTATCTAAAAAATAAGCAATTTTTGTGGTACTTAACAAGTAACATAAAGTGAACTGCAAGTAGCTTCAAAGCATATAAAATAGTTTAATAACTGTATACCTACTTTTGGGCCACCCTGTATATTGAAAAAAAGGGATGTAAAGGTTTCGGATTTTATTGAATAGAAAAGTACTGCACTTTTATGATTTCATACAGTCGTTTTCTGATCCTCTTTTCAAAACAACCTGATTTATAGCATAAATTATTTGTCATAATATTATTCTGCGTGCCATAAGATCTCGTACTACTGTTCTATGTGTTGCGCCTACTTGCAGCGTAAAATCGCTGGGATAAGCTCCCCCTATACGACTGTTTTGAAACTTTCGAACATGTTTGAATTGAATATCAAAAACACACTTTCTGAAATGGCAGACAGTAATATCTATGCTTTTTGCATATTCTTCAACAAACTCATACCTAAGCGTGATAAAAACATGATGACTTTTAGATGGTAACAGTGGTGAAATTAATTTATGTAGACAACGCTGTATTGGTAACCTAGTCTAGCTTGAAAGGTTAAAATCAAAAGGTGAACTTTCCATTCATGTCGGGAATGGATATAGCTTTCCCATATCATTGAATGAACACATTATTTGTGAAGAGCGTGGACTGTAGAAGGGGATCCTTCAAAGCTGTCGTATGAGATGAAACCGGAAACACATGACATCATGTAAAGTTAAACAACGTCTTATCCACATGTTGTATGACCTAATGACGACCATCGTTTTGTTCGTTTGAGATGTACACCCTCGCTCTTTTACATATATCATATATCATTAATCCGAGTTCTCAGATTGTTCTTTGTAATGTTCATTTTCGAAAATATTTTGCGCGCATATGTACTTCCAAAAATCAATGTGGATTTTTTCGCATGGTTTGTCAAATTTAAATAGAGATTTCCTCCAAGAAGATACTTTTTAAAAAAATCAAGCAGTGATACGTCTCTCGAATAGAATATGAATTTTATTTCCTCGTTGCATCCCAAGAAGCTTTATTCGAATATTTTCTGCGCCATTGAACCTCTGCACTCAGCATCAACTTTTCTGCGTTGGATTACAAAATTAATTCATCGTCAGAACCGCCGTTTTGTCGCTATAGTTCAGTGAAGCGCCGCGGGCCGGATTATTTTATTCCGCGGGCCGGATCTGGCCCGCGGGCCGTAGGTTGCCGACCCCCGATGTAGACGTTCGTATTTTTAGATAAATTTTTCGTGCTGAATTTACGCGACTACTATATGATTGATCTTCTCTTGACTATATTGAGTTGTAAGCAGTCTCAGTCAAAAAGAAGAATCTCTGTGTGTATATATATATATATTAGTTAGTGAATCAGTGTGAAGCTTGCTTGTTTTGTCTTCATTTATTAAAATGTGAGACCTTGTTAATGTTTTTCAGGCGTTCAGACAAAAAAACACTCATAATCCACTATTTTAATATTTCCTCATTATAGTTGCATGTGCATGTAGGCGGGTTACAGCAGGGATGTAACTGCTTCACGCCTGGCTTATCAATCTCTGATTCTACTGACACAATCGATAGTTTGTGGGATTGTAATAGATCTTTCACTGTTTCAAGTAAATTATTTAATTCCGGAGTTGTTGTATCCAATGAAACGAGCTCTTCTGGATCAGCATCAAGATCGAATATCAAAGGAGGATCATGCTCCGTTCCTCTACTTTCGAAGCTGAAAAGTTGTTGTAACATGGAAAAAGAACCGTAAAAACAGCGATCTTCTCTGAGCCCATCCATGACGTCTTCTACAAAATAAAAATAAAATGAAAGTATTGCATGGGTTTCCACTGTCTTTGTTTGTACCCACGTACATTTGCGTTCTGTAAACCGCACCGAAAACATTTGAACTTACATACTTTTGCACCAAAGGACATTTGCACTCGCGGATTTCAGTACCAGTATACAGATTTTACCTATGGAAAATCCCATTCGCAGTTGTTTGCAACCTTGAGAAATTACACTACGACATTGACAACCATGGATATTTGTACTCATAGACATGTGCACCCAGGACAATTGGCCCGATGTACTCGCATCCACGATAATCGCATCCAAGCACATTTTCACCCACGTACATTTAAACTTATGATAATTTAAACGGAATATATTTGATCCCACAACTATCAGAATCCACGGGCATTATTAATAATATATAGTTGTGCCTATTGACACCCATCGATGAATTACATCATTATTAATTCCAAGTCTTGCGGAACAGTCGAAGAATAAGAAGGCTAGTTACATTTTGTTATTCAAATAGATCATAAAAACTTTCAACTGCTCATTCCATACACACATCGTAGGGTTATATGAAGGGGTCATTCAGTTCGGCTGCTAGATTTGTGTTATCGGTGCGCAAAAAAATGAAGTAAAACTATTGAATTAATATAGCGCAAATATCATAATAAAACTTACTCATAAGTGACATCGTGCGATAGTGAATTTTATATCGATCATAACGAACAGCAGTCAATAAATCCCCGTGATAATAAAACAGCATTTCATGTGGAGACTTGCCATTTTCACTTTTCAAAATTCCGCTGATATCCTTTCCATCAACAGACAACTGTTTGAATTTCGAGGACACACCTAGAAATATGACTGAAATGTTTCAAATTTGTCGCCAGTCAAGACGTAGAATGTAACCACGATATAGAAAGAAAGTGAGATCAATATATTTCTTTTAATAAATCAGTAGGATATATCATCTGAGTTAACGTTCTGTGGTTTGAATTTATATTCGATGATCTTGACTTCTAACCATTATTCATAATTCACAATAAAATGTTGTTATTGGAGTATATATAATTGAGGTATATATATATATATTCGGATAAACATTCAACGGATATGCATTTTTTTTACATGTATGATTGATTGTATATTCATTCTGTGATTTTAATTTATATATAATAGCGGAATGTCTACAAATTTTAAATATTGATTACTGTCATTCAAATCCAGGGGCGTGTCAAGCTTAACCACGATGGGGCGACCGCCACTATGGCCCCCCTCTAGACACGTCCCTGTTCAAATCGTCGGAAAATTGGGCTTAAATATGGTAGAACTGCAGCGCAAAACTCGAAAATCTTGAGCTGAACTCTATACCTTACAAATCACCAAGATTTAGTAATTGAGTAAATAAAAATAATTTCCCAAAAACACTATTATACCTGCAAGCTTCAAAATAGTCGGAAACAAATCCATATTGCTCAGTAACGCATCGCTGACACTGTTTCGTGGAATAGTTCCAGGCCACCATGCCACTGCGGGAACACGAATTCCTCCTTCCCAGGTTGTTGTTTTCCCTCCACGAAAAAATCCTGTGGAACCACCATTCTTGCAACCGTCTTTTAGAGGTCCATGATCCGATAGAAAAACTACCAACGTGTCCTTTTCAATCCCAAGTTCAATCAAATAATCAAGAACTTCTCCAATTCCCCAGCCCATTTCATTAATGGCATCCCCATATATACCTGTGGGTAGAAAGAATACAGCTTGTTCACATTGATGCCACCTAAGTTGAAAAAGATTTTTTTAATTATTGTTCAACGTGCTAATAATCGTTTGTCAGATTGTTTCATTTTTCTCAGCCGTGGTAATCGGATATAACTTACAACAAAATGTCTTTATGTCATTAATAATATTATTCCTTTTTGAAAATTAGTGTTTACTAATGAAAATTATCACTGAATGTGTGCGTTCACGCCCCTTCTTCGGATGAGGCATGACAAGTGTGGCTATATACCTCTCTTTGATTTGCCAATAAATTCAGTACTGGCAAATACTGCAGAATGAGTTTGAGGAAAAGAGAGCAGAAAGAAAAACGGTTGATCCCTGTTATCCCGGATGAATGCTTTTGCCTCGTTTACCAGTCTACCTGTCAGAGTATTGAGGTTGATTGGTTGTTCCACAATTGTATCATTTTGATATAGAAAACACCCCTTCATCTGCGGTACTGTGTACTAAAATAACGAATATCAAACTTCAATATATTCCTACGATAGACATTAGTCAATATCGTTACTCGGTCAAGAGCGATCGGAGGTAGCCTACATTGCAAACTGATCTGTAAACAAATGCAAACATATCGCCGTAAAATATCGACCGAATTCAAGACTAGACGACCCTTCAGATCTGTACAAAAATCATTGTCATTAAGAACTGGTCCAGTCAAATGGTGTTTTGGATATGATGTCCCCCTGTTATGTATCAGTCTCCGGCCCTTCCCCTTTTGTGGACGTTACGGGAAATATACGGGATTTTTCCCCGTTGATCATCGTGAAAGAAAATAGAGCTGCCCTGCATAACCCTCTTGTCTCATCAATGTACTCCTATCCGATCCTGACTGGGTATTCTCGCAATGACAGAGTTTGCATTCTCAATGGAGTAACGAAAGTGCAAAATATCATTCATTCCACATAATATAATACAAATTTTGCGGAATACGTAAACTTGCATTGTGTGTAACGAGATGCTACTCTTTTGGTACTCGAAACATGGCTGTTTCAATTTGCAAACATCTGAAATCTTAATATATACTTGTTATACGTATTTATACATTTAGGTCAATAAGAGCAGGACTTAGAATAGTCATCCGTGATGCCAGCTCATTTGGTAGTCAGCTATATAACAAGAAGTATTCTAATCCTAACCTTTTTGGGGTCGCATTCCCACATCTGTGAATAGGGTAAAGTGGTTCCGACATGATCAAATCCATAATGGTAGGGCAAGTACGCTCCATCTGTAGCAGTCTTTTCATTATTACCTGTGAACGAGGAGGAAACTATAGCAAAGTATATATAATAGTTATTTTAAGTGAAACCGGCTTTTACGTACCCAGATGCCATTTCCCGTTCATACCGGTGATATACCCCCCGTGTTGTACAGCTTTGGCTACAGTTGTTTCATCATGACGCAATCCTCCCGATGAACTTGATGCAAATACAAGTCCTTTGCCAAATACACCGGTTCGAATAGGATAACGACCTAGAAAGAAATAGAGAGTTGTTGCTGCCGTGCCATTTCACAGTAAAAACGCACAACCAGTTAGAAGAAAACGACATTGTTCAGCCCAATCTATATAATTTTTTCTAAGAACTACATTGTTTGGTTCTAACCATATAGGCTATATATATACCTATTACCTACCCATGTCTATTTGCCTCAAAATTCAACAAGATCATGGGGAAGAAACAATATAATAGAAAGAGAATACATGTACAAGATGATCAATATATTGCGTATGACTGGGAATATGCTTGGCGTGTGAAATGCCAAATGCGCACTTCCATGGCCTAATTCTTTTTATTACATATTACAACCGCGAGTAGATCATACAATTTGCCCCTTTGCAGATGAGTTTTTACACATACACATTGTCCTTCGGATATCTCCACAGATAAAATTCTGAGGTGTTCAAGTCCAATGAATGAGGTGCTCACGCGACGTCGCACGTCCTGCTGATTATCGTTTTTGAAATCGCTTCCTCAGTCAGTCAAGGGCGTGAGTTGATATGTGGTGGTTCGCCCTGTCTTGATGAAACCACTAATCAACTCAATCAATCCTTCTACCTCGTCTAAATGATGCCAACACTTTCTCAGCATCGCCACATAATGTTCCATAATCACCGCTTGGTTTTCGTCTTCAAAGCAATATGGACCAGCTATGCATTGCTTGGAAATGACTTCCCATGCTGCGCTCTATACTGAGTGTAACGTTCTTAGAAAGACTTTTTCGGAGGTGTTGTACACAGGTATAATCAATATTTTTGTCATTGACATACCCATAGGCAGCAGAAAGTGCACATCAGCAGAAAACTGAGTGGGTGATTGACAATTTCGCGCAGCGGATACAGTTCTGTCTCCTATGCCTAGGAGGTGATTTGGAACATATTCCAGAGAAAACATAACTTTTGAGCGAAACGTCTTAGATTCCTGAAACTTTGGATACAATCATGCACAAACAGAAGTTCGGGTATAAACAAAATAAAATATTGGGCTTCATTTTCACGAGAGTATTTAGGAAATCTATGGTTTCCGTTTTTTTCGGGGGTCACCCCGTATGACAACTTACATGTAAATAGATCTATTTTATCTTTATACAAGATTAATTTCCTTTTGTTTATTTATTGTTGATTGTTCATGATCAAATACACAATATTATCCCAATTGTAGGTTATATTGTCCTCTATAAATTATATTGGGAACGCTGTGTATTTTGCATGTAAAGGACTCTATTTTTAACAGCATTCCACGGTGAAATTGCTGCTAGTCGTCATAATGTAGATTTCATGTTTGATAACAAAGTAAATGTATGTGCTAGTGAAAAGGCATAGAGATTACTAATTAAAATCACGTGCATAAAGTGAGCATAATTTAGGTACTAAACCTGCGTATAATTTACATACTATAACAGCATATAATTTACATAGCCTACTATATATACCACGTTGAATTAAACGTAATTTTTTACAGTGTAGACCAGCGATTCTCAACCTTTTTTAATGTCAGAGGCAAGTATTAAACCTTAAAGTTGTAAGGAGCCGCATAAAAACGCAAATTAAAATAGCAACAAAACAAAACTCAATATGTATTTTAAAATAGTAACGCAACAAAACTCGGGGTAAAAAACAATTTATCGCTGAACCTGAAATAGGCTTTGACTTTTAACTCTGAAAAAGCGAAGCGCAATCGTGATTGTTGCATTCTCCAGCAATACATATACCAATAGCTGGCTTCGTAATGATATATATTCCAATTAAAAAATACTAGGTCTCGTTTAGAAAATTATGCACAGGGAAGTACAATAGAGTCGAAAATTATGAACTTACAATTAACAATTATCTACGTTCAGGATTTACCTGTCAAAATTGCTGCTCTACTGGGTGAACATGTAGTGGACGGACTGTGGAAATTTGTTAACTTGATTCCTTCTACGACCATTCTATCTACTGCTGTCCATTCTTGTGTCGGGTGTCCGTAAGTTTGAAAATCAGCATATCCCACGTCATCAGCGAGCAAAATAATGAAATTAGGCCGTCCACCTTTTGCAACTCTTGAAGTAACTTCTGGCGATATGACAAAATACCACCCCGCAAAAACAGCAAACGCTGCTACCAAAGATGCAAGCACAATCAACGTAATATTTTTTGTATTCATTTTGTACCACCTACAACATGCAAAGCTAATTTATAGTAGCCTACTTTTAAGTGAGTAATCCAAACAGGTACTATATCTATGAAAATCACTTGAAATAGCTGTTTTATTATAATTCTTTTCCATTAATTTATGTGCTCATTGCTAAGCATAATATCCAGCACGCATTCAAAATCTCAATAATAGCACAGCTTACTCGCTTGTTAACGTTATCTGCAGTAACGGTATGTGTTTTACGGGTGGAAACTGGATTCTTTTAACACTGACAGTTCAAAAAAAACTTAACAAAATTATGATGTAATCGTATATACATGATCATATAATTTATGCCAACAATGTCCTTCGTATACGAGGTTTCTAAAATATAGCATAGGCTACTCAAACATAACGTATAAAACGATTGTCCAATCGTTGGGATTTCATGTTTTTATGGGTTTGTTAGACGATTTCCCAATGGTGTTCTACTCAAAAAAAAGAATGAAGTTGATTCCTATCGTCCAAATATACTTCTGAACAAAAATTTGAAGATTACTTTCGAAGGAATTTCAAGGTTATGTTTTTTCTTGTTTGCACGTCAATATCGCAACGAAAGCAATCAACAGCTTTATCAAGAATCCTGTCATCGGTTGAAACAACAGTTAAATCGAGTGGTTTAGCCCAAATCTTATATATTATATAACTCAAGCGAGGCAACGCTCAGTAAATGGACGCAAGTTGGTTGCCGCATTTTGCAGTGCTTCCCAACCAGTAGTTCGCGACCAACATATTATATTTTTAGAAAGAATAGGTAACGAAGTAAAAGAAATGCTACGTTGCGTGTGAGTTTGTCTCCCACCAAGCCTCAACCCTATCTGATAATATACAGTATGCAAGCTCACGTTTCATATTTCAATAGTAAATTGCATGGGAATACATTGTTTCTTTTTTCATATATTAAAATCACATTGTGGGTCGCACAGAAAATAGGACAATGAAAGTGGGTCGCGAACTGGACAATGTTGGAATACAGTGGCTAACCTAACCCCCTTTCTGCATAAAACTTGAGAAATTTTGTTTAGGCATTTGGGAATTAATTAAACTCAGCTTGACGATAAATAGCTTGATTATTTCAATAAATTCACTTCACTTTTCACTTCCTTTTTTAAATTCGATATCCAGATTTTCGTTCTTTTGTGTTTAATAACATATATAGCTTGCCACCGCTTCTTTACATATCTGTGGCCATATGTAAGTTTGTATAAATTTCAGGCCAATGAACAAAGAACAAGCAGCCTACCTCTTTCTTTGGCAACACCATTTGACTTTTTATTTGCTCTCCTGATTCTGAAAAGAGTTTTTAGCTGTTTTATTTCAATCAATTATTGTATCGCCTGATATTCTGATCATGAAATCGAAGTCAAGTGATATAGTGCTATGAAATCCATTCACTAAACACCAAAGTCAGGTTGCCGAACACGTAATTCAGCTATTCATACAAGCAATATCGAACACTCTGATGATGTCGTCATAAAACATTTATTAAATAGTCGAGGCAAGGCCAAGTACTCACTTCCGAGTTCGCACGCACGTTCATCGTTGATCAATATAATTAGACAGTTCTAGTCTAGTTCTAGTAGTCTGCCAAATCTGATGACTTGCTATCTCTAAATGATACAGTCGATTTTTCAAAAACCGTCTAAAATTTGTGTCGCATATCAATTCCATCATAATGATTAATATCAACGGTATCACTTGTAGTCGTCTAACTGAAGTTGCAAACGTCTGTGCGATGACGTCATCAAAATTAAAAATTGCGGACCTTGTAGTTCCGCGTTCGCGTGCGTTACGTTTTGGTTGTCAGGCAAAGTCATGAAGACCGCGGTACTGGTAGTCTGCTGTGAAAGATTGCATACCCGAAATACTTCATGTCCATATATATATTTGATCATTGCTCACTTGTTTAGACTAGATAAATGTAAACAGATTTTCGTGGTATAGAGTCTAAAGACGATCGTGATAGTAAAGAATATTTCAGTGCTGAACGCAGTTTTACAAATGCAGCAGGTGGCAGAATCTATGTATAGACTAAATATCTTTGAATGCTTCAGTGATGCTTGCATCTTTTGTTTCCATCTATTAAAATGTTATGTAAAAGCGTTTGCTTCGTAGTTACACTATCCGGCGTCCACTATTTCATCATTTTATCGTTATAGTTGCATATGCATGTAGGCGGGTTACAGCAGGGATACAACTGCTTCATGTGTGGCTTATCAACTTCTGATTCCACAGACACGATTGATAGTTTGTGGGATTGTAATAAATCTTCAACGGTTTCAAGTAAGTTTTCCAATTCTTGATTCGTTGTATCTAAGGAAACCAGTTCTTCCGGATCAGCATCAAGATCAAATATTAAAGGCGGATCATGCTCCGTCCCTCTATTTTGGAAACCGAAAAGTTGTTGTAACATCGAGAAAGAACCGTAATAACAACGATCTTCTTTGAGCCCATCCATGACGTCTTCTACAAAATAAAAGATTTTGGATAGGATGTTAATATCTTTCCATCCACGTTCATAAGCATTCTTTAAAGTGCACCCATGATATCTGGACTCTGGATTTTGGTACCCGTATACAGATTGCACCCAATGACTATAGCATACACGATTGTTTGCACACATGGACGTTAAGAACCATGTATGTATACACCTACGACATTTACAACCGTGGATATTTGCAACCATACGCAATTGCACCCACAAACATTTGTACCCAGGACAATTGCAACCAGGTCCATTTGCACCGAAGGCATTTGCAACTACGGTGGACTTTAGCAACCATGGACATTTTACTAATATATATTTGCGCCATTCACACCCATTAGTAATTATCAACATCTTTATTCCAAGTCTCTCGTAGAATAATAAAGTAAAACTCTTAAATTAAATGAAGGGCAAACATCGTGATTCAACTTACTCATAAGTGACATCGTGCGATAGTGAATTTTATATCGATCATAACGAGCAGCAGTCAATAAATCTCCGTAATAATAAAACAGCACTTCGTGTGGAGACTTGCTGTTTTCACCTTTCAATATTCCGCTAATATCCTTTCCATCAATAGACAACTGCTTGAATGTTGTGGAATTTAGCAAACCTAGGAATAAGATTGAAAGGTTTGAGCTTAAATAATTTAATCAGAATGTGAAAAAGTTATTCCATATATTTTTCACTGAATATTGGTAGTTGAACTGCACAGACTTCAATCTCATTAGAGTAAACGTGCTGTGGTTTTAGCTGCAATCAATGGTTTTTACTTCTAACCATTATCAAGCATTTGAAATAAAATTTGACAAGTCGAATTGAAATATGGGTGCTCCAGAAGTATGCGCACTAAGATGTCGCAGACCTGAATCCTAACCGTACACGCATATTGTGTTTAGGTTGTGCGCCATCTTGGTGCGCATACTTCAGGAGGTCCGAAATATGTATTCAAAAAAATGATATACATATACCGCAATGTTGCGGATGCATTGTAATTGATTTTATACATTATATGTTCATGAGAAGGGCAGCCGGCCTACTGAAATATTGACAAACGTCGAAAAATTGCAAAAAGTCTGGCCACAATCACCAAATTGTTCTTTGGACCAATCTATGTTAAATCGTTGCTCGAAACTTGACTATTCCGAGCTAAACTGCTAACTCCACACAGCACCCAATGTTTAATATTTGAGTAGATAAAAATTGTCGAGCCAATTCATTTGCTACAAAACAATATTTTACTTGCAAACTTTATAATAGTCGGAAACAAATCCATGGTGCTCAGTAACGAATCGCAGACAATTTTCTGTGAAATGGTTCCAGGCCACCATGCCACTGCTGGAACACGAATCCCTCCTTCCCACGTTGTTGTTTTTCCTCCACGAAAGAAACCTGTGGAACCACCATTCCCGCAACCGTCTTTTAAAGGTCCCTGGTCCGATAGAAAAACTACCAACGTGTCTTTTTCAATCCCAAGTTCGATTAAATAATCGAGAACTTCTCCAATTCCCCAGCCCATTTCATTAATGGCATCCCCATATATACCTGTGTGTGGAAGAATGTTACATGTTGGCAATAGGGCAACTGTGTTAGAAAACAGCAGGTTATTTCATTTTACTGATCTGCCGAGCACTAATTTGGTTTCGCAACACAGTGTCAATATGCCATTTATATCTTTCTTCATTGATGAAAGTTATATTTTCCAATAAGAATTAACACTCTCTCCCTCTTTTCAGAGGATGTGTGACAACTATGGCTACGTACTTCTCTTGGATTTGCCAAGAAACGCGGTGCTGGCAAATACTGCAGAATGAGTTTGTGGAAAAGACAAAAGGAAGAAGAATGGTTGATCCTTGTTTTCACGGATAAATGCTTTTGTCTCGTTAACGAGTCTACCTGTCAGAGTGTTGAGGTTGATTGGTTGTTCCACAATTGTATCATTATGATACAGAAAACATCCTTTCATCTGCGGTATTGTATACTAAAATATTTAAAATCAAACATCAATATATTTCTACGATAGACATCACATAATATTAATTATGAAGAATTAGGAGAACGCTTCTCGATTTAGGATCAGAGAAATGACTGCCACTCTTCTGCGAGAATTTTTCGAGTGCCAAGACTTTTGTTTCACTTTTATCAGATCACTAAACAAATATCCTTACCTTTATCGCGCTGTTTTGTCAACCCATACAAGCTTGACGGCATTTCAACCTCTGTTTCAGCATTTGTGTTAATTAAAACGTAAACGTCCAATATTCTATACCAGGGGTTCTCAAACTTTTGGTGTTGCGGAGCCCTTGAAAGGTTGAATATTATTCGCGGAGCCCCAAAATAAATTTTAAAATTGTTACTTTCAGATTATTATTCCCGAGCAAGTTAAAAGTACTTTATTTATTCTAAATGCTGAATCTTTTCTTTTTTGACATTTTTGGAAGACTTAATTAAAAGGCCGTTAGTAACGTGCGCTATTTCATTTTGTTACAATCGCCGATTTTTTCCGTCAGCATGGCGTGTTTTAAACATCTTTACGCCGCTGTTTATTCTTCCTAAATCAAAAATTTCCCTCGGCATATACATGTATTGTTACACAATGACGACGTTAATTGCTTTTTTGTTCTCGTGGGGAATTATGAGTTCAATGTGAAAAACATGTTACCATATTATAGTCATCGGCGACGAAATGCTAAAAATAATAATCAATAAAAAGGTAAATCCACAACTCAAATTTCTTGATTGAAAAGCGGCATTCTAAAATATTTAAACTGAAACTTAAAATGGAAGATCACACTTTGGTTTCAGCAGACTCACCTCAGATTGAAAACGCTTCTATAGACATTGTAAATCACAAAATTTGGTGTTATGTTAGGTTTTCATCGTAGTAGCTGCGAAATCGAAACACAGTCAATTGTGCGCGCGATTTACCTTTTTTTTTCTGAAACGACCGACGCAGCCGCACGCAATCAATGGTGCGCGCGATCCGCGATGTACCTTTTTTCATTCTGAAACTACCGACGGAGCTGAATGCAATAAAATAATTTTCAATCGTTCGTATTTTCCCCAGACATTGTGATTTTTTAAACAGCGATATCTTGCTTAAAAATAATCTCAAGTGCGAAAGAACAAATCAAGTTTGACAAATACCAAGATCGCAAAAATACGACACCAATTTATTTATAGTTGGCAGTTTATCACATATTTTATGTTATTTTAGAATAGTATTCTTTCATTTTAGTAATCCTAATAGTAATCTCGAATCAAACGTGAGTAACGATGAGCACAACTACATTATACCGACGAGACACGTCAAATGCTCCATCGGTCTTGGATTGAATATTTTACGCAACAAAAATCTCGTTATCCGTTTTTTTAATCGCGAAAAATGTTGCGCGGAAATTTCCGATTCCAATTTTGAACCACCTCCCTCTTAAGAATCCTGGCTGCGCTACTGCTCATAAATAATGTCATTTTTTAATTCCGGCCCTTTACCATATTTCGAGGCTATATTGTTGTCAGATGTTATCAAAGCTGTTATTGCTTCTTTGAACAGTTACAAAATTTTGAGTCAGTATTTTGAAGAGTAATTGAATAGCTCGCGGAGCCCCTGGGTTTCTCTCGCGGAGCCCTGGGGCTCCGTACGGAGCACTTTGAGAACCTATGTTCTATACAATCTCTATTCATTGTGGCATCCCGTAGTGTATTTCGTTTTTGTTTTTTCCTTAAATTTTGTTTCTATGATTGTGTTTAATTACTTAATTACCCCGGCACTACAAAAAAATGTAAAGTCATAAACGAATATATTGCAGACCAAATAAACAAGAAGACAAATCATAGTTCATAGTGTGTTTTAATGAGATGGATAAGCTTTGTGGTCTTCAGCGAGTTTTCTTTAATATCTGGTGACATTTTCGTCGGCACAATCTCAAATTACCCCGTTTACTGATGGAAAGGCGATTTCGTTGTTTTGATAGCATTAGTGTCACGGCTGAAAACCCCTTTTCCACCATATAAGAGGTCGGAAATGAAAGAATCCAGGGTTCTACCTCCTCACAAAATCGCCGGGTACTTGCGTGATGACCTGCACCAAAATACATCATATCGATCTTCGGTAAAATTCATCTTCGATTCCTCATCATGTACCACGGCCTCAATTCCGATTACCATTTCATAGAATTAATCAGTCATTTATTTGTTTCAGATTCATGGACTTGATAGTGAGGGAAACCGTAACCGATCATCGTCTACGGCTACATAATATACATTCCTTAACGAATTTTCAATCTGAGGATGGCTTCGATTGTTTTGCGATAACGTCATATAGAGTAGTAAAAGACCAAGTGTGTAAGCGGCTATGGCACCTTTGTTTATCGATATATATATCTTCCCAGTTGGGTGGCACTAATGGCTCGTTTGAAAGGGCTGGCAGAGCGCATTTCAGAAAAATGAACAAATCGTTTGTATCACATCTTTGTATACTACAACACTCAAAAAATAGATTTACTCCAATGTTTTTCTATTCAACTCTTAAAAATACAGCGCGGGCCACTCGAAATGCTTCCACGGGCCACATATGGCCCACGGGCCACGGGTTGGACGACCCTGTTTCCACTTCGGAAGAAGTGGATTTTATTGTGAAACAATTATTGAAGGGTAGTAGGCCTTATATTTTTGAGTCTTTGGCGAAGCTTAATGCCAAAGGTGGTTTTGATCTTATTGTTAATCGCAGTATTATGTCACTATCCAGGGGGGTATTTTTAGATGATGTATTTGTCGGTGTGTTGCGACGATGGCGTAGACAGAATCCACCTCCAGGTAAAAAAGATATCATACTGATAAAAGTATTTAGAATTGTTTACAATATTCAGGCATTTTTATCAAAAATGAAAATTTGACAAAACGTAATAATCTTATGTAGAACCAATTGTTACGTAATTTGATAAAAACTACGGAAAAATGAAAGCTTATGTTTTGGTGACCAAATTCTCCATAAGGCTTAATATTATGAATTTCCTTTCCATTTTTCCACGTAGAAAGCGTTTTACATGGCTTGAGTCTATTACGACAAATGTTAGCTTCTGTTAGGTAATAAATTCCCCGTATCAAATGATAGCCTACAACATAATAATGTCGAGGTACCACCGCTCGAACATTCCAAATGTAAATACTATAATGCTTGATTTTTGATAGAACAAATTTAATTTGTCCATAAAAACGCGACCATTCTTTTCACTTATTTTTATTTTGTGGGCAAATTCTATCCTTTTGTTTTCAAATTTAGAATCATAATTTTTATATATGAATAATAGCCAATAATAATACCATAATAGCAATAATTCTATAGCGCTGGAAAACCCTAATCGTGTCTCACGTTTAATATTTTATAGATTTAGGTTTTCATGAAAACCACCGTGGTTTATGTTGCGGGGCCGGGTAACAAACTTTCACTGCTTGAATCATATGTGAACTGCCGCCCGTGGAACAAATGCGGTCCGCAAAGAAAAATTGTTCGTCCGCGGAGAAGTGCCAATTGTGAATCGTGTTCCCGCGAAACGGGTTTTCGGTTTAGTTAATCTGGTAATTCAAATCCCTTTGCGTGGCAAAGCCTATACCAGTACCTGAGTGCCACTGTCATATTAGCAAAATTAGCTAGCAAAATACAAATGTAATAAAAACGTTTTTCTTGCTGACTTCGTTTGAAGTCGGTGTGACAATAAATTTGAATAGCAGTTTTCAATTTATGCGTTTTAACCCAACATTTTTGCAAGGACCCCTGCAACAATGCAATAACACCAATAACAAAAAGGAACAATTTTTTGTGCCTGCAACTACAGTATAGAAACTCTACCTACGAAGTTAATTCGTTCCGGAAGCCCCTTCGTATAGAGAAAATTACGTAAGTGCGGATGCATTTAAACTGTAAATACCCTAATCCGTTCTGAGCCCCCACAAAACTCACAAATAATGGTTAATAAAACCCGTAAGAAATACCTGTTAGAATTAGATTTTGGCATAATAAATAGAAAATGTACAAATGGAATGAAGAAAAATCGGAGAAATACCGAATAAAACTACAAACTGTATGTTTGTTTACCTTTGGCGTTGACCGACTAGGCTAGACTAAACGAAAATAGCGGAGAGTGGGAGGACGGTGGTCGTAGGTTAATTAAAGGAAGCGGCAAAAGTTGACAACTGAGAGAACGTAATGTACAAAAATGAGCACACACACATGAAATTCAAATCCCCCCTCCATCGTATCATCGTCTATTCAATGAATTTCGCTAGCAATACATTGTACGTACCCGGGCAGGAAACAAACTGGTCAATGAAATGGCAGATAATTTATTGCCATGCCGCAGCCTTCGATTGCGATAAAAAATTGAATAATTGAAAATATTTTAAATCAATGCGTGGACGTCGGCACTATAGGACATGTGCGCCATCCTTATAAACACGGAAAACGATATTCGAAGGTCGCAATATACGAATATTAAATTCGAATTGGACATCTCTTCTTCATTGCATTGAACCGATCTAAAATAAACAAATATCACTACACGCATTTTTCAAGTTTTTGATTTCCGGTTTTTCGTACGTAGAAAATCTTACGTTAGCCGATATTTATACGAAAGAAATTCCGTATTTTGGATTTTTCGTATCCAGACCCTGCCGGAGGTAGAGTTTCTAGGTGTGGCCCGCGGCTTCACCCAGTTGCTTGTATCTGGACGTTCTGTAATAAAGGTTACACACCCCTGATCCAGAATATTCGACTAAAGTGACGCCAAGAGTATATAACAACGAAATAACAGAACATTATTCCTCAGAAAATAAGTTTTACGTCAAAAACGTTAACTTTTATTTTGTTAGTGGGACGTTACTCCCTTCTTACCAAAAACATAACTGTTGTAATTTAGAAAATGTGAAATATAGCTGGATGAGGAATCTTTATACTCAATCTACTAATTTGTGAATTTTGGTTTATTAGAACAGAACTTGTAATGATGAGCTTTGAAGCCAGCTCATTCGGTTGTCAACTACATAAAAAGTATCCTAATTCTGACCTTTTTTGGATCACAAGCCCACATTTGTGAATGAGGTAAAGTAGTTCCAACGTAATCAAATCCGTAACGGTGAGGCAAGTATACTCCATCTGTAGCAGATTTTTCATTAATACCTGTGAAATGGAATTTAATACTGCGCCCTGCGCCTCAATATTTTGTACGTGATTTTGATCAATGTCGGTGAAAATCACCCATAGTTCATGACCTAAAAGTATTCACAGCATGGCTACTTTATTAGACACAAAAAAATACCTACAAGTATCCTATTGTATGTTTTCACGTCTGATGCTTTCTGTTAATAGTTATTTTATATTGACTCTCCTTTACGTACCCAAGTGCCATTTTCCGTTCATACCGGTAATATACCCCCCGTGCCGCAGGACTTCGGCTATGGTTGTTTCATCATGACGCAATCCTCCAGATGAACTTGGTGCAAATACAAGTCCTTTGCCAAACACGCCGGTTCGAATTGGATAACGACCTATAAAGAAATAGAGAGTTGTTGCTGCCGTGATTATTCACAGTAAAATGCACAACCAGTAATAAACAAACGGCATTGTTTAGTTCAAACTATATAATTTTGACTAAAAACTACATAGTATGCTTCTTACTATGTACGTATGCATGTGTGTCTGTTTGCCTCAAAATTTAACAGCGTATGTATACCATTCACAAATATAACAGCAGCGTAGGACTGCTGCGATACAACAAGGCAATATAAAAAATAACAAAAAATTACAAGTAAAACTCTATTACAATACACAAGACAGAACGTACGGCACAAATCTCGGTATTCCCACAAAATTACGCAAGTGGGTTTACAACATTGCACAATTACACGCTACCTACTAACGAACAACGAATAAAATACCGAGGGATTTACATACTAAAAAGAACATAAGAATGGGCAACCACTTGGTATTTTTGCGGTATTCTTGCCAACGCGTTGATCAATATTCATCAGGATGTGACAATATGATATAGTTATTATTCTTCTTTACATTTTCATATTGTTATGTATATTGGTAGAGGGCATTTCTGTCTGTGATATCACATTTAAGTGATTTAGTAAATGGCAAAAGTTTTAAAGTATTTGTCGAATGCCAAGAGCGTGTACCCTGGGGATTTGATACGCGCGTGAGAAATCCGAAACAAAAATTTTACATTCAAAACATTTCGTTCCGTAAATGCCTAAACACCCATTCTTTCCAAAAAATGGAAAATTTGTTGCAGTATATACTATTGTTGCAGTATATACTATATACTAAAACATTCAACAAAAGAAATATAAATTTTATGGCACAGAGAAGAATTCGATACCGTATGGTTGTGGATCGCTTCATACACCACTCCTCTGTATCCCGCATGCTATATTCTGACGAAACATTTTACTTAGTTCAATTTTGTTTTTTTGTCAATTGATCATATTACCCTATTTTGTAGTATATATTCAGTGAAATCTGGACCATCAAGATTGTTTTGTGTTTTTTTTTATATTCCTTTCACTACGAAAATAAATTTTTCCATTGGATGATTCAAATTTACCCCGCTACTGCCTTTCTCAATCTTGTATATATACTGTAACATTTTCAATTTTTGCTCATATTGCTAATGTTTTTATCAATCTATAGTAGGCCGAAATTCGCGTTCATGCGTGGATTAGCACTAGATTATTGTGATAAGGTGCTGTATATACGAGATAATCTAAACAATTTTGCAATGAAACGTGGAAGTTAAGTTATTTGAAGCTTTTCGATACGATTCAGTTCAATCGAATAGAATAAGTACATTTCATGGTCCCGTGAACAAATTTAATACTGAAAGCGTTATTCCAATCGTAGATTTTCATTTATTATATATATAATAGAACAGGATACTGGATATTGTATACATCACATATATCTACCGTATATTCTGGCGTGCCAACTACTTTTGTAAAAAAAGGGTATTTTCCATTTTTTTACTCTTCTTTGTTTCCTCAAAGTGTAGAAATGAATTATTTATTGCTTATGTAGTACTGAATATTCTTCTGAATAACTTTCGATCTTCAGATAGTCACGAAAATCACGCACAGAAAAGTGGGATTGAAAAATATTAATTTTACTGAAGGAAATTAGTAACTTCTGACACAATCAGTAATTTACCTGTCAAAATTGCTGCTCTACTTGGTGAACATATAGATGATGGGCTGTGAAAATTTGTGAACTTAATCCCTTCCATGACCATTCTATCTACTGCTGTCCATTCTTGCGTTGGGTGTCCATAGGTTTGAAAGTCAGCATATCCGACGTCATCAGCAAGAATAATAATGATATTAGGTCGACCACCTCTTTTGACTCCTGAAGTAACGTCTGGCAATATAACAAAATACCACACCAAAATAACACCAGACACAACTGACAAAGATGTAAGCACAACAACAGTTAACGCAATATTTCTTGTTTCCATATTATATCACCTGAAATATGCAAAGCCAACGAAAATTACTTGGAAGGTGCAAATAAAACAGCAATGGCCACTAAAATAATCTGGTACTAAGATACGATTTTCTAATATTTTCATCGACTGAAATCTCGAATCTCTTAAGACTTTGTGTACTTTCCGCGAATAAACTATTTCAAAACTAGCCATTAGGCGAAACAAAGGGTAAACGTGTTATAGACTTGACCACTTCTGCGTGCATTTCAACGTTCATTTCTGTTTTTCAATTCAGTAATCAATTTGGTGATCCTCACAAAAATAAATTTTTGACTAGAGGTTTTGTTTGCTATCCTGATTTCGTAATCACTTCTTATTTTTTGTTTTATTTTCAAAATTATTTTATTGGCCACAATGCTGATTATGGAGTCAAAATAAATTATATATATGATAATATATCACTAGGGATCTATTCACACTAAACTAAAAAGTCACGAAAACGTAATCCGGTATTTCAAAAACAATGGCAAAAACTGTGAAACGTCTCGTCATACCATCTGTTCAATCAACTGTAAATCTGCAACTGCCGTTATATAGTAGATTTTGTGATGACCGTCCACTGCTCTAGTTAAATTTTTAAGTCGGTTTGGTCTGTGTCTGCTATTCTTGTAGGCCCGGATAGTTATTGTTAACGACGATAACTTGATGAATAGGCATAGCCAATGGAATTGTCAATATATACATATATCAATATTGGTTATAACTTGGATCAGAAGTTCTAAACCTTTATTCTCTTATTTACTCATATGTAAATTTCCAAAGTAACATTTATCCCCCATTTTTGGACACGATATGGACCTATGCATGGGTGCCGCCAGGATTTTCAAAAGGGAGGGTTAAAATCGAAAATTCCCATCCCTTTTGAAACAGTTGCGCATTTTGCGCTCGTTAACAGAGCGACATTTTCAGCGTATAATGTATTTTATGACAAGTAAAATATTCAATTCATGGCAACTACGAGCATCTAAAATGTGTTTTTATATTAATTAAATTGTTTTCGAATTCTACAAATCTACAATCTACAAATCGATTTCTACTTGCAACACTCACTCCGCTCTGTTGAATCGCTAGAAATGTCCCCAAGTTTTCTATCAAATCCCACAGAGTAAAATTTATTTTTAGTACAATTAAAACTGATTGACTATACTTTAAATTAATCATCTTGTGTATATATCATCACAATCCGGGAAAATGTCAACGCCAAACAAACATAATGTATAGACACACGAAATTTTGCGATTTACAATGCCTAAAGCATTTTTAATTTAACGCCGGTCTCATACGACACAATTTATATTGTTTTCTGTTTTATTTTAAGTATATATGTATATATATAGATATGGATATTTTATATTGCCGCTCTTTAATCAAAAATATTGCGTCGCCGATTCATTTCTTTATTTGTCTCATCTTGCCATTCAATTACCAATCTTTCAAGTATTCGAGATTTGATTCGAAAAATATTCGATTCAATTCAGAAACCACTAGGTATTTGAAAATGCCCTGCATTAATTGCGAACAAATGTTTATGGAATTATGATAAATCTTCGAGGCAACTAAGAAAAAGGATTCGTATATTGATCCGTATATCCAATAGTTTCACATGAGCCTAGTTTAATACACATATATGTGCCACAGTAAAGATCAGTATCTGAATATAATCACTGTACATGGACGATGTTCGGAGAGTATATAAAGCATTAAAGCAAACATCAAAAATGTATATTTTTATGATACGCTGTCGTCCATGCATCGATTTTGAACTGCGTGCGAGTGCGGGTAATCATTAGAAGAATCAATTGAATCTGTGCACATTTGAGACTCTTATAGCAAAATCCCCACCATCATCTAGAAAAGAACTTGTACGACAATCGTTATCAATGTCCTTATCTTATCCAGACTATCCGATCGATCTCAATCTATCGATATAATTATATTTGGACATTTTCTATCAATAAAAAAATCTGTAGAAGCGGATTTTACTTGCTGTGTATAGCATACATTTATGATCGGGAAAGAGAAAAATTATTTTGAAATGTTTTTACATAAACTGGAAAAAGGATCTTTTTTGGGACTCAGAGAACTTATAGTCCATTTCGATGTAAAGTTGATCAAACTTAGTGTTTATTATTAGTAGTTTCTTTGCAGTAATGGGGGTTTCAAGAAATACACTCACCCCCTTTCTTTCGTGATGTTGTTCTCGGACAGCGTCATCAACATCGTGAATACTTCATTTCAATACAAATATAATTTTTTCGTTGTAAGCGAAAAAGTCATGAATGAAAGGGTTAGGAATACGCTCGCCACCGCACCTCTAATTACCCTGTGCATCATGTACGCGAGGATTGCTGGACTCCTCTCCGCCACAGCGTGCATGAGTGATTAGGCACGAGGTGATCCAGGTATTAAGTTAACTAGGATCCAATCCTCAAGGCAATGAAAATCTAAAGTATGATTCACATCCGCTTGGTGGCACACTATGAAAGTGTTATTTCGATTTTAGCGGCGGTCTGAGTCCCATACATAGCCCATACATAGGTACACCCAAAGTGACTATAAATCGTGCGTACCTACCCCGTTTTGTTCGTGTTTCCCAGCTGCTGGAAAGGAATATTTGCTTTATTTCAGCTGTAGTATTACTATTGTTTTTCTGTTTTTAGTAGTATTCAAGAGATATTTATACAAACAATATAAAATAAACTATACAACAGACAGAGCGTTAGATGTAACGTTACAAAGCACAGCAGTTTAGGTTATAGATAGTACAATTCAATAGAACTTCAATGCTCAAATAGTAGGGAGTAGGGACAATGGTTTTTGTTTGAGTAGCATGCTGTTCAATTTATTTCCATTGTTGCTACCTACTTTTTCTTCTGCTCATCCCAGGATACCATACCGTATAATTTTATTATTTTAATTTACATTGGAAAATCCATGACATGGTAAAATGGCTTCTCTTTGTACCTTATCATTCCCTATCCCTCTGTACCTTTATACCTTTCTAATCTTCTGGCTGAAATGCAACCATAATACTGTAATAGGTTTTGTGGAAATGCTTTTTATTAATTTTTTTTATTTTCATTTTTTGAAACTTCATCGTTTTTGGCTGAATCCAGTATTCCAAAAAAAAAAACCTTACAATAGTGAGTCATTTGATACATACCTTTATCATATTTCACCAAAACCTGTAGGGTCACATTTTGGCCAGAACAGCCATAGACCACTTATAATACTGTCGCCCTTGAGTGGTGCATACCATATATGTACACACCCTTTAAACTTGACCATTCCCGCATTTTATAGTATGTGGTATCATCACTCAATGGTGTTGTACATTCATCCAAATTCTTAATTTTTTTTTATTACTATATTCATATGCAGTGTGTTTCATGTTGTGTAGTGTCTCTATTTATAGATGTTGTTTTGTCTAACAAACTCCTTTGTACAAACAGTTTTGTACACTCCACCCTTATCCCTGTTACCGCATCCACCCACCCTCCTTGCACAACTGCCTGTATAAAGGACCATATTGTACATATTTGATTTACCCTATTATAATTTATATATATCAAAAGGGGTGTATGCCGCACATTTGTGTTTTAGGCCAATATGGTCTTGTGCATACATCCCGTCTTCAGTATTTATAATTACTTACTCTTTTATATTGCTTTTACGAGACGAATAAACATACATACATACCGTAGTTTAGTTACCGATATCGGGTCTAGTATAGTTTAGTACCACATGCACTTCTGGTTGGCCTGGCTCAACAATTTTTGCATATGTCAATCCTAACCCCCACCTGACTACGTCACCGAAAAATTACGTCATTTGGACGTCACAGTGGCGTAATAAGACCCACCAAAGTATGCGGATGGTCGTCCAATACGCGCATACGATCACCCGAAATCGAGCAAGCTATTTCTCTCGTTTTTTCGGCACAACGATCACCATAGCAGAGAGATCGTCGGCGTTGGCGAGTTCGTTATCGGCGGCGCAGATGCCATTTCGGGTGATTGTAATTATACTTTGGCAAGCCATATGACGTGATGGTGACGTCGTAGTGACGTAATTTTTGGATGGCATAGTCAGGTGGGGGTTAGGAATTACATATGCAAAATTCGTTATGCTACACCCAATGGAAGTACTTGTGGTACTAAACTATACTAGACCCCCGATATCACTAACTAGCTCCTTCCGCCCTGCGCTCTGTCTGTAGCTGGTGATCCCTTAAAATCTAAAAATTGAACAACAAATGGGGGGGTCTCGTGTAGTTTCGTACCTAACATACTTCTAGTGGGCGTAGCATAACAATTTTTTCACGTGTCAATCCTAACCCCCACCTGACCACACCAACCAAAAATTATGTCACTACGACGTCAGAGTGACGTAATAGAGCCCTTCAAACTATGCGAACTGTCATCCAACGCGCGCAGACGAGAACCCGAAATCGAACAGCCATTTCTCTCGTTTTCTTGTCGCAACGATCCCGATAGGAGAGAGATCGCTGACGTTAGTCAGTTCTTTATCGTCAGCGCCGATGCCATTTCGGGCGATCGTACGAGAATTTGGCAAGCTCTATGACGTGATTGTGACGTCGTAGTGACGTAATTTTTGGATGGCGTAGTCAGGTGAGGGTTAGGATTGGCATGTCAAAAAATTGTTATGCTACGCCTATTAGAAGTACGTTAGGTACGAAACTACACGAGACCCCAAATGGGAACAGTTTCCATGAATAGTCAGATAGTGGGGAAATTGCCAGTCCAGCAGTCAGGCAGTTTTATTTTCACTATGCCGAAAATATGCACTGGTGCATTGAACATGCGGTACCAATTTAAAGGCGCAGGCCCAAAGAGACAGATATACGGCAAATACAAAAGATCTAGCCTACTGCATCTTACTGCTGTATGGTACATTGTGAATCATTTAATTCTGTAATTCAGTACGGTACCAGAAAAGGGGTCTCATTTAGTTTCTTACCTAACATACTTCTAGTGGGCGTAGCATGACAATTTTTTCACGTATCAATCCTAACCCCCACCTGACTACATCATCCAAAAATTACGTCATTACGACGTCACAGTGACGTAATAGAGCCCTTCAGACTATACGAACTGCCATCCAAGACGCACGAACGAGCACCCAAAATTGAACAGTTAGTTTTCTCGTCCCAACGATTCCAATAGGAGAGAGACCGATAACGTCGGTCAGTATTTTATCGTCGGCGCCAATGCCATTTCGGTCGATCGTGCGTATATTTGGCAAGCTCTATGACGTGATTGTGATGTCGTAGTGATTTAATTTTTGGATGGCGTGATCAGATGAGGGTTAGGATTGACATATCAAAAAATTGTTATGCTACGCCCACTAGAAGTACGTTAGGTACAAAACTACACGAGATCTGGTAACTGAGTACAGGAGTAATGCGCCTTTCTTGGTGGGTCTAGCTGTGAGTACAGGAGTAATGCGCATTTCTTGGTGGGTCTAGTTGTCTAATATGGTTTTTTACCTCAAGTACATATTTCTAGTTGGCATAGCATAACAATTACGTCCCTACGGCATCACAGTGGCATAATAATGCCCTTTAAACTGTCATCAAAGATGCGCATATGATCGTCCAAATCGAGCAAGCTATTTCTCTTGTTTTCTGGTCCAACGATCCCAATACCCGATTAATCTTTATTACTTTATTATATGTGGTAATTTCAGTTAATGATTTAAGCTCAGTTAACACAGTAACATGAAGTAGACTAAGCATAAAATAAAAATTGGACTTCTTAAAGTCAATGTGGATACTGTTGCACAATTTCTGGATTACACCGCTGACAACAGGATATACAGATTGAGGATTACACTCTTAAAATGAGTGAGTGTGAATATTCAAAATCTCTTACATTGGGTATAACCACTCAGGAAATAATTTCTAAGTTCAATTTAATGCTCAAGGATTGCAAAAACTTGAATTCGTTACTACTTAAGCTGTTGACAAGAAGAGCAAAACGAAATACAAAATACCAATTTGAACTCCTTGATGACGATTCCGCAATAAATTGGGTTGTGGACATATCAAACGTTGAAAATTTTGATGAGCTAAATGTTAGCTTGGAAGATCTGGATGGATATGTTTTAACAAACAGATTGAAGGATCGTGCTTCAGGTATTGAAGACTTGATGTGCGGTGCTATAGATGACGAAAAAGATATTACTCACAATGCTTCAAACAATGTAAGATCATATAATAATATTGCAGAAAATGAAATGACTGATTCTATATTGTATGATCAAGACTGCATTTCCGAACAATCTTCGACTAACAACAAAAAGTTATTAATTCTAATTGACAGTGATATTAGGACCTCTCAGACTAATAAAGGTTGTAACAATTTTGATCCAAAATTTATATGCTCAGAATGCCTATCTGAAAATCCAAATGAAGCAGGTTTTACTCTTCAAGATGAATTAAACTATGAAACAATCACAAGGCATTGTATCATATGTAACAACGAATTTGTGAGCTCGGGTTCGTGTATTTCTGGAAATAACTGCAAAGACAGTTTTCAATGCCCATTGTGTAACTCTGTATATCATACCAGGCTGAAATTGAAAGAGCATTGTCGGCATGATCATTTAAGGCATTTGACTTTTGAGGACAATGGAGAAATAAAACTCAGTAAACGAAAATTAGCAAAGTGTGATCAATGTGATTATGTTGCTTTGCGAAAGGGACGATTATCATCTCATCTCAAGGATGTCCATGGGATATCTGAAATAATTTCTTGTGACACGTGTCAGAAAAAATTCCCCTCTCATCGGATGTTGCAACACCATGTTATGCAATTCCACACTATGATCAATGTAACTTGCAAAATTTGTGGAAAAATTTGCAAAAATCGTTCATCATTCCAACGACACAATGCATCACATACTCAGTCATTCCAATGCAAATATTGCGAAAAAGTTTTCAATGATCGTCGTAGTCATCTTCAACATGTAAAACGACATTTGACGAAAGAGGTTTTCGAATGCTCTCATTGTAATCGTTCTTTCAACCAAAAGGCAAATATGGAAAGGCATGTAAGAGCGGTGCATTTAAATGAAGGAAAACTTTTGTGTGATTCTTGTCCTTTTACTACATTCTATTCTCATATATTGAAAGATCATGTCAATCGCGTTCATTTTGGGCTAAAAACTGGTAAATTTACTTGCAAATATTGTCAAAAAGTATTTACCAGACGGTCCACTGCAGAGGAGCATGTAGACAAACATGAAGGAGTTTACAGATATACTTGTGAGAAATGTGGTAAAAAGTTTCGCAATAAAGGAAGATGTAAAACGCATTATGCACAGTGTGTGTTATCACAAACTAGTGAGAAACACACAACTTTGCCAGAAAATATGGAAATTGTATTAGAATTTGTTGAAACAGGGCCAAATTAAAACAATAAGAGTTTGCCAAGAGTTTCGAAGTTTTATCTCTCTGTGCAAATAATTCCAAAGATGCCATCATTTGAGCTATATTGAAATGTGACATGGTCAAAAGTTTGCTGTTGTTTTTATTTGCTAAATATTTAAATCATTTGGTGAATATTTGTCAATCAAAATTTTTGATTTGAAGTTTTAAAAATTCAAATCAAAATTTGCCGTAAATTAATTTTAAATTGACGTAAAACTGAAAATCTGTTGGATTAACTAGTTTTTTTTTTATAATAAAAGCAAATATTATCTTATATTCTGCAAGCATTGATATCTCTATTGCTTTAATAAGAATATCTTGAAATAATTTTAATTGGTTTGTTTTATGTAATTTTTGGAATTTGGGTTCCATGTTTTAAAGAGCATGTGGTTTTTGAGTTAGAAATCATGTTCATGCTTCACTGATTTAAAATTTGTTTTAAATCATTTGATAATATATGAATATATATCACACTATTTAGTCCTGATTTATATTAATAGCTTTTTGCACCTTAATAAGACTTGTAATATTGCCTGCCTCATCACTTACTGTATTATTAGCAATGTTGTTCAGGACAGTTTTCAGCAGGGTCTCCCTCTCACATATTCTTCAGACGAAGACTGTTATTAAAGCAAAGCAGCATCGTTGTATGTCCTCTCTTCTCAATCTTGATAACACAATATATGCACTGTCTTCTGGATATGGAAAATGTGGAGTATCTGTGATTAGAATTTCTGGTGAACGAACATCAGATGTTATCAAAAAGATGGCCAGTGGCTCCCGTTTTCCAATACCCCGAAAAGCACATCTTACTACGCTGGTTAACCCAGATAGTGGCGAACATCTTGATAAAGCGTTAGTGTTATGGTTTCCAGCGCCATACAGTTTTACAGGCGAAGATGTTTGTGAATTTCATGTCCATGGCGGAATTGCAGTCGTTGCATCTGTTTTCCGTGCTCTTTCTTCTATTGCAGGATTGAGACCTGCCATTGCTGGTGAATACACAAAAAGAGCATTTCTAAATGGAAAGCTAGATCTCACAGAAGTCGAAGGTCTGGGCGATCTGATTCACGCAGAAACAGAAGAACAAAGGAAGCAAGCATTGAATCAAATGGAAGGGCGACTCAGCTCTGTGGTGAAGACATGGAGTCAGGATTTACTAAGATGCCTTGCTCACTTAGAAGCGTTAATTGATTTTGGAGAAGATCAACACATTGATGACGGTGTTCTTGAAAATATTTCAAAAAAGTTAACAACACTCTCACAGAATATCGAAAATCATTTGAATGATAAAAGACGTGGAGAGCGGTTGCGATCTGGTGTTCGCCTGGCCATAATAGGCGAACCCAATGTTGGAAAAAGCACATTATTGAATTTGATTACATCAAGACCTGCGGCGATTGTGTCGCCAGTTGCAGGAACAACACGAGATGTTGTTGAAACAACGTTAGACATTGATGGATTTCCAGTAATTCTGAGTGACACTGCTGGTATCCGAGAAACTGGTGATTTAGTTGAAATCGAAGGTGTAAAAAGAGCGAAAGCTAAGGCACTAGAGGCCGACCTTATTTTGTATATTATTGATGTCCGTGGTCTTAAAAAATTGTCTGCCGGTATCCCGAATCTTAGACAACTTATTTCATCACAGTTGTCCAATGAAACATCGTCAGTGGACGATGAAATAGATATAGTATTCGTTTTAAACAAATGTGATCTCATTGACAAGGAAGAAGTTTTGAATTTTGAGAGAAGTCTGAAGAATGTTGGGTGTTATGAACTTATTTCTTGCCACACTGGCGACGGTGTTGACAAATTCCTGAGAAAATTATCGCAGAAAGTTAGAGAATTATGTTCTGGTGACGATGTTTCAGCATACAGTCCAAGTCTTACACAAGAAAGGCATCGTGTTCATGTAACGAAATGTTTTCAAGATATCAACAGTGCGCGGTCTGTTGTTCACACTGATATCGTCATTGGGGCGGAATATCTCAGACTTGCCATGAAACAGTTGGGAAAACTTACTGGCGAAATTGGAGCAGAAGAAATATTAGAAGTTATTTTCAAAGATTTTTGTATTGGAAAATAAAGTATTCTGTGGTGGACACATATAGAGTTTGTTGAGCACTTCGGAATTGGGATCTAGAAAATAGATAAAATGTTATGATATAAAGGAGACTCTTTTCTATTTAATGCCTAAAAAAACAAAGTCAGACATAGCCTGATAAAGTTAATCAACCAATGCACATCAGTGTGATGATTAAACCCAATTTTTGTTATATTCCAAATCTTGCGCAATTGATGATACCCATTACATTCACGAACTTAGCAAAATACACCAGTTTCTGAGGTGTCTTAAAGCACAGCCAATACAAAGTTTATGCGAGCAGTCCCATTGGTTTTAATCAACAACAAGAAAATCACATGCCGTTAGTTTCCAAACCTGATTTAGCCACTTCCTGGACTGGTATAAAATCCGGAAGCTTAGCAAACCTTTAACAATGAAAGCCCGACTTCCCCAGGACGGCCAGTGAGGTTTTTATTTCTTACGTAGCCGATCTGATCTGAACAGTAATGAAGGCGACGATACCGCTTAATAACATACCCACACCCACCTGTAAGCACATAACTAGCTATGAATCCACACGTCTGTGGCTACTTTCCACTAGTACCACACCAATTAGACTTTGAAATCTAAGATAACTACAATTGTAATGGAAGACAAGACCAATATTGCATCTATACATTAAAATATATTTTTACTAATCATGATCCAGATTTTGCTATCGATGACAAATGGCAGTCACTGGGATATAAACAAAAATATATGATTTCAAGTAAAACAAATTAACAGGAATATACAGAGGATTGAATTACTATGTACAGTACAGCAGAAAAGACATCACACACAATTAGGCAAATGCATAGTACCACATACTAAATATAAACCGGTGCAGATATTCAATCTACAATGGAAAGTGGAAAAGCTTGTAAACTCACTAATGATAGTCAAGCTTTCATGAAGGATAGGTAAATTATACCTTACGTTACACTACAGCATAATAGCAATTGGATAAAACATTAAAATTATGAGAAAAAACACCTTGTGATATATTTATTTACTAATTGAACTTGTGCAATATATTCATTTGGGCCAATTAAGTTAGGTAATCTTGAATAAAGATGTAATGTTAATAATAAAGCATTTTATTATCCATGGAAATGTTAATTAGAGGGATGGAATGTAAATGGCTATATATTTAAATTTAAAAAAGACTTAAAAACTATAATGTATTTTTGTATCTGCGACTGCTCGTTAAAATATATAGAAACACAAGGACTCCAGCTGCTAAGTATATTGGCTAGTGGATAAGCGCGAGGACAGTTTTGAATAACAATATCTATGCTGTATAAATATGTATGTCAAAGAATGCCTATTGAAGGTAATTAAATACATAGAACAAAGATAAAACGGAAGTAGCAACGCATTTCAGGAAGCCATTGAAATAAAAAGAGTCCCAATTTCTTGTCCCTGTCTAAAACTGGTATTTCTTGTTTCCTCATGAGGTGTTTAACCCCTCTTTCTCAAACGAGGCACTCTACAAGTAGTCCAACTGAATCTTTTTTCAGGCTCTGTACACTAAATACCCAATTTCTAACACCCCATGTGAAGTTTGGATAAACGATGATCATATAAACACAAATCTTTGACTGGAAAAATGCATAACAATCCTATTCACTTTAGATAAATATAGGGAATTCTATTCCTTTTTGTTTTGCTGGTTGATAATAGCAACAACAAGTTTTTCAACAATGATTGCTAATCCCTTATCAAGAAGATCTAATACACCACGTTGTATCCACTTAGGTATTGTTGTTCTAGCATGTTGGAAACCTAGTTTATGTAAAATATAGTCGACTCCCACAGGTTCAATTCTTCTGCCTGCCCATGATATTAATCTGCAAAATCACAAGAAAGAAATTGTATATAGCAGTGAAGTCAAATAGGTAATAGAAATAAAAAAGGATGGTGAAAAACTATGTTACACTATGTGTAAGCATATATATTTTTTCGTTACATTATTAAGGTCTTTAATATTGAAATAAATTGTTTTCGGGTCGGGATGGCTAAATATTTTCAGATGCATTGTTAAAGTAAGCATATAAATTAGTATTTACTGTAAATTTGTGGTCATGTGAAAAATTTTCTTCTAACCAAAAAGTTAATGGCATATTTCAATTTCTTATTGGGCTCCCTGTGGCCTTTTTGCAACATTATCCGCCAAAAACATCTTTTAGATTCTAATGAAATGTAACTTTGGGAGGATATATAAGCCATAATATAACAACATTGTACATGGTTACCTCACTGTCGGTTCCAATTGCCAGGTATTGCAGACAAAATCTCGTAAATCAATCGGGTCAACAGGCAGAGGTTTTGATGAACTTGGTTCAGTTGTAAACGATCCATCGGCAGTTTCATTCCATACATTTACGGTTAATGATGATAATTTTGTCCTGTTACTCAAGGCTTGTTGTTTTTCCTGAAAACAGAAGATCAAAGCATGAAAAATTAATAAACAATCACCAATCGATATCAAATATCCTGGACAATGTTTTCATTCATAATAGCAAGAGATCACAATCAGATATGATAATGATATGTCATGATGTACAGCAAAATTTTTGGATCAAAATCAAACTTGCTCTTTTCCAACTAAAATTATAAGCCAGGTTTGGAGAGCCATGCGTGGTTTCGGGCGCGGCGGTGTGGCTCAACGGGCTAAGCGTTAGGAATACGCTCGCCACCGCACCTCTAATTACTCTGCGTGGGTTCGCAGGTTCGAATCCTATGTAGGGATGGTTATGTGCGAGAGGATTGCTGGACTCCTCGCCGTCGTTGGGTGGTTCACGTAACCGCTGGTTGGTTAGGGCTTCCTCCACCACCAAGTCCATGCTTCCGAAAACAATACAATAAAAATAATCCCATACCCGACTTGGAATGGTAACCGGACGAGAGGCCGTGGTTCGCCATATGGATAAGCCATCTTATCGGCTTTCCTCTCCCCCGGGACTCCTAATATGGAAAAATTTGGGTTGAGAATCTAAGCAAAAACTATGCCATCAAAAAAATGAATGAAAAATCTGTAAATTCACAATTGCACGTTGTTACGAAAAATCCAAAATATTGCAATTGAAAAAGTCATTGTCTACAAAGTATTGTTGATAATTGATACAGATTTTCAAAACTCAAGGAAATTGTTCTGCATTCACCAATGAGTTCTCGTATAAAATCGACAATAGGCATTGATGATTTGGTAAAGAAGGAAGTTACATATTTCTGCAATATTATAGAATATGATATTGTGCTGAATAGGACTAACCTTCAAATAAGATGAAATCAGATCATGCAGAAATAATATTAATTCGACATCCATCGTAACACAAATATGATCAGTAAATTCTGTTACAAAACTGCAGTCAACAACTGGTTTGCTTTCAGTATCTATATTAAAATATAAGATGACTCAATCATGCAATATGTTCATGTTATGTTAACCAAGTTTCTGCCACGACACGTCGATCTCTCGTTTGCTTTCTAGCTGTGGAGAGACTGACGGACCTCATGTCACTTTTCCATATTTCCACAAATAGACAGGCTACATATTTGAGGGGGGGATTTTATTTTTTGAATTTTTCAAGTGGTAATAAATAGCATATAGGTTGAGAACCCCTAATTTAGTACCTCTTGTACCAATACCCCGTATACAAATAGGCTAAAATGAAAGTACATGTGAAAATTAGGTACATACAGATTCCACTAGAACGTTTATTAAAGAAAGTCATCGATTACATTACTTCAAAAAAACTATTAATTGAGTGAAAACCGTACCTTGCGGATCAGGTTCAGTAGGTCCTTGCATATGTTCTGTTTTAAAATCAAGTTGAACTTTAGGAAGAGCAAAAATAATATCAGCTTCATGACTATAAGTCAAACTACCAAACGAATCATTATGTCGACCAGGCTGAGGTTGTTGAGGTGTTTTACTAACAGGTGTATGTGACGTTCCTGCTTTTGTAGCCCCAATGTCATTCAAAGTTCTCAACATTTTTAGTTCTTCATTATGTGATGCGGTCATGTATGCAAACCATTCAGGAATAGATGCAGATCCTGGTGGTGGATTCTGATTTTTAGATCGAGTAACTCTGCTGACAGTGGCCATAGGATCTGCTTCTTTAATGGTTCTCGACAACCATTTATCATGTCCTAGGTTGACAGTGAGACTTTGGATAGCTAAAGTTGAAGTTTCGTCTCCACTGACAGATTCTAAACGCGAAAAACTTGTGGTTGAGTGGGTGGGTACATAGATACAAGGATACATTATTCGAATATTGCTGCCAAGCACAGTTAGCCCATCTTCACTTATGCATCCAGCAGATAGAATGATCGCTCTAGGTGCCTCCATTGGAAATCTGAGCGAGATTACTTTTTACCATGTCACTGACATAATATAGTGATATTAATACTACCGGTAGATCCATTATTTGATAAATTATTTGAATATTGCTGCCAAGCACAGTTAGCCCATCTTCACTTATGCATCCAGCAGATAGAATGATCGCTCTAGGTGCCTCCATTGGAAATCTGAGTGAGATTACTTTTTACCATGTCACTGACATAATATAGTGATATTAATACTACCGGTAGATTTTTTTATATTTATGCTTCATATTGTTGGGTATTAACCAACTGGTAGAACAAATACAAATTTGCCGAATAATTTCATGAAGTTAGGACTGTAAGAAAACAAAATGTAGTGTGTGGTTCACTTACCACTAGTCCACAAGTCCATGCACCTGAAACTAATAACTCGTTAACTAATCCCATACCCACATGAACCGGTAATGGACACGAGGCTGTGGTTCGCTGTATGATAAAATTGGCTTTTTTTCTCCTATGATAAATATGAAAACTCTATCTCACGTACCTTTAATTTCTTGAACTTCAGTAGAAAACACAATGTTAGGTTGCAATATATTGAATAAAACCCATGATCTTGATCGAAAGTTTGCTCCATGAAAGCAAACAACAATTAAAGCATCTCCATGCAAACAAGCACTTCCACCAAGCAAGAACGACCTATTATCCAATTGTTTTCTGCTACCAAGAAGACCAGAATCTGCTATAGTGTTGGCAATTGCTCTAAATACAGGTGGCCAATGTCTTCTGTGATCATAAGGAGCTGAACGTAAAATGATTTTGTGTCACATTATATTTTGAACCAAGTTAATCAGATAATAGCTGCTATCATCATTTATAGCTATTACGTATCTAATTGTAACGCCACACCACAAATATGGGCCAATGAAAAAGTTCCAATTAGAGCAAGTTGACTGTATACGCGCTCATAGATTCTTCTCCAAAATATATAAAAAAAAATTTATTGATGAGAAATTACAGCGCATTTAGTACATCAGTATGTATGCGTCTTTTTGAATGAAAGAGGATGACTAGGGTCCAATATTATTATGCTGACAAGCATATGGGATATTTACAGTACAAACTGAAAGCGAAAATCAAATTGTAAAGACCATCAAAACACCTGTGATGATTTATAGTCGAACAATGTAAAATCCACTCCATAACAGAATTTTTAAAATTTTAAGCATATATGATGAACGATGACCAGCTGATATTTGCAGAAGTTGGCATGTAAACAATACTTTTTCTGAAATTATAGATTATTTCAATAAAAAACCTCAAATCATTCAACCAATAAAAGTAGAACCCACCTGGCTCTCGTATACTCGACTGCTTCATGATTGGTTCTCTGATTTTCTTAGGTGAAACTGGTCGAGCATGACTCTGCGTCCACGATGAAATTGCACGAACTGAACTGTGCAGTTGTTGAGAGAAGAATTCTTCAAGTTTACTCAACATTTTAATAACATCAGGTGTTGTTGATCGAGATATTGAAAGTTGAAAAACCCTCCAACCAAGATCGCAATGAACATAAACAGATCTGAAAATGCAAAAAAAATTCACGAAAATTGTAGTAGTGAGTGACCAGATTTTACTTCATAGAACAAATTTTTCTGACACAATGTGCTATGTACATGATAGTTATAAATGTTGGTAGTTATTTTCAAATTCTTGTTTCGAGCCGCATGATGGCCTAGCAGCTAAAGCATGTATTTGCATTGCAGATTATACATATCGAGTTCATAACCTATGACTCCACCTCGGTCAGGGTGTAATAAATCAGGAAGGCAAATCAGAAAGATTTCGGTCCTTTCATATTGTAGAAGCTCCTAACATATTTATACATGAGTGGCTGCTTGTATAAAGCCATGTTCCCGTGGTTGAAATTAAGGAGCAATATTTCAGACGGAACATGCTATTCAACCATATATACCTAAAACTATCACGTATGCTAAATTTTATTCCATAAAATCTTATATAAATCATGATTTCAGTGGAAAATGAAAAAGTTCTCAAAAAAACAGCAAATTTGTCTTTGCATAGCCGTAATCTCAAATTTACTACTTATAAGATTACAATATGTAGAATAGATAACAGAAAAGAATGAGCAACATTAACAAGCAAAAACATGTAATTCAACAACCATCTCACCCTTTATCCATGTTACTAGGTATACTTTGTACTGGATCTCTCCATTCATCTCGTAATTGAAAATCAACATTAGTTAATTGTCCCATCATAACACAACCTCCCATATATTCTATACGACCATCTAATGATTCAGCCTGCATTCCTAGTTTATGAAGTGGATCTCCATTTGCAGGATCAAGCAGACGACCTGAAACAGAAAGCAATGAAAAATAATCCACCGCAGTAAATCTAATTTTGAGTTGATAAAACGTCCTAATCATACTTTGATACTTAATTTTAAAATCACTGTCATCACATCATTTTAAAATCATGTTACATTTTGTTGTGTGCTTTTCATCCAAGATAAAATTTTACATTCAAGTGGCTGAATTTAAATAGTTTGCAATTATGATTAATATTCCGTTTGCCTACTCAATACATTACACTCCAGTATCTGAGTAGAAGACTGTATATGAAACTTTAGGTAGGGCCTCAAACAAAAGATTTCATAATGCTAACCAGGTTAAATGTTATCAGAATAATTTATTTGCTATTTTTTCTGTGACATGACCAAGTGATTTATTAAGCAGAATTATTCTCTGCATTATTATGGTGTATAACCCAGTAGTTCTACCCATTTTTTCAGTGTCATGGAGCCTTTTCATGATTTGCCTGCATGCTGTTTTGTTGTCTTTTGCGAGGTACCCCACCAGTCACCACAACTTTCCAAAATTTTTTGTGGGCCCATGTACCTCCAGCACCCCTGAACTAGATTCATCAATAGATAGTAGATAGAAAAATTTTCCAAGTCATATAGGTGTATCAATATGATAGACAGTCAACCCAACAAAAACTGTATTCAAAACAGTAACAGAGAAAAAGTGAAAAATTCAAATTCAAATCTATATTCTAGCTTCACTCACAATCTGCATTAAATTTTTTCAATTCAATATGTCCTCCTATGATTCCACCTCTAGCATTGATTTGGGAATTTTCAAGTCCACATGTCAAATTGATATCCTGAAATAGAAAGCTATGTCATAAAAACTAAAGTAGTCTATAATTCTGAAATACTTATTGTAACTATAAAACATGACACACAATATAAGTAACAAAAAGTTCGAAATTAATGACATTTTCCAAAAAATATGTTAATTTAATTGTTTACTGACTATTCAAATATAAGAATCCCCAAACATTGTGATCCGACAAAATAAAATAAGCACAAAATAGAGTTAAACCGTTTTTCAGCGTACATTCATATTATAAATTGTTGCTTACCCTATCTCCATTACTGTGGAACATTAATTTTCCTTGGCTTTTGAGATCATCACATGACCATACAGTGTTCCCCATGACATTTCCAATATTCATTTCAACGTCTAATCGAGACATGTTCATTTCCAGTAACACGAGAGCTTGCCATGTAGTAGGCCCTACATTAGATGCTCCAGGACTTTCATTTACCCCTTCAGCAAATGTACTGTGACCATCAGCAACACCTGGAAATTTGTTTATGTCTATTATGCCAGGGGTGGGCACACCACGGCTCGCCAGACTTTTTGTGCGGCTCTTCTCGCTAACATAAATTATTATCCAAATTTTAACTAAGAGAAAGACTTTAATGTAAACTCTTTTAATATATTAAAAGTCGTGAAGAAGTTTTCGTCAATGCTTAGGATAAATTATGTTTTAGTATGAAAATCGCTGTAGCGTTGAATTTTGAATTTAAGTCAGTCAAGTCAGCAAATCTTTCGTCACAATGGTCAATGTTTATTGATGCGTCGGCGGTATTGCAGCTTGATTGCGGTTAGTCAGTCTAAGTTACAGTGCGAAATGTCCACAATTAAAAAACGAAAGTACGAAGATGAAAACAGAGTTGTCAAGTCAGAATGGGAAGAACGTACGAATTTACCAGTCAGGAGAATAATCTGTCATAAGCTACTAAGTCAGAATAAAGTCAGCAATTTAAACGGCACCATGAAACGAATCATGAAAACTTCTTACGAGACTACTCTCGTAAATCAGCTATAAGGAAACACAAATTGAATGAGCTCAAATTGTGCATATAATTAAGTATAGCTGCCATGTTTATCTATTTATTGTTATTAGACTCTTGTGTGAAATTTTTTTCTGTTCATGGTATTTTAATAATAATAAATTCACAAATTTTGCGGCTCTTTGAAAGTTCTGACTTGCAGCATGTGGCTCTTATACTAAAAAATTGTGCCCACCCCTGTATTATGCAATATTAAGACTTGCAACTGTCAAATAATTCTGGTACTGGTACTGAGAGAATTATTAAAACTAAATGCAATATTTTCCATATAATATCCATGATTAAACTAGAAATGTTATTATGGTGTTGATGGTAACAAATGAACTGCAAATAAAAAAATTGCATGATTTGTTGGACCTATTTTGCCAGTAAGGTAAAGAAATAGGATTCCAGCTGATATTTGAGCATGTTGGAAGCCCTATAGTCCCATTTCGATGAATGGTATAGTATTTGAGATATCGTTAACCCTAGTCCGATTTTAGTCCAGTATCTTGCCAAACGAAATGTGCCTCATTGCATGTTTCTGGACTTCACCCACTGCCTGGGAACAATTTATAAAAATTTTAAACATTTCTAATACATGATTGATTATGGTTTGAACACAAAAGTCTTGCAACCTACCAGGTTGAAAATGAGATGTTCTTGAATTTAGATTTCGTTGATGAGGAGACAACGGTGAATCGACAGTTAAAAAACTTAGAATACTGTTGTCTACAGGCGCAGTGTGAGCACGAGATCTGGAAATGGAAATATGTAACTAAATGCATGTAATAACAATAGGGCTGGAAATTTCAGGGTAAACACTTCAACCGTTAACCGGGTAAAATTAATCGGTTAACCGCGGCGTGACGTTTCGCGTAATGATTTATAATTTAAGCTTGTTACGTCACAATGGTGACAAAGCCATTTCGCTTGATCTTATCCCGGTATCGCTCAATGTTATTCACGAATCAAAATAGTTTCACGATCTGCAAGAGATATGCAGCGTGGTTCGAACATATGGTAATGTTTTAGTAAAACCCGATTCTGTTATAAAATGTCATTTATGTGACAAGTTTTCAGTGTTCAATGTGAAAATTATACTTGGAAATATCATAAAGAAAAACAGCATCAACTGTGTACTTGTTGGATGACAATGAATATACGATCTTGCAATAAAATCGTTAACAAGATATTTCGACCGAAAACTGATTCTGATATTATCATTGTTAAATTTTCATAATCAGCAATCTTGGTACTCCAATTATTTTTCCCATTTATTGAGTCCTTACCAATACAGTTAATGATGTTCTTTTGAATTAAACAACGCAGAAGATAAAGTTGTGATGACGTAGTTATTTTTGAAGGAATTGTAGACTATAAAGATGATTTGTACCTGAGATGTCAGTTAACAGTTAAAATAAATCAGGACCATTAGCCATCTAAAATCGGTTAACCGATTAACCATTCCCAGCCCTAAATAACTAGTATATATACCAGGGGTCTCAAACTCGCGGCCCGCGAGCCAATTGCGGCCCGCAGGACGATAATTTGCGGCCCCCGCCTCGGTATGAAAGTTTAATGTTAGTGCGGCCCCTAAGTCACTCAGCTCAGTTAGAATGAATATTACATTTAATTATGATCAGGACAAGTAGAGCAAAACGAAATATTTTATATTCTATTCCCCGAAATGAATATGCGGTAACCTACTAGTACCGTACCTGTAGGCAGGGTATTCGATGGACCTTTAACCCGAAGAAAATTTTCTTTTACTGTACCATTGCTAATTCTTGGTGCTTATTTTAGAGGTGGCTTCGCGAGTTGAAGCCTATAAACTGGGGTATATGTTTCACGTCATCATTTTGATTCAAAACATTCAACAACCTGTTTAGCCTAGTCTATCACAGCTATTTCTAGCCTTATTTTTGATTACGGCAATTAAGCTACGACACCCGCAATCAGAATGATCATTGAGTTCTTTGATTCATACTTGAATTTCTGAAACACAACCCAAGACTAACAAATAGCAAGCAAAAACGAGGTAATGTTTACAAACATGCCTGAAAATCATCCTGGTTGACAAGTGTCTGAGCGTTTGCGAAAAAGTCTATTGTTACGTCACATTTGCGTCTTGGTGATTAGCCAATGTTACGGAATAAACAAGGAAGTAGATGCTCGGGGAAAGGTCCATCGCGGAATTCCTTACATTTATGTTTTTGACATGTTTTGCGTATAGAAAAACAGAGGAAAGATTTAACTTTTTAAGTTTAATGCTTTTATTGTGAAAAAAACTGATGCGGCCCGGACTCACTAAGGCCTCGTCTCGGCGGCCCTCAGATAAATTGAGTTTGAGACCTCTGATATACACAAAATATCTAAATATTGTACCTTGAAATGACTGGCTTTGTACTGGAACGTGCCTGCTTTGAAAACTTTGGTTGGGTCTGTGGTGAACTGCAGAGAAAAACAATTATTCAGTACAGTTTATTTATCTTATCAAGTGCTTTACGCCTTTGCTCCAAACAAGGCCATCACTGATACATACATGAATATTTTGAAGGAACAAAACTGTTCTGATTCACCATAACTAATTTAATTTAATACAGTCTGCGGGGTAATAGGCATGGCTCAAACCAATAATTTTTGAACTTCAAGGCTAGCATAGTTACCGTACATTCAACAAGCTAATGCATGCAATCCATTACGAACATGAAGTGTTATAACTAAACGAAGCTTCGACTTACAGTGAAGCTGGTGGTTGTTCACTAGTGTCTCCGAGAAACAATCGTCTTGCAATACTTCTACGATACCAAGCTCTCGGAAAAGCTAAAATCTCATTCAGACGTCTCATGTCATACTTGAATGATGCTTTCCCTGTTTCAAAATAGGAATACCAAAAATCAATGACATGAAAATATATGAAATTGAGACCTCTTGTGCAGGCTGCAAACCATTAAATAAAATTTCCATTGTTTGAGAAAAATCCCATTTAGTAGTTGATACGAAATATAGTGCTGGCTAATATTCAGAGGCTGTTCAGATATCACATAAAACATATCAGAGTATTCTTACCAATGTCCAATAATCCAGAAACGTTCACAATAACATTATCAACTCTTCCTCTTCCTGGTGAAAATATATCTCCAACAAATATTGTGTCACCTTTTCTTTTTCGAATGAGGTTAATCTACAAAATTCAGCCATTCATATAAATGTAACTTTTGACTATATATAAATATATCTTTGTAAAAGAATCCGAATTTATGCTTCTCTGCATTGATGAGTAATCATAAACAACTTTATACTAGATATACTTAGCCTGGTTAATTCATATATAGAAAATAAACAATAGAGACGACTCCACTCTTCACTGACATCCCTCACCTTGACAAACTCAAGATTTACACTCAGTGAGTCCCTTCGTCCACTTCCAACTTTAGAGAAAGGAGAATCAGTTGCACCAGGACCAGGACTTGCAGTGAAACTGTTTCCAGTCATATCAAGGAGGAATGAACTACCTGCAGCTCCAGATTGTTTCCCGCCGTATGGATGAAAAACATATACAGAGAAATCAGACAAAACAGCAGAGAAACTGAGACCCTTTGGTGACTCTGAAAATAAGTTTTTGCAAAATGATTGATGGTCAAAAAAGATATTATATATAGACCAACTGGATGTCAAAACAATATTACAAGCAGGAACTCTTACCAAAACTCAGTCTTTTGCATAGCAGCAATAAAATAGATAGACTTTTGCAATAAAAGAGGTGAAACTAAAATAAATGATAAACAAAAAAAATGATTCTTACGATGTCCTGATGAAGAACTTTCCGAGTATTGACTTGTTAACTTTGGTTCGTTATCCGGTTTTGTTTCTAAAAAATGGGGTTTTGGTATATATATATATATATATAGCATGATATATATTGGTTTATAATTTTTTGAAATGTAATTGTAAATTTTTTTTAATGAAATTCAATTGAAAGAAGTACTCAACTTTGTCTTAAACAAAATAATTATTCTTGAAATCATTTTTCTGAAACCATAATGCCAAACTCTGGTTAGGCTGGTGTCAGAATAAGCGCGTTACCTAAACCAGGATATAGCAATATGGTCAGGTATTGACTGAACAAAAAGATTCCAATCATACTGAACCTAGTACTCCTGGTTGCCTACTTGGCTAAAGCCTTGTTCAGATTAAAGGCATGACATGAAACATCTAAAAAAAGATACCCTTTGAGCGAATGTGCCAACCTACTTCACTTACTTTTTGCATTTGCCTCCTCTTGGCTAGATGGAGGGAATGAGACATCATCAAAATCATCTTGTATACTGCTGAATGCTAAATCCATACTTGGTATTTGCAATAAACATTCAACACGGGACATAGGTACGCAGTTAAAACGAACCTGATAAATAATAGAAGCGATGATGGCAGACAGAATAAATGGCTAAATTTTACAATAAGTTTTTTTAAAGTTGTGATGCTGCAAAGAATTGTCAGTATCATTTGATCGAAATTACTGATAATTCTGCTTTTGTCATCCGACAGAAATGTAGATGACAAAACTTCCATAGTACTCAGTATTCGTGGATAAAGAAATACTTGTTTGGGCCAAGTAAATGATTCTCATACACGTAATTTAGATTGAACATTTCTTAGTTGAACAATAGATTCCCTAGATCCAAAAAATTACTTCCAGTAAACCTTCCAAAAATATACGAAGCTTTTTAAAAGCGAATTACGAGGTGGCATAAATATATCCACAATTTTCATGAATTGGATCAATAGATAGCATACTATGAGTAAAAGTAATCCATGAACGTGATCCAAAGAAATACCTGAGATGGTTGAACATTGACAGAAACAACAACATCAAGCGGAAGAGACACAAGAGTAGATTCGGAAGATAAAACTGATCCATCACCAGGTTGTTTGTCATTTATTTCACTTGCATCAAAATCTGAGGCTTCATCATCAGTATAAGGAAATGATTCATGTAGTGAACCTAAACATAAGTTTAAGTTTAGACCTAATTGACATTATGAGTTTCTTTAAGGATGCCATTACTAGTTGTTGGTTTCTCATTCAAGAAGGGTTCTAGAGAGACATGCCAACTTTTGCGCTATACCCCATTATAATAGAATCGGGGAAAATTATAAGTATTGTAAACATTTTTTATCAATGAACACTTCCTCATTGTGATCTGAAATATAGATTACTTGGGCATTTATCAATTTGATTTAAAAAAGTTATTGCTCAAAATGTTTCACTTCATTTTTCACATAAAAACAATAATTTCCTTGTCTGAAACATGAATGCTTGCAAACTTCCTTAAATTCATAAAAAAAAAAACACGAAAATTTGACATCAATTTACCTTGACGTGAAGATGTAGCAGAGTGTTTTTGTGAGAATGATTGAGTCGGGGTATCTATTGTTGCCACTCCATTCAATGTTTGTTCCAAGAAATCCAGCAAATAAGGACTGATGACCATTTCAGGTAGAGATTGCAGACATAGCTTGGCATGAACACAAGCTCTTTTTGCTTCTGTTGATGGAGGGGACACTTTTGTTGTTGGTTCTGGCATTACAAACACATTTCCTTCTTTTTTGCCGAAATGAGAGGGAGTCGTGATTTCAATATTAGGAACAGGTATCCCGGGAATTTTTTTTTCATTGTTTGCGGAAGTTGAAGACACAGTAACAGTAGGAGGTGGAGTAATGTATTCTGCGCTTACTGGACCAGTCTCATGTTGTTCTGAAACAGTCTCCATTGCTTTTGGAGAAAATGAAAACATTTTGTCTTTAACGCTTGTAGACAGTGGTACGGTTCCAGATATAGCAGAATTGTAATGCACCCTGATATCGACACCAGGAATGTAAAATATTGTAGTGTTCTTCACGTAATTTCTTGTCTTTGAATTTGTATACGTTGGAGGGCTGGAAAAAATACAATACATCAATACAATATCAAAAGAAGAGAGTCATATCATTTCTATAGTCAGGGGAAGAGAGAGCTGACGATTCAGAGACAACTCAATCACAAGGCAATTTCTAAGCTTGACTACCCAATCCAGATAAGATGGGACAAACTTCATGATTTTTAGATTTATGTATTCGCTTCCAGCGAACTTAGCAATTACTGTATAAATACTGATTATCTATCTCTGCATACATTATTCCATAATCTGCTTTCATAGTAACATCAATTTCTTGCACATGAGGATGACATTCTATTTTTCCACCGTCAACTTCAGCTCTTATATCCAATTCTAATTGAAGATCTGCTTCAACAGCTGTTGTTAACTAAAAAAAAATATAGATATGGTGAATCATGGTGATGTAAAGGCCTACTTAATACTAGGCAAGTGGAGAAAAGATGCAAATCTTTCTGATTTTATAGGCATGATGCTGCATACTTCTTGTTTTCTACTTTACCAACATGCAATGACTTATACTAAGTTATGAAGATAAACAATTACACAAAAACTATTATTAATAAATACAAACAGCTTTAATTATAAAATACCTTTCCTAAGTGAGAAACTTGGATTCATACTTAACGGAGATATTACCGTGAATTAAAATTCAAATAAATCTCATGGAGTTTCACACATTGTTAGGGAGGATCTGACTTGAGATGAGTCACCATTCAACTAAGATCCGAAGTGACTTGAGCCATCAAAATAAAATGACTCTGACTCATACTCAACTGACTCTCAGTGAGACTTAATTCAGTAATTGACTCAATTTCCCACATGGATAGTGACTCGACTTGGCCTAAAGTTTAGGAATTTCTATCCAACAGCGTTATTACATTAAATTTGTATCATGTCAGTTCTTACAAAAATATGCTGAAGTGGAAAATTCATGAAACATGAATACCTGTGAAATATTTCCAAGTTGACTTTCTGATTTTGAAGAAGTCAAGTTATGTTGTTGATTATACAATGATCTTCTTGCAGCAGGAAGATCAGATAAAGCTTGTCCAGATCGAAGAGGAACTCCACCCATGTTTCCATCAAAATCATCTAGAAAGATTACCATATTGTGAACCAGGTATAGGCCAAAGATGCTCTGGTATTAGCATATTGGAAACATACTTGGACCATATTTTTACTCCAATATGACTTCATTTACAACTTTTTATCTCTATTGGGTAAAAAAATGACAACACCAGCTTACTCCAGAAACGACAAATTTTGCTTTCGAAAATTAGCTATAGGTGAAGTTCCAGTTTGAATAAAAAATTCTGATTTTGAAAAGTTTAAAAATACCAAAAGTGGCACTCGACAACAAAAAACAAAATACCCTGACTGTATAATCGTCTCATACTATCAGATATTCACAGAAGTTGTACCCGATAAATGAAAATTGGCAAATTTTAGCAACATTACCTTCATCAGATGATATGTCAGTGTCATCAGAAACATCAAGCTGCCTGTAGATGTTAACAAAACAGAAATATATCATTTCTTTGTGACTTTTTACGGAGATTCACAGAGATAAAGAAGTTAAAATCTAAGCAAAGTTTACAGGCAACCACTGAAATGCCAAGAGCTACTGAAGTATAGCGTAGAATTGCACCTTAGTAAATACAGATTGACCGAAATTACAAACAACATAGCCAGGCATAAAAACAAATATTATTGCAAAAATTGATAGCTGTTTGAAATTACGCTTTACACAAGATCACACTCACGCACAATGAACTAGAAAAAAAGAAATAAATTTATCAGTCTGGTCCATATAGTCTACCACAGGGGTCGGCAACCTTCGGCCCGCGGTGCAATATAATCCAGCCCACGAAGCTTCACTGAATTATAGTAACAAATTATAGCTGTTTTGTCAATTATATTCTCCACGCAAAAGAATTTACGTGCAGACTGAATTACAAGTATATAATTCACAATTACTCGTTTAATGAGCCTATAATTTAATTATAATTTAGACAAATGAGAAAACGCGGAAAAGTTGATGCTAAGTGCAATTGGTTTAATGGCGCAAAAAATTTTAAAATGTTCAGTCTTAGCGCGCTGCTTAAAATTTAACTTCTGATCTGTGTGATAAAATGTGATTCATCGGTCATCCATTCGATTTTTAAAATTCTAAAAATATGTGCGGCCCACCAATGACTTGCAACCTTTATTGCTGGCCTGCGAGCGACAAAAGGTTGCCGACCCCTGGTTTACCATATTTAATTCACTATAAATGGCAACACAGACATGAGCAAACTGCTGTATTAAATAGCACAATACCATATAGATTATTACCAATAAGAAAACTAACTGAAGGAAAACCGACTAAAAACTATGTAAACTACTATTTGATACTGGTTGGGCTCTACATACAAGTCTCTATATTTGCCAAATCGATTGCACAATTCAACAAACCAGATTAAATGGCACAATGACACAAGGCAATCTGAAGCAAAGCACTCAAGTCAAGGCTACCATTTACCTGATCTTTAATGGTAAAGATGGAAAAAAACTTTCAGGTTCTCTGAAACATGAGAGTATCAATGGTATGGGCAATCAGAATAAAGAAACTTGGTGACCTAGCATTTTAGGTGTTTTCACCACCAAGTCACTCAGAAAAAGGCTCTGGACAAGTAGCAGATGAGATGATACGTGAGGAATTACTTTTGACTTTCAATTTCATGGCAGAAAAGTGACGAATGAAAAATAACCATAGTAAGAATATCTATAATCGTTAGGTAACATATGTGTAACATTGTAACATTGTGAGACTTCCAGTTGAGTCAATTTCATAAAGATTTTTAAAGAAAACCTATTAGGATACTTATCTACTTAAAATTCAGTGACCTTCAACTTTATTAATGAAAAAATTAGAAAAAAAAAAATTCCGCACAGTTTAATTATAATTGAAGAATTAAATAATAAATTACCCATAATTTTTATCAGGTGTAAGTGGAAATACGTGATCAGACTCATACGTGAGTGGTGATGGATGAAGTGGACTCGATAAATTACTCTGCATATGACTTGCACTGTATGCATCACGAACTGTAGCAGGTGGCCACCTATCTTTCGATTTGAAAGGAATGGTGGAGAAAGCAGAAGCAGATGTACGAGGTGGGAGCTCAGTTCTGTAAGTGTTTGATAATGTTGATTCACAATTACGCAGAACTTGTATAAATATGAGTATTATGAAAAATTGAAATATACAGAAGTCATGTTAAAATTTTTAAAATTTTGTTATAAATCCAGTTAACTCTGAATATATGTTGACTAGGTTTGCTTGATTTTAATCAGGTTTACTTAATAAGTGTTTTGCATTTATTTAAAAAGACACCTCCAGCTCCATATGCCCACCATGGTTTCATGAAGCACGACACAATTTATGAGTTTATGGTCACAGATTGGTGATGAGTTACTGGCTTTGTAATTTTGAACAATAATCGTGTTGAGACTTAAGAATGAATTCAAGGATGAATTGAAAAAACTGATGGATAAAAAATTGAGAATTAAGCGAAATAAAAAATCTCTAGCTAATCTTGACCAATGGACACACCTGGGATGGCGAACCACTGACTCGCAAGTCAATATAATATGTGACCCATTCAGTACAAAGATTAGCCATCCCTGGGATAGAATTGTTAACATCATTAAATAGGTATTCTAAGTAATCATCTCACTGGGAAACATAACAATAAATTACACTTACAAATGGAAATTATTCGTTAAAAATAATTAACATCAAGATTGGAATATTTTATGAAATTACGTTTTAATTAATAACACCAATATTTTAAATTATGTGATTAATTCAGTTAGTAAACAAAACTCGTCATCCCTCAGATTTGATGGCATTGAAATAAAGATATGTACGACAAAATAACGAGAAAAACCTCAACAAAGATTATCAAGTAAACATATAGAAAAGATATACAGTTGAAGTAAGGTTTTGTTCTACAAAAAATACCCAGTATCTCCAGTAACTGCTGATTTTGCACGTTGATGAGTTGGTCGGAATTTCCTTGGAGGTTCCTGTATTGAAATGAAAAATAACAACATAATATAAGTGCAGCACATAGAAAAAATTGACTATTTACCCTGAAATCAGCTTTCTTGATATTTTTTATGAAGATTATGTTAGAATCGATAAATATCTCATTTTCAAATAAGCTTTCGAAAAGCAATTTTATTGGTTATAGCACGAAATGCAAGGATGGATGCTATAGCTTGAATTCTGAAATATGAATCACTATATAGATTCAACAGAAATTTGTTTATGAAATCAAGTCAAAATTGCAAAATTGAAATTCTGCAGAAATGGCTCCAAGATGACAAAATAAAACAAGATATTTTAGATGTGGTCCAATATGAAGCTGGCTGATGCACTTGATCATAACTTAATATATTTTTAAAATGACAAACCTGTTTCGTATTTCGACTTCCAGTTTTAAGACTTGATCTCTGTAATTTACTCTTGAACACACGTCTAAAATTGGATGATAAAGCTGATTCAAGGTCGTGCATCCTTCTTTCTTCTTCCTCAACAACTGATTGTTTTGCTCCTAATTGCCTCAAATCATTTACTACTTTGACCTGAAACAAAAAATATAAAATAATGGCAGCAAAAAAATAGATGAAAGGTTTATTCGTTTGGCCAAGTATTCAAGAAACAGTATCATCATTCACAGTACCATACCAATATGATATTGAAAATAAATGCATTGAGGTAAGATAAATTATCAAATATTTTTCAAAAAAATAAATAAATGATATCTTTCTGATCTTCTTGTTTTGACTAATTATTCAAAAGCTAATTTGTTTCCAAAAAAATGAAAAATAAAAAATAAAAATTTCTAATAGATTCAAACATTGGATGAATTTTGGGCATGTCGTGATTTGCATTAAATGTTACATTACAGTTTATTTGAAGTCTCCTAGCTTGGCTATGACTCTAACCTGTTCATTTAATTCATGTTCAATTTTTCTCGTTCTCTCTTTATGAACTTGCAAAGGAAGAGGTTGTTGTGTGGATGACACAGATGATGTTGTGATTGATCTCATTCTACTTGGTAATTTACCTCCATCTGCAGCATCATTGTTTCTATCATCATTCTCTCCATCAGACCTGTCAGAAATGGATTAAATTATTCGCTAGGTTCCCTACTTCAACAGATATTTTATTTTTGAGAAAAACCAGTTATTTTACAACGTTATTATGGTAAATTAAAACAATTTTTTAACTAAAAAATTTCGATATTCATCTTACATTTTGATATCTAATTCATCATCATCATAATTAGGTTCATCATGACCAGTGATTGCCATCAACGTATCAATCAATCGAGAAAAATAAGATCCAATTTTTGTATCAAGATGAACATCCATTCCTTTCATCTTCCAAAGAACATTAACGGTTGTCTTAGCAACGGGTGGTCCACCAGATTGTGAATGGTATGTTGTGGTGTCTGACAATATCTGAAGTAAAATAATAATAGGATATAGCCCACAAACTTATCAAAAGTTTTATTACTAATGTAGGTCTAGTCTAACTGGATTACATCCACCTGAGCCCCAGTCAGCATTACCTTGCGGCTTTATGGCCTAGTGATTTAAAGTTGTGCAACGCAGAGTAAAGATTTCTGCTTTAAAATCATATTATTTACCAAATAAAATACAAAATATATTTGAACATGAAATATCATTTATATTTGGTTATAGGTATTGAAGTTAAAGGGCAGGAAAGTTGAGACAGCCTGTTTTGGTTGCTTTTCAGCACTATTCAGAAGTTAGGGTTTACATATTTATCCTGGGGGAGAGGAAAGTTGCTAAAACGCATACCACAGCCTCTCGTCTAGTTATCAGTCGCACATTATTATCACCCACAGGATTCAAACCCGCGAGCAGGATGTGCCATATCGCCGAGCAGAGTTAAATAAGTCTATATCAGTCTGAATGTCAGAACTCAAGTGCACAAAATCTAATATAACATATCAAAATATTCCATCGACAGAACTAATTTCAAATGTATTCAAATATTCTTTCTTTATATCATTTCATTTTGTCTACGAATGTAATTTACATATTCATCAAAATCAACACACATTGCCAATGCACTGGCAAGATTAATTCAACCTTGACAAACTATCAAACTACTTACTTCATAAGTCCCTTCTGGTACTACCAATGCATTCATGATATGAACATTCTGAATTTGAGGATTTGATAAATCACCAGTACTTCCATTCATATTATATCTCCAATCATCCCATGATGTTTGAAAGTCATCTACAAATCTTAAGCAGAATCCCTGAAGAGATAGTAATAGATCGGAAAATAATGCAATAAACTCAAATAAAAATTGGTAAAAGAATTATCAAAGTAGACCAAATAAAAATGTGGTTCGTCTATATTCTTATGCAATTATCACCATCTACTTTTATCATTTGTATACCACTGCTTTCTTTTAATATTGCGTATTAGTGAATGTTTGGGGTTGCACTTAAATACTGACAAAGCTGTTCAAGATTCTGTACAGAATCACAAATCTTAATATTCTTCCTTGCTATTGTGTTTTATTTTTTTGATCAGTTAGTGCTTGTTTAGTTGTCAATATATTAATTATTTTGATTGTTTGTATTCATATTCATTCAGTATTTTATTTCATCGAAAGTGGAATATGTTGTAAATATTGTTAAGGGCAAAAAATAGAAAATAACCTTCAATTGTCCTTTAGTTGTAAGAGATCTTGAATAATAAACACTGATCAATGTATTGTCGATCGTTAATACAAGAGCTGTTGGCAACTCATCTCGTTCTGTCACCTGCGAATTGTGAGAAATACTGATAAAAAGTGTAACCTTTTGATGATTAAGTGTATTAGATTAAGTGTATTAGATTTATGTTTTTTATTTTATTTTAGCAACATCTAACCAATGCCAATTTTAGGTTAAAAAGATACAGACTTAAATGTTTGACATCTACAGACTACAGTGACACATTTTTTTCAATTACCAATATAAAAGAGGTCAGGTAAACCTCTAAAATTTAAATATCACTTGAATGCCAAAAAAAGTAAAGGCAACATTGTTATTAAAAACAATTTACTTGGATCCCGGTATAAAAGATAAAACAAATAACAAAACAGAAATTTCAGCGTTCAACTCACTTCATGCAGTTGTACATTTTGTGACACAGGTAAACATATTCCGAGGTCATTTACGGAAAGTTGAAGAAACACAGTACTGGTACGTTGTGGTTGTGGAGGTTGCTTTGGAACTGATGTTGCTGATCTAACAGATTGAAGAGCATCTCGAACCTGAATATACATGAATGTATAAGATTTTCTGTTTGAAATGAACCTCAAACGCGAATTTATTATAGCTGTTCCAGCAAATAGCTCAAACACAGCTCCTAAAAGAGCTAATGAGGTGTTCTTATACTTTAATTAAGACTATATAAGCTGAAACATGAATGTATAGATCAGGGGTTCCCAAACCAGGGGTCGCGACCCTAAACTGGGTCGGAGTGATAAGTAAGTAGGGTCGCAAACAGGTCATGGGGTCGCTGAGGTAGGGTGGAGGATGGATGTACAAATCATCTAAGATTTGACAAACTATGTTAAATTTAGCAGTTTGTACCATGGCTTACTGTAAAAGAAGCCCCTAAGCATCTCTCTTATGATATAGAAAATGAAGATGCTTATTGTGACATCAATGTTATGCGATGCAACTTATGCGAGGAAGTAGGCCCAGATGACCAATGTTTAAAATTATCTACTCTTCTGCATGGTTTAATACTTAATTGTCTTTTTTGACCTACATACAGAATTTTGATCCGAATTTTGATGGAAGTTTGGCCATGAAACAGGTACAGGTACTAACCTGCCTTGCAGCTCTCAATACATTTTGTTGTTGCTCTTTCCAATCCTCATATGCATTCTTGTAAGAGAGGTATATAAGAATAGCTGGAAATATATAAAAGATCAAAAGCCATGATGAAAAACAAGTAAAAATTCAAGGAGAACTATATGTAAAATAATGTTCATTACCTTTATCAAATGCAGTTGGTTGGATGAAAAACAAAGGACGTTTCAATGATACCAATACAACACTGTTATCGCTGTCTTCAGCAGGAGCTTAATGAACAAATTATTGAAATTTTAGTTACTGAATACCAAGTCTTAGATTCAAAACAGACTTCAATATGATCGAAAATAGAAGAATCAGTAATATAAATTCCATAAACAGGAATAAACTCACATCAAACTGCCTGAAATATTCTGCATATATGTAAGTCAGTTCATATTTATCTACGCTGCAGAGTCATGTGTTTTAGAAATATATTTACTCCGATAAGGAAAATTCCAACTGATCCATCGATACAGTATTGTTTTGAAAAATGTATGAACATAAAAAAACATCACTTTTTGGCCAAATTTTACTTTTCAACAATTATTAAAATCCTGTATTCTTAATGCAAAAACACCCACCAGTGGTTTGTGGATTGAGTAAGCTGTCATCAATGCTATGAGAAGATGGATGATTAAATAAAGGATTAGTTTCATCCATTACTGAAGTGTTTTTTGTGAAAGCTGTTGCACTTGTGCATCCTGTATGAGAAAAAAATCATGCGTATTTGTGGTGATTTCTATGAATTGAATGATCAACTGACATTTACAGTTGGACAATAAGAAAGCTGTCATCAATGCTATGAGAAAATGGATGATTAAATAAATGATTAGCTTCATCCATTACTGAAGTGTTTTTTGTGAAAGCTGTTGCACTTGTGCATCCTGTATGAGAAAAAAATCATGCGTATTTGTAGTGATTTCTATGAATTGAATGATCAACCGACATTTATGGTCGGACAACAAGGAAGCTGTCATCAATGCTATGAGAAAATGGATGATTAAATAAATGATTAAAATTAACTCTCAGTGACGTCGTGACGCTCAATCCATGTAAAAATTATAAAATATAAATATTATTTTGATAAAGAGGATTCAACTCATAATGCTCAAATTTAATGATGGTGCAGAATATCTGAATAGTTAAATATGATCATTACTGTTTGGGCGTATTTATTATAAACCTGTTTTAACTACCAATCACCATGAAATGATCATATTTGACTTTTGCTGGGAAAATTTGCAATGGACTCCCAACCAAAAATTTGTCAACGACTTCCAGCTTAGAATGAATCAAATTTTGACAATGAAACTTTGGGACCTTCCAAAGTATGTGCACTAAGATGGCGCACAACCTGAACATAGTATGTGTACTAGGTTAGGGTTCAGGTTGTGCACCATCTTGGTGCACATACTTCGGGAGTGCCAAACTTTGGTGTGCACAAGTCTTCCTCAATTGACTGTTAATAATGCTTGGTTAACTTATTAAATAATTCTTGATTTTTGAATTTCTGTGGAAAATTTCTTTGTACACCATTAAAAGTTCTCCCAACTACAAGGAACTTAGAATTTCGAGTGTGAGAAGTTTGAATCCGGCTTAGAGTCCATTGAAAACATGCCAGGCTCAAGATTTGACAGCACTGTATAAGCATAAACATAAGCAAATTCACTCGCAAACCATCAGTGAAACAACATTGCCATACTGGTTGACGAATCGGATCTTCACAGTAATCTAAAAACAATGGACTTTAGGAGTACATTTATTTCTGATGTATACCTCTTGGTTCATCTTTAGCCTGTCTTGTATTCTGAAGTCCAATTCTTGTTGTGAAATAAGCAAGTTGTTGGAAATCATCTTCGGCTTCAGGATAAACATTGTTTCGAACCAATGTACCGAGTGATAGAGTTAAATCAACTTGAGCTTTACCGAATAGTTTCAGATATTTTGGAACATCGAGCACTAAATGGAAAATTGAACAAGGTTGTAATATATATAATCATTGAAGTAGTCCAGGTTGGATATTAAAACAGCTAGCTAAACATGCTGAATAAAAAAAAGTCTGTAAGAAATAGTTCTATTATCAAGAACAAATCTGGTAAATTTAAATCATTTAAGTCTGTAGTGTCTTAGCCCTAAAATCCGCATAGTTTTTGATTGTATAATGGTGTAAAGCAATGGTTCCTTAATGAGACTCCACTTCATATGTTATCTTATGCTTACATTGAAAGCATATAAAAGCAGTGACATGATTAAACACATTATTTTTCGTTTCTTACCTTCAACTCAAAAAAGGTATAATTCTCTAATTGACTTAGTTTGCTCAAAATTAATCACCTTTTTTCTTTTTCTTCTTTTTCGTATTCTTATTCTGAATAACCCTGTTTGAAAGCTCAAACATCATTTCACCGGTTTTTAATCGAACTGCATTGCATGACGGAGTCACTGCTGTGATTTGAATACCCTGTTAGAAATAGAAAAAATTGAAAACAATAACCAGGACCTATTCCCAAGATAGACATGGACTACCGGTAATTCATAGTATTTTCTTTGACTCGTCCTTTAAGATTTTAATTCAAGCATTCGAGAAAAGATTTTAAAATTGGAAATCTTTTATTGCAAATAAAGAAATTTTTTTCATTCCATTGGGAAGTCTAACTTCCTTTTAGAGAGATGGCATATTACAACATTCCTCCTGCTGAGAGCTTCTACAAAATTATAGTTAAGCATCACCAAGCATTCTCACAAACACATGAAAAAACACCCAATAGAAACAATAGAGTGATTGGTTTTCATACCTTCAATGTTAATTTCAGTTGATAAAGCAGAGGTTTTGAAACTGCTGAAGATTCTTCAGATCTGATGCTTGTTTCTGACCATAAAGGTACTGGTTTGTTTGTTTTTGATACTTTGTCCATCATTTCGTTTATCTGAGTATGAGACAGAAAGATACCAACTAACATAATAGGTAAATAGACAATAGAAATTCACAAATATCATATTTCAGGGTGACAATAATCCGATAGTGCTAAAATTTCCTGCTTACTGCCAATTATCAAAATGAACAAAATATGGGGGAAAACCAGATAGCCAACAACAACAAGAAGTCAACAACAACAATTTTCCAAAACATATCATGAGCTCGCTTACCTATAGTAAAACAAAAAAAAAACATTTTCAATACCTCTTTAACAAAAACTTCTTGTAAAAATATCAGTTGATTTAACAAGTCCGTGGTTAAACTGTGTTCAAAACTTCCGATGTGTACTGTGACTGACAAATAATCACCAGATCTCAATCGCAAATCACTGATAGTAGCTGTGAAAAATTAAACAAATTTACTTCGTTTTTTAACGAAAAGGTTCCTTAGGAACCATCAAATTTCACGTGCTTGCGTTCATCTGAGATAAAGAATTTTAATGGTTATTTTTCTGTCATAAATATTTTCTATGGTGCAAACCTTAGCAAATGTTTCAATTAAGCTGTAAAACTGTATACTTGAATTTAAAGAAATTATTTTCATTTATTTGATTTAAACGATGTTTTTTATACTATTATATTATATATTTAGGGCAAAATCCCCAACGTAATGACTTCATAAACAGGGATAGTACTACTTACATTGCATCTACCCCAATTTCTCTAGTCAAAAAAGTATGGAATCAAGATGACACATGTTACAAGAATCGCGGTAGATTAAAATTAATTGAACAACTGGGCAAATAAAATTAAACGAACAAATGACTATACCAATCAGCAACAACAAAATGAAATCGAATAAGCAACATTTGTCTTAAATAGCTGTTATTTGCAAAAACAGATACGAATTAACATTATTTTTCGATAAACTTCGAATAAGTCTGCTCGTTTCTCATATTTTGGACACAATTTATTTCATGTCTGATCTCAAATCTACCTAAGCGAGACACGCGCATTGTGCCTCCAATAGAAGTGCAGAAGAATTTCGACAAACTGACTATCCATTTATAATCGTTTTGTAAGTTTCGGGTTCGATACGCGACCGTTTTGAATTTTTAGAAGACCAAATATGATTTTCACATAGCTAATTTTGCTGAAATCGCAGATTGTTTTCGTAAGTTTGACATGTTTATTCAAGATATGTTCCAGTTATCGGCAATATGATCTTCACATTTATCATTTTGAGAAACAAAATCAAGAACTAATCAATGATTACCATGAAATAATGACTTGAAATACATATAGCGAGTTGAGAATACGATGAAAAAAGGTAATAACATGTGATAAAATTAATTAAAACTATGAATCAATCTTCTATACAATACAAACCTTCAGATGATTGTTGACTAAAACTTTCTTTCCATGTTTCGGATGTTTGTTTATTATCATTTTCATTTGTTTGTTTATATTCTCCGTCTATATTTATTTCAGGCAGATCAATCACTGTTTTCGCATTTTCCCTGAATCTCATATCATACGCAGAACTCTACAAAAGAAAAAGATTACAAGTTAATATTTAAAGCAATTATTTGGCAGTTGAAGAAATAGACTTGAAAATTGAAGAAATGCCCGTGTATACTCTGAAAAGTTGGAAACAAAATAAAAGTTCACCCAATTTAAATACAGAATTGTGTTTATGGCCATTATATTTCCTTACTAAATAGATGATCAGTTATAGATAACTAACCATGAAAAACTTTGGTGCTGTTGTGACATGATTAATTCTGTTGATGTAACTATATATTTTGACAATGGTCACTTGCTAACTATATATTCATATTTACATTAGGTTATCAAAGTGAGCAACATGTATATATTGGATACCCTTATATACCCATATACACCCTTTAAATGATGTTTTGCCCATTGAATGGTGTTTGAATTGCGCTATTATAATTGTGAGAATATATTTCCAAGCTGTTTACATTGCGCTTAAATTTCCCAATCTTAATTGTGAAAATGCTTCACATGTCGACGCTTTTATAAATTACTTTCGATACTGGATGATGATTGAACAAAATATTTTTAGATCATTTTGTGGCGATTATGAGATAATTTTTTTGGTGACAATGAATTTTACACAATAATCATACTGACCGATGTGGTGAATTGTAAACTATGTGATGGAAGTGAGAATGAAAATGTTGCATCGATACCAGTTCTTCCATCTCCTGATATCTTTCCTGTTTTATATTCAGCATCTAATGATGGCAAAAGAGATGCCACGATGTAGATACCTTCAGATTCTAGTTCAAACCTGAGAGAAAAATATTTAACAGAAATTAAAATCCGGGGTTCGAATCTCATGCCCACCATCTCTTGTGTGTAATAAATTGGGTAGGAAATGGCGAACGTAAGATTCCAGTCCTTCAAAACTATATCAGCTCTTTGGCTCTTTGGTATTGAGCCTTACTCGGAGCAGCAAAAGTCATATAATACATCATATTGAAAAAACTCTTTGGTAATAATATCTGTATTCACAGTAAAATATTGATTTAAATTCAGTTTTTAGTCTGTTTTAATTTTACAGTAATAAAGATTTCACTGAAAAATAAATTCAATCAATTTATTCAAAACCGATGATGATTAACTCGCAGAATATGGACATGAAAAAATTGATTTAAAGTGAGTGTTTGGTTTTATTAAGGAATACGTTGACTGCATAATTCGGATGATGATAACAAATCTCGTAACAGAGACTAAACCAAATAGATTATATTATTCGACGTTAATTCGTTACGCAGCAAACACAAAAAATAAGCTCATCTTCGAAATAAAAATGCAAATTTCTGTCAAATTCCAAACTTGCAGAACAATAATGATAGTAACTCACATGGCATTGACTGGGGTACTTGTAGCAGCAGAAGATGAATCTTGAGATAAATCAATCAAAGTTGTGAGTGCACTTGGTGTCATGGGAGTCATGGGTGGTGCAGTGGTATTTGAATGTGCTAGTGTTGGAGGTACAAATGGTGTTCCACCATCGGTATGATCAAAATAATAAGACCTGGAAACAAATTTAATAAGTTCTTTTTAATTAAAAATATGAAAACTTTGCAACACAATACAATATGCTGGAAATGTCCATACAATAACATAGTCCATGTGTATGCATCTGAAACACTGAAATGGGTAGTTCGTGCCATAACGTAATCTGGTAAGTAAACGAGGATGAGATTTATAAGGCATATAATTGACTTTCATCTCCATCAAAATCAATACAAAATCGTAAGCCAAAGTTAAATATCAAAAATTTGCCTGAAAATAATATTTTTCTCCAAATTATAATCTGCAGATGACTGGTTATACTTGAATTGATCTGGAGTAGGTTTTGCAAGGAACCATTTAAATATAATTCTGTGGCAACAATTAATTTTTAAAGAAAACATTAACAATAGAGTCATTTTATAAGCATGATTTCATTAAAGCGAGACAGCAATGCTCAGATATATGACACGAGGGACATTCATCTGTACCAGTATAGTGAGGCCTACACATACTGAGTTTATTAAAGAGATTGGCAGTCACACGATAAGAAGATGGTCATGCAATATGAGATAAATGGCATTCCCATTTAATTATACTGTAACAGCAAAATCCTTGGTAAAATATCAGGACTCATATTGGCCCATTTGTTGCAGTCCCAGAAATAACAATAACAGTAACAATTTAGCAAAACGATCCATATGCACAATCCATGTCTAATGAAAGCATATATCAAATATTTGAATTCTCAAAAATCATTTTTTCAAACAGATGTCTTTCAAATTCATTTAGAACAAATCTCTACTCACTGTTTAACAGTTGGTGTCTGAGCAAATTCAGAAATATGAGCAGATAGTTGTCTTGAACCTCTCGATACAACATCATGTAGAGAAGCAGGATGTTGAGAGAGATCAAAACTAATCAATCCAAGATGAAGTTTGCATACATTATCAAATGATTCTATCTCATGATTTGTACTTGCATTCAATGAACTATGCTGGATTGAAGCTGTAGCAATGTTCTGAAAAAGAAAATAGCAATATATCGACTAGAAGATCTAATGAATAACCAGTACCAGCAGTGGCGCAGCCAGGGGGGGGGGATAACACGTGCAATTACCTTCTGCTAAAATCGCAGTTCGTTTTCATCAACGCGGCGTGTTATTTATGCCGTGAACGCCCTTCCCATTGGTGTTTATTCTCTTAAAATCACAAGTTTTTGTCGCGGGAACAATGATAATTATTTTATTTTTGTACTTTGCATGGAATTGTGAATTCGTGAGTTATTATACGTTCATCGGTGGCGAGGTTCTAAAGACAAAAGAAGGAGTAAAACCGCGATCTAAATTTGATTGAAAAGCGGCATTATAAAATACTGAAAATAAAACCGTAAACAATATAGGTTTTGTTGAGTCTCGCGACCGTCTAAAAACGCTTTTCTAGTCACGAAATTGCAAAATTTCGTGTGCCTACGGCGCACATTATGTTTGGTCGCCGTTTAGGAACATACCGTCACTTAAATCAAAACACGGTTAATTGTGGGTGGGATTTGCCTTTATCCATTACTTTATATTTGTCGCAGAAAATTTTCGTGTTATCATTAAACAAGGTTGTAAACGCGATTTTTTCCCAGTTTGTGATGATATATAAGATAATTAATCCGAAGTATATTCATCAATTTTTATTGTACTGAAATAAATTTTAGTCCATGAGAATTTACAGCAGATTTACGGATTTTTCAGGAGGTTTTATCTTTAAAAATAATCGGAGTGTCAGCATTGCGATTGAACGGAGTCAATGTTACAAGCACATCTCAAATTTGTCGAATTTGCAAAATAGAAAAAATATGGATCAAAACAATATATAATAGGCGACGGGCAGTTACCACAAATTTTTATGTCGGCAAATGGATGAGGTATTTTAAAATTGTGAATTGCAAAAAATTGTTTTGTTTTGTCGACGCAATTGCTGGTTAAATTGAAGACAATTAAATTAATAAAACAAGACATTTTAAATATGCCCTTATCGGTCACGAATTGATTACTTTGCACAACAGAAAAATTATTTTTCGTTGTAAACGTCGGCTCTTTTAACAAGTGGCGTAATCGCGGCGATGAATATGTATTTTTGATTTAACGATATACTTCATATGCATTTTCATTGTACGAAATAAAATTGTACTTTTCGGGATTTTATATCAGTTATTGAGATTTTTCTAACGGCGATAACGAGTTGACAAGATTCCAAAAATACGTATTAAAATTAAATACACCGTTTATCTCATATTTTTATGTCCACCGATCGCCGTGGCATTTCAGAGAACTAATGTTTTAGTTTTGACGTAAGAAGAAGCAACCCAAGTTACGTTGGACACAATTAAATTAATATATAAAGACATTTTAGAATTTTGTAGTTGTCAGGGATTGAATATTTCACGCGACAAGAATAATCATTATACGCTGAAAAGACGTCCCTTTAACGAGCGCGTAATGCCAAGACTGTTACAGAACGCAATGGGAATTCATGATTATGAAACCCCACCCCCCTTTTGGAAATCCTGGCTGCGCGCCTGAGTACCAGTAACCAGTAATCAACACCTAAATATGTTATCATTTAATATTGCGATTCCCGTTGCTAGTAGCAATCTTCATACCGATCTACAGGTACCGATAAGATTGCAACTAAGAAGCGAGCACTGGTATTGGAAAAACATGTTGCACTGGCCCAGCGTTACAAAGTGTCACACATTCGTGTTAATAGTGAAATTTTGGCTGCATATCGAGCTTCGTCAAAAACAGAGAAAAAAACAAATAGAAGCGTTTCATTAGCTTCAACCATTATTAAGCACTGAAAACAATCGATCCTTTTCCGAGAAAGTAATGCTTTCCAACAACAACAATTTAACAAAACTATTCATACACTTTGTATCCAATAAAAACATAATCCAGGAATAACTAAAACATATATTTTGAAAAAAGACTTATAAATAGATCTTGACTTCAAGGCTACAGAATTGATAATCAATTTGATAATCATGAATGATATCTAACATAGATGGAATCAATTCTGATGTTCTTAAAAGTTTTCGTCGATGCAACATAATGGTTTCTAAGCACAAAGCTGAAAATTGTAAAATAACCATGTCATGTAAAATTGGTTATTAAGTAACTAGAAGTCTCAATACCACATTGTCGTTTTGTGATTGTCAATATAAAAATATAGGAACAGTAACTGTACCTCATTTCTTGTTCTGGTGGCAGCTTGATCAACAAGTTTAATCTGAACTGCATCTAACGTTGTATTGAAGCTGGATGTTGCTTTGTTTTTGTAAGCATTGATTGCTTCCTTACAGTGATCTATCTTGGTAAATATTTCTATAATTTCAGCATTCAGTTTTAAATCTCCGACAGCAGCATGCATTTCAACCTAAATGGATGAAAACAGTTCGGACATACAGATAGGATGGGTTGGTCTTATGCACCAAAAACATTTGCGAGACTGCAAGTTTCGAGAAGGATCTTTGCAAAATTTAGTTTTGTGAGAACAGACGTTTGAGCAAATGTAATTTTGTAGTAACAAACTTTTGCGAGAATGTAAATTTGTGAAAATGGTAAGAATACAATATCGCTTGAACAGACCATTGAAGTAATGCAAGAAGGAAATTGATGAGAAAGAGACATGTAAATGTAATTTTACAAAACTGAACTACAATCCTGTTGTTATTATCACCCCCAAAATGCTGAGGGTAAATTAATCCCCACATAAATGTGAAGCCTATAGGCAAATTAATAGAAGACAATAGAAAAATTGTACATCACAGGTGGCACAATCAGCCTATCACTTAACCGTATATTTTTGACTTCAATGTTTTTGTTTAAAAACAATAGCCGCTTGTATTTTCAACCAGCAAAGGGCTTGGTGAAAATTACATACGCTATTTACCTTCTTTACTCCAGCTGTTGCTTTCAAAACCAATGATAAATATGGATCATGAGGAGGAAGAGAAAATGTTGTTCTTCTAAGAACTGAACCTGCACTGTTTGATTCACTGGGTGGTAGAAAGCCTTCAGATTCCATGTGCATTGAATCTACAAAATGATGTAGTATATTAATAAAACTGAAACGATCTATGAGAAAATGAACAAAATTGGGTTCTTTTGCAACATTTGTTGACAAACTAAATTATTCTTAGGTTTACTGGACATGACATGGAAAATATGGTTTTCGTCGAAACTAACAAACCAATTGTTTTCAAATTTTCAATACTTAAAATGACTGAAGCTGATGGCTATTACTTTTTATTTTTTATTAAAAATACCCTTTGAGTTCTATGGTGCTTGATATTTCTATGAATATTGCGCACCACACCAAACTAGTCCAAGAATCTTCCTAGAAAGCTGCTCATTTCTTAGCGGCAATCTTACCAATAATTACCTGAACCGCTATGATAATGGGACTTGATTCACAATTCGATTTGAAGTTTTTGAATGATCAGCTAGTCATTGAACATTTGTGTCTATATTTGTGCATCACACTCTTACTAACATGTTTTTTAAATCCCCATTTGGAAATATTTACAACTTCCTTTTACGTGTGTGTGATCAGTTTTACATTTCATTTCTAATTTAGGCCAAATATTTTGTTTTGTGGCCTATCTACTGTTAGATGTGTGATATGAGTTTTATTTTACGATTATATTCCTAACACTTGAGTACATTTTATTTGATGAAGATTGGTTTGAAATCGACGACAAAGTTGAAATCAAGCAAGTAAGCACTCAGATACAAAAGCATACCTGATGCCGTTGGCTTTTCCAACATTTCTGTTTTACCATCTGGAACTGTGTTATAGAGGTCAACCATTTTGTACATAACCTATGAAAACATAAATTTGGAAGTATCACTTAAAAAGTACCTGAAGGATATTTCAATATAAAAGCATGATAAGTGTGAACCCAATGTGTATGAGAGGAACTCATGACTGTTGATTGTAAGGATATTTGGTCAGTAGAATTGCCATGTTAGGGATAGGAAAATTTGGCAAAAGGCACAAACATACCTGCCAACATTGAGGAACCTCTGTACTTGCAGTTGAAGCTGAATCATTAGATAAAGCATCTGTGTCTTCTAGTTGATCATCATTTGGTATGCTTGGAATACTTTCAGTATTTGAATTCAACCTGTTTATAATACTGACAAATTAAAAAAATAAATATTCCATCAACTGTGAATATAATATATAAGGATGTTCAGACAAACCAACCTCCTATGAAATGATGAAGTTCCATTTGACCAGTTGGAATCAGTTCTTCGATGTAATACTTTGAAGTCAGGAGATACTGATCCTTCTGTATACTTATTCACCTGGAAAAAATGATCGTTAATTGACTAAGTTGAGTTTTGAGAAGACAGCATTAGAGAGCAAAGAATTTAGTACTAGCTAATATGAATAAGCAAAACAATCAGTATTTGGCTATGCTTTCAGTAAATAAAGTTTTGATAGTGACTACCATTACAGTGATGTCCTTGCTCTTGAATAATGGAGTGTGGTAATACTTGAAAACAAAGTCCCATATTATGAGTAATATAGGAGAATAAAGACCAAAATACCAGATGATGGATATTAAATGATAGAAAACATAAAATTATTAGTGTTAAGTATAACAGAAAAGTCTGGTATCGGACATAAACCAGTTAGTTGCCTTACTTGAATATCAGTTTTTGCCTGTTTCACATTATCAGATATTTGTGCGAGTTGATGAAGCAATCTTATTAAAGCAACATCAACATGTTGAACAATCTGATCCAATGATAATTCAGCTCCTACTTTTAGAGTCGATCTACAAAACAAAATTCATCTTGTTGCTGACGAGGGGGAGGGCACCTTGAGTTGGAGTCAATATTTAAGATTCAAAGTGGTTCGAGTCTACATGGAATGACACAGACTCGTCATTCGATGATTGACTCAGCTTCAGAATCGACTCCGACGACCCATTACTCGACATAGTGTTTAGTAACTTCTACTCAACACTTCTGACAACAGAAATCTGAGTGTTAATTAATATTATTGTGCACCCAGTATGAGGACTAAGTAGTAATACAAGTATAAAAAATGGCACTCCCGAAGTATGCGTACCAAGATGGCGCACAACCTGAACCCTAACCTGGTACACATACTATGTTCAGGATGTGCGCCGTTTTTGTTCACATACTTCTGGAGGTCCTAAAAAATTGAGTAATATGTATAGGCAATGCATATTGTAATGACAAAAGTTTTGGCTATTCTTATTTAACATATTCTTAACTGTATTCTTATTACAGTTATGCTATAACATTCTTATATAACTTATGCTATAACATTCATTTTAGAAATCAAATGAACATATTCATATTGTATAGTAGTTATATACCCTGTGGTATTTTCCGTTTGTATTATAATAAAAACATTTCTTTATAAATTCACATTTCACTATTTTTACCTCTTTTTGGAAAGCGCACTCATTGCAGCCCTTTTGATTTGGTTGTCAGTCGTTGCTTTAGGAGTTTGGCTTCTGTGTAAATAAAAAAAAACTTTTTTCCATTTCATATCATAGTCACCAAATCAGTTTTCAATTTGTTCTCATCTCATTCTCTAATTGTTTATGCATTAAGCTATGAAATATCTTCCAGTTTTGATGAATGAATATTCATTTTTATAAACATAATTGAGGAATTTATAGGTTCTGTTTTATGGGCTCAGCCAGTAATAGGCTCTGTAATTTATACATAGGGTTACCCTTCTTTCATTTCTGCATCTCCTTCAATGACTGAAGATTTGAGGATGATTTCTTGACACATTAATATGGGTGGAGGTTTTATGATGTTTGATCCAACAAAATGGCCAGGATAAATGTGAGGCCATGCTGCAGTATTGAGAACATACGGTTCCCTGTAACAAAATAAAAAAAAAAAGCTTTACTTGAATTACCAAGATGTTTATCAAACGACACAATCAAAAAAAAAAGTCCTAATAAAACAAACCTCATTTCTCTGGCATGTTCCAGTGATGAGTAATAAGATCTTGGTTTCCTAATTTTCGAACTTTTTCTCTTTTTTCTAACGTGACTATCAAGATTGTATGCTGCATCTGCTTCTTGCTTATCCACTCTGGAATATTATGATGAATAACAAAAGTATAATAACTGGAACTGAGCTTTAGTTTCTCTATGAGTTTTCTAAAATTTAAATCATCTAAATCATTATTAGCTAAATCACATACAGGCTGGAGTCCTTGTCAAATTAGTGGTTCATTAATAATAATAATAAACAGCATGGTAGTCATCAGGTAATATTAAATTGGATTGTGAAAATTTTTTACCTCCATTTGGATGAAATGAATCAGCAACATGTCATATTACATATTTTACATCTTTGAACAATACATACAAATACAATACAATTTTGTACACACATACGATTTTAACGAGTTTATAATCCTTTTATGTCAAATAATATTTCATGATGTATTCAAAATAATCTCGACAGTTTAGGAACTAATGAATTTGACAATGAAGTGACAATGAACATCAGCAATCTTACCTCAGTAGATTGAGCTTTGTTGTAACCGACAAACTTCCTAAACATTCGCCACGAATAAAACTTTTATCAGATACAGTTTTTTGAGTCGCAGGCATATCAACATCAATTCCAATGTTTTGTAGAAATATTTCAAAGACTTCCTATAATAAAATAATTACGATATTGCTATAAGATTCTACAATTAGAATTAAGGTGGTATTCCCATGTAAAAAATAGGAAATCTGGCAGGGGTTAAGACGAACTTGTATTTGAAAGCCGTGTTGGGGGTGCTGAGTAATTGACTCAATTCGAGTCAGACTCAAGTTTCCATTTATCAAAAACTCAAAATGACTCGAGTCATCTGAATAAAATGACTCATACTCAATCAAGAGCCAGACTTAGCTCAGTGACTGAATCAACTCTGACTTTGGACTCTGACTGAGATAAATTATGACTCAACTTGACTTGGGGTTCGGAGACTTCCACCCATCACAGTTGAAAGGTATTAAAAAGCAAGTAATTGATGTGAGAGGTTGAAAATGGAGAATGTTGGACAATTTAATCATTAATTCGTGATAGACGATTGTGCATGAATATCATCCGGGAAGTATGAATTAAATTAGATTACCTCAAAACTTGTTATCTGCATTTCATGCTTGCTCGAATTAGGTTGAACACCGTTATCCGTCGTCTCAAGTGAACTTTGTAATTTCTTCTCATTATCACTGTTATGTTGGAATGAAAAAAAGGAAATACAAAGATAAGTATGAGAATGAAAATAACACCCCCTGAGGTCCTTTGTGTCAAACTGACATAAACACAATATCATAATCAGACAGCAAGATATAACAAACAAATGATGACAGCATGAACATCCTACAATATGATTGTAACGCCACGACAGCGTCTTATGACTATTTGAAAACTTATTTGAAAAAAAAAAGTTGCGTTTCAAGACCAAATGGTGAATGTTCAGATTTTTTCGGAAAAATTACAAAGAAATGGATACTTTTTATATGTTTTCAATTTTACCTAGGATCACAAGTTCTAAACAGTCAAATTAATACTTTGATGTCATTGTGAAAACAGTGTTATAAACAAATGCTAACTACACGAATATCTAGCACTATGCAAGACCTTGTGGGACTATTTGAAAACTTACTTGAAAATATATTTTAGAAATCATATATTTAAAAAAAACAGATATACTAACGTTTCTTCAGCATGAAACACTTCATTATGCATTGCCAATTGTGATTCTATATTATCATTATTATTTGTGACACCCATACCACCACCTGTTGCCACCGAACCTTTGGTAGGTGAACTTGACTTTGCAGCATTTGACATCCAACTGTAAAATTAATTTTATTTTGTTAAATTACAAACAAAAGCTGAGATAGCAAAATAATATGATGAACATCAACCTCTATTTTTATGACCATATAAGAAAGAAGAATATTTATAAAATATTTATATTTGTTGTGCATGGAACATTGAATATTTTCAAATTGAGAAAGTTGAAAATAAAAACAGGGAAATGACTTTGCCACAGAACACTTGAATGTTTAGATATTTCACCCACCTATACATGCTTTGTTGTTGTTCATAGACCAATTCTTCTGCAGAAGTCATTTTTTGCGCTTGAGTACGAGTTGGAGTGATAGGTTTTGACGCTTGTCTATTAATTCCCGTAAAACCACTATCTGCTTGTACTTGATATGAAGGATGATCGATAACACCTGATCCAGAGGACATACCTTCTTCGATAGCACTCAATGATGTGAAAGTGTCTGAATATAACAGAAATTAGTTTGGATATAACAGCAGTTATTGCAAAGCAGATGGGATTCAATGTTTAAGATAATAGTGGTAGAAAAATATTTCAATTATAGGAAACACTGCCCACATTATTCTGTACAGCATACGCTATAACATGCTTTTTTGATTTTAATATTTTTTCACATCTAATCTGTTAAGAGATATCTCTGTTATTTTGTGGATATGGTCCAACTATAAATTCAAAACGAGCGTTATTCTGAAAACGTTAAACTTTAATTAGGCAAACATAATGAACTTTGACAGCCATTTAAAATAATGCCTTGTTATCAGTATTTTGAATGAAGTCTTTTACCCTAAAAAGGAGTCAATAATACACAACCTAGTTTGATATAAATCAGTAATGGAGAAATCACTTCAAAGTTTAGCGAGTGGTTGCCGGGGAGATGACAACAGTGAATCATCAACATTGAATACAAAAATAAGCGAGTCATTTACCTGATTTTGGAAAAGTAGTTTTAGATGTTTTTCTTGGTACAGCAGTAGGTTGTTGGCTTGCTGTTTCACCTGGGATTTCAATCTCAACAACTAGAGAAGGTCTGTGATATGTTACAGTGTCAGTAGGAGCCCTAAAATCGAAGAAAAAAAATGGATTGGCTATTAAATAAACATTCGAAGAGCATCTGTCATAAGATCATACAATACAATGTTTATTTTTAATTTAAAGATTATTACGAACATATCGTACATACAAATATCGCTGTAATTGTCTTTTGAATTCATTAGTAGTTGGTCAAGGAAGTAAATACTCAATGTTAAAATTAATCATAAGCTCGAAAATTAGTCGAAAATGTTTTACAGAATCAACCTATTAAAACCAACAAACAAATATTAAATTAAAGAAAAAAATTCCAAACAAATAATTCGAAAATTGAACAATTTATCAATATAATCATATATATCACACACCCTCCAATGTATTCTTTTATCTGTGAGAATTGCCCATTGAATTTCTTGGATGCACCATTATTGGGAAAGTTCTCCTGTAATGATGAACTTATAACACCATGATATTGACTAGTGAACTGACGAAGAAGAGCAGTTATTCCCTTTTTTAGAGTAGACAATGCTGGCAATGGATGCTGTTTGTCACCCGCTTGTGATGGCCCAATAGCAGAAAACACACTTTGCCTTCCCTCCTCGGTACTTAAAAATTTTTGAAGCTCATGACAGAGAAGAAAAGTTGCGTTTTTCCGCAGAAATCTAAACAATAAAATAAACAATATGAAATTTTATAGAGTTTGCTGAAAGTGAAGTAATATATGAACAATATTAGTTGTGTTTTGAAAAACACAACTTAATCTTTCATCTGGCATTGTTCCAAATTCTATCTTAAAGATTTTCTTTGAAGAATAGTAGTGTATTTTATATTTAATGTGATTCGATTTACCCATACATTAATATATAATTATTGACAATATGCCGTAAGATATTACACAAGTAAAAAGACAATGAAATATAGTACAAAGACTGAAAGAGAAAAATAGGTTGAGGGCTCATTATATTATACAAAAGAGCAATGATCAAATATATGAATGCAAATAACTAACCGCAGTAGCGGTAGCCCAAGCGACTTTCATTGAAATTCAATAACTGATCATTCAAAAGCTTCAATTCAAAGTTACAAATCAAGTATCACTGTCACAGCAATTCACACTAGTACAGATGAGGCCTTGCTTGAGCATGCGGTTTGTTGAAATGGCCAGGGTAAAGAATGCCAAATGGTGGCACAATATGAAAAAAAATGATAACATTGCGAGTGGAATATCCACAACCATGTCTTAGAAAAATTTGAAAAAAGCTAAACTTCTTTCTTCCCCAAGTACTGAATATTTGAGAGCGTATAGTCTGCGTATATTAAATTTCTGAGAAAATCGATTTTTCACAAAAACTTCACAAGAACAACAGCTATGTACTTTTTGTGTTTATTTCATATTAAAATTTAAGCCCTCACTTTGCCTTTGGTGTCAACACATCATATCTTAAATGCATCTGTTCCATTGGTTTCCCAAGATTTTCACGTCCGTTATTTAGTTGATTGAATGTCTCCGTAAGAACACATGCAGCAACAGCACAGTGACGAGTAAGTTTTTCTTCTTGATATCGATTAAGTGCTGTCAACATAACATCTGCAGGATCCAACCAACATGTAATACTTGCACTTACACAAGAAAGCAGATTCCATGATCTGACTGCTCGACTGTGAATATATGAAAATATATAAGAAAAAAACGCAACTATGTGTTATGCAAGTATTTCTTGATTTCAGGAATAATTTAGAATATTTTCATTTGAAAATTTGTCATCTTGAATTGATCTTCAGTGTCTCACCTAGAACTGGATACATTTTGAGCTGACGGAGCAGGAACGTTGATCCAGACTGATCCAATCAATAATTCACCTTGGCTTGCATGAAGACTGGTATCTTGTACAATCCATTCTCTCTCTTTTTCTAATAATCAAAATAAACAAATGTAGCTTTAGGAATTATATTTCTTATTTCAATGATCTTTTCAAATCAAATTTGACACAAATCGTGACTTGTACATAAGGTACCACCTCAATAATTTAGTTTGAAATTAGAAAAGTAATGAATGCGTCACTGTATATTGATCCCAGGTGATTTAGAACATGTTAGTTTCATGCACAGCATATCAACTTGAGCCGAGCATGCTGATTTTTAAAGTTTTTAAGGTTTCTATTGAAACGATGTGGGTGCTTTTCTAAAATCTAAATACAGAAATGATTCAGGGTAGGCAATGCTGAACCAGGAACCTTAAGATTCTCCCCAAAATTACTAGCTCATTGTACAGAGCATTGTTCTCAGCAAAAGTGCAAAAATGGGAATATAATAAACGTATATTCAATAAGAAAACTCACCACCAAGAGACTTGAAAGTTTCATCCATAAAATGAACGTGAATTGATTCATCAAAAGCAGAAGCACCATTGTTATCACCAACATTAACTGAATTGTTAGTAAAAAATAATTAAAAGCATACATTGTTCTGTTAACTCTATCTTTTATTTTTTAGAAAAAAGGAAAGACCATCTACAAGTGAATAACAAAGAAAATATTGTGGTGTTGGAATGCACATTCAACTGAAGAGGCCGTGTGATGAGTCTTTTTTCTACACCCATGCTGTTGGATTGTTATATTAAAATAACAACCAGAATAAAAATTAAATGACTGGTTCATAATTTTCAATGCAATTCTCCCACTGTCACAATAATATTAATCACAATTTGAAAGAAAATCCAAAATTCACTCGCTAAAATATGTCCATATATTATTATTTGCAGCTTCTATGATGCTATATTATAATATTAACATCAAAAAGTTAAGAATAAAAAAAAAGATTCGCGCATTGGCAGTGTTGAAAAAACTTCACCTTGAAAAGTTCAACCCATGGAGAATTACTCGTATGGAATATTCTAAATTGACCTTAATCCTGAGAGAAACCTCCATTTAGTTATCTGGCATGCTCAAATCAAAACAAATCTATTTTACCTGATGTGTCAACATTTCCTCCAATTCGTGTCATTGAAAAGATTTGACTTTCATTAGTAGTCGTTGACATTAGACCTCTTGTTCCACTGACAGGATGTTGTTTGATGATGTTAATACGAACTCTATCAATTCCAGCTTCAAACATGACCCAACCCCAGAATTTTGGGGGTCCTGAAGCCTGGAATCTACTGCTTTTATGTCTTTTCGTTGTTGATGATTCTGGGGATATTTCATTCTCTAAAAAGATTAAAGAATCGTGGCTTATTAATAGATAAACAAGATTGCACTTATTGTATATTGAAAAGATGTTTTCAGGCACAAAGTGCACACAGGTATCATTCACAAAATTTTCAGTTTCCTGCTTGGAGGCCATTCTTTTCATTTTTTCAAATTACCTCAAAAGCTATGAGAACCGATATATTTTAGTCAAAATTTTGATTCACCACAAACAATTGTAGAACGTAACTATTGAGTTGAATTCTAGCTCTTTCATTATTCATGAACAAATAAGTCGAAAACGGTTTATAAGAAAGATTTATGACAATTTAAAACTCATTTGTTACCTATTTCCGAGAGGTTTCTTACACAGAGCCGTATTTAGAGCAATTATATTAACATATAACAGATAACAGTTAGTTCCACAAGTTAAAAGTGTTAAAGTTTTCACACAATATTTGTTACTAAAAATACAAATGTTATACACAAGTATATTACCTTTCTTCCAATTCTCCAATGACTTCTTTATTTCAGGCAGTGCAGCATCAGGATCAAAAAGAAACGGAGCCTTGCATGATTTATCTGGCAAAGCAGTTATGGATGTCATGTCAGGTACAGATCCATCACATGTCATTGCACGCATTTGTATAGCAACAGACTTTGCAGTTGCTTTTGCATTCAGCAGAATAAGAAAATGCTTGTGTGTGGTCAGATCAGAAGATGTGCTCACTTTCTGGAATTAGAAAAGAACATATAGAATTATACATGAAAGTTTGAAAGTTCAGGTATTAAAAGAGAAGTAATTATTTGAGATAGACAGACTCTAAAATGCATTATGAGTGATAATCATTATTTTCCCAACCATTTAACCACTGGTCTAAGAGTCTCGTCCTGTACACTCTTTCTGATGAAAACTAGAGTTCTGATGAATCGTACCTGAATGATGATTACATGATTAAATTTTCCAGGATAATTATTTTCATCACTAAAAGCTTGCCAAAAAAGTCTGTTTTAATCATACGAAAGATTACAGAATTTGATTTATGCTTGTTTGACACAAACAAGATTTTAATAGGTAGTGTAACAATGGTCATGAGATCACACTACAACCGAAGCATCACATTTAGGGTGGTGACCAGTTGAAGCATTAAAATATGATTATGAATATTTGCATGAATAAAAAAAGACATGAACCTTGAAGGGCGGCGGTTCATTTCCTATTATTTTCTTATCACTAGCAGCAGATGATGATCTTGATACTTTTCTTAAACTTTCCATCAATAACCTGTTCTTTCTTCTACTGTTCAAATCTACAGAGATGAGAAGACTATCCAGCCTAGAAAAAAATAAAAAATGCAAAATAACCTCAAATACAGAACTTTAGGAAGACCAACAAGAAGCACTCATAAATACAGGGTGTTTAAATGACGTCCTGTTACAATTTTCAAATCAGGTCAGTTTTAATATATCTTAACAAGATTTGCTTTATTTTAATCAGTGTTTATTAAAGTTTCACTTCATTTAATACATCTTTATATGCCCATTGCCCAAAATTAGTTACATGAAGCACATTAAAGTTCTTTCACCTAATTCAATACAGAATTTTATAAACATCCTATATAGAAATATTAGTTGTTTTGCTGCCATATAATAATCTTTGATGAGATAAATCTTCTAATACTTAGACTATATTTGGCTAATGTTTCTACTTTGTAAATGTGTTATATTTCAGACGACATTATATATAAAGTCTCACAAATCTATTTAAAACTCCTGTTACCTGGTAGCTAGAACAGTGACACACGGTGTTGGTAATAACTTGCTTGAACGGAGACTGAATATTTTGTCATCACCCAATGTTGCTTGCAGTATATTTAACCTGACTTTATCCATTTTCACTGTTAGTTTTGTACCTGGAGGTGGTCGTGTTACTTTGTGTATCTCACTCACAGCCTTGCATAAATAAAAATAAAAATGATATACTTGAATGAATATGTGCAACGATTTTTATTAACATTACTGATAAAAATAAGTGTCTTTTCCGAATTCATCATTCCTATATCCTGGACTGAATTAATTTATTTCTAAATATATTTGAATGTCAAAGTTGACAACCTAATCTTTTCAAAGCCCACTTGCAGTATTTATTTCCAAACCAAATTTTTTTTTTCGGAAAATGGCGATCAGATAATGTTTTCACTTGGAAGTATATGAGGACGAATTTTGCATATTGTTTTAAAGGAATTATGGTTACCTATAACCGAAAAGAACAGACATCTGTTAAAAATGTATACAATCAACTTATATACATGACTAGATTGCTGCTTTTAGTATACATGAATGGAATGTTCCATATTCAAAAATGAATCAAAAAATGACAGAATCAAAAAGTATTGTAGTTACATTTTCTTCTTCTGTGCTAACCTCAGTTTTCTTCTGTCGTTTTAATGAAGGTCTACTTTTCTCTGCTTTCATGTCTAACACATCTTGGTCTGGATAAAAAATATAACAATGATTCCATAATAACCATAACAAAAAATTAGAGAATATTGTGATTGAATCTAATTTAATTAAAATTTATTTTTTCAGAAAAGTTCAACTACTATATTTAATAGTTGTCGGACAAAACCAGAACAACAAAGTACAGTATTCATATAATATAAAGTTTAGTAAAACTGTAAATTTATAATTTTATAGGAATATCTCATTATTTTGATAAAAACTATTTCTACTTCAATATTTAAAATCAAACTAGACTTCGTTTATGAAATGAATAGAATAGCAAATTCTCATACATATACGATATACACATTCATAGCAAAATAACACAAACTTTTCACATGGATATCAAGACAACACTCTATTTTTCAACCCTTATCACTTTTTCAACCAACAATGGATGACGCCAGTTTTTCATTTTCTTAATTTTTTGAAAAGTCGGGTCAAAATAATGGGATTAGCGACAAAATGCTAAGAAAGACTGTAAGAAGGATCAGGTATATTTGTTACCTTTGTCATTATTATCTTCATCTTCAGGTAGGTGTTCACCAATGTCATCAACACAATCAATTTCTAGCTGTGACACGACGGATAAAGGGTTCTCATTTTTAACCATCGGTGTAGCTGCATTCATTACTTTACCAATTGTATCAAGAAGAAATGGAGTCAGTTGAACATCTAATGATTCCTGAAAAATAAAGTTTTTATGAATTGATTTGAAATAATAGTAAAAATGAACAAAGAAAAAAGTACTGACAATCGTTAACATTCATGCTTAAAGCATCTGGTGATAAAATTGCAAAATTTGCACTAGTCCCATAAAAAACATAATTCAATAAGTAAATTATTGTTTTTGTTTGTTTTATCATAAAAATATTTTATTTTTCTTGCAAAATCCTTATTCATATTCAAATATGTGAAGTATATATTGAGAGATTACTGTACAAAACTGAAACATATTGCACTCAACTTGAATAGCAAACTATGTATAAATATGTTGCACCTACATTTGGAATTTGATTTTCAATATTCTAATTTGGAATATTATGCATCACCTATGGAAAATATTTTAGTAAAAATGCAATTTCAGTTATTCAAATTCTGAAATATCACACACCACAAATTCCATAATGCTAAAATTGTTTTGATATTTACGTCATAAACTCAGTTTTGACAAGTAAAAAACTTACCCGAAGATGAATAGACACATCGGTTGATTTTCCTGATGAATCCGAATTATCAAACGATAGTTCCCTTTGCGTGGGTTCTAATTTGTGTGAATGGCCATCTTCGTCATCAATTCCAGATTTATCGATGATGACTGATGGATGAAGACCATCTCGTATAACAGCAAAATCGGGAAGCAAAAAGGAATCTTCATTAAACCATCCATCGTCAATATCAGTCTCTTCCAAATTTAAAACTTTTGATTTGCGTCTAGGAGGTTGTAATTGCAGTATTGTTAAATGAGATCCGTAACAAGCTAATACTGTATCATGTTGACTTACAGATTGAACCGGAGATGAGTACGATTTTGACCTTTGTGTAGTTCCAGGAAGTTCAGCGCTATTTCCTGAACCGGGTGACAGTGAAAATGAATGTGTTACACTGGGTGTTTTTGTTGATGAAATAGGGATTTCGTTTGAGATAGATGTGGAAATATTTGAGGTTGTACCACTTAGTTCATTTTCAAGTATAAGAGTACCAGGTCGTTGTATTTGCTTGATGACATTTTCTGGAATGATATCACTTTGTATTGGTAGTCCAGCAGACGCTTGGGGTGAAGATAAAGTACTAGTGATGGTGTTATTACAACTTTCATTCACATCAGATTCAGCAGAATAAAATTCGTCTCCGACAGAAGAAAGTGAAGTCGTGCTTTTGAAATCAGATTCTGCTGATCTGTACAAGTTTGAATCACTCGACAATGCTCTTTTCATCGACTGCCGTGTAGTTTCAACATCTCGATCCACGTCCGTTTGTGAGGAACTTTTTCTCATTGCGCTGACTTTCTCTGGACTAGGTGCAAACGAGACTTGCTGCTGTACAATGGCAGTGGTATCAGAAGGAGCACCAAAGGTGGCAGAACGATTTTTTCGAAAAGCACTTGCTTTTTTAGCTTGTCCTGTCAATAGTATATCATCCTTGGATTCTAGAGCAACTAAGGTAGGCATATTTCCAGTACTAGAATTTATCTTATCCTGACGTCGTAAACTAGGTCTTAACTTCTGTTGTTGAACTGGTGACGTTTCAGAAACATCTTCTAAAATAGCTGTAGTAATAACTTCTGCGGCTGAAATTGGAACTGTTGGAAATAAACTTGTTACTTCATTAAAATTTTCTTGAACGATAGACTCTGATGAGCTTTCGCTTGATTTCTTAGTTAACGATGATAGCGTACGACTGCGACTCAGAAGACATTTTCCTTCGACAAGTAAACTCATCCCATAATCCATTTTTGGATCAAAAACGTCAGAATCTTTATCACAAGAATCTTCATCATCATCTTCAGAAGAACCGCTCCCTTCCTCTTCCTCTTTGACAAAGATTCTTCCGTTTTTGATTCTCGGCCCGTCATGAACAGTTGCTTGTTTTCTGGGAGGAGATTTTGTTGATTTGTAATAATAATATGTAGGATGCTTTGAAGTTAAAGGAGTAAAGAAACGACATCCCCATGATTGTAGAGCTCGTACCGATGATAAACCAGAAATCCCAGATGAATCAACTTCATCCATCATAGACTCCTATATTGAATAAAAGAAATAGAATATAAATGCAGGACCACATACAATCAGAGAAAACTGACAATCAAATCCTACTGCTGTCTTCTGGTTAAAATATTTGGCTCTGACTTGGAGCTGAGAAAATTATGACTCCAATCAAATTTTGTGTAATAATGAAAACAAGCTCAAGAACGAAAAATTAATCATATTGAGTTTTAGTAGAAATTTTCGAATTAATGTATCACCATTGTAAGTCTGCAATTTCAACTAGACTCTTAATTTTAATCAATTAAATTTAATTAGTTTAATTGAAATTAATTTCGGAGAATACAGAATTTCGACTGTGGTTAGGTTGAAAATAATTTGATTTAATAATAATTTAATTTTAATAATAATTTAATTTAATTAATTAAAATTAATTTCGGAGAATACAGAATTTCGACTGTGGTTAGGTTGAAAATACGACAAGGCTCAGACCCAAGTGAAAATAGGTGCTATATATCTTTCAATCAAAATAAAGAAAACAGCTCATATAAAAATGTTTAGAAAAAATTCGGATCCAAATAATTCATTATGACTGTACCATTTCCCAATTTCAAAATCATATTGTATGGTGATTTTATCTACCATAAAATCAAAAGTAAACAATAGATAAGAGCTCCAAACAATTTTAGTTATACCTGCCAAAGAAAATGAAGTCTCCTTGTTTTCTTGTCATGAAACTTAAGAAATTTATTTTGTCTTTCATACATTTCTCTTTCTGGCGTTGCAACTTGAATCATAGCATGTAATGAACCAAACCTAACCTCACCCGCTTCAACCCAAGTGTATTTTTCTGCCGAAGATGAATCTAAGAATTAGCAAAAAATAAAGTTATGAAAACCACCCAAAAGTTTGTGATTGGAATAAATTTTAACACAATTATTAATTGCAAAATTTTCTATGAACTTGAATTCCATTTTTTAGGTTCCCAAATAAAAATAGCCCTGTTTTTACCATAATAACCATAGTTTTGAATTGGGTCAAAGACATTGGTTAAAGTAAGATAAGCTGAAAATGAAAACTATTGACAATGTTATCATGAATTGTCTATTCGAATTGATTATAACCCGAGCAAAAGAAAACGGTCCATCAATATTACCAATAGAAAAGGCTTCTTTATTACTTCTATATACAGCGAAACTTCAAACATTTGAAAAATGAGTACTCCCGTAGTATGTGAACCAAGATGGCGGTCATCGGAACTTAGTATGTTCACAAGGTTAGGGTATGCCATAATTTTAGGTACAAATACTAGAGGAATCACTTGGCTAGTCCCCGAACTTGTAAGTAATAGAACTAAAATGAATAAAATTGGAATAAAATTATGGCCTAATCCTAACCTGGTACACATACTATGTTCAGGTGTCCGCCATCTTGGTTCACATGCTACGGGAGCGCCGGAAATGATTACATACATAACAATTTATTAATTACTACAACTGGGCGCCACAAGATTCTCAAAGAGCATTGGAGCAATCTATTCAAACACTCCTACTGCACAATATCAACAAGGAGAAAAAACAAAATTGTTCGATTCTTTAAATGTCAAACTTATATATTCACCATTCAAAGTAAGAGTTGACATTTTCTTTACTCTATGCTTGACGAAAACTTCTTGAACTCTGATAGAAGCTGCTTCTTTGACACCAGCATATTGTATGTTTCCATTCGATATTAAAATAGGTGAAACAGTGAGATCAAGTACAGAATCATGTTCTTCAACTCTCAATTTGATAGATTCGAGCTTGACTTGAGCCATCAGAAACTTGACGTCTTCTTCTGCAATCGGTTTTCCATCCTGGAAATTTATACGGATTAATAAGTCTGTTCTACAATTTTGCAAGGACTTGAGTGACAGTCTGGACCTCGAAAATATGCAAAATTATGATAGAGGGGAATTAGATTCGACTTTTTATTTAAATTTCCCATGTTATCTCTAAGTTAGTCCCGACATATACATAAATCTTCTGTGCATCCAGCCCTTAAGTAATTATTAGTAATAATTTGACATCTAAAATAGATTGTCTTGAATCCGTAAATGAAATTCTATAGATAGAATGTATATTCAACTGAATATATTTAATAATATAGAAATGACTGATAAAAATTAAGATCAAAATGAATACTGAATAGGGTCTTCATTCAGTGCCAATTGCCGAGAAATAGCCTGTGACTTGCCTGTTTCATCTCATCCCAGTTGATACCGGTAGGAAGATGTCTCTCAGGAAATGTTGGTTTCATCTCATGAATCTCATTTTTAAATAAAAATATAAATGATTGAATCCATTGAGTTAAGAGCTGGATCTGCAGAGAGGACAAAAAGTACAAATTTATTAAAATGACTAACACTTTGATGAAGCACAAATTATCTTACCTGTGGAATGGATAACTTTCCAGTTACTGGCCCAACTAATACTTCAGTAAGCCAACCATACTCAATAGTGACAGAACCCAGTGGAAGACCAGTCCCACTAAACATAGCATGACCCCGAAGTTGAAGATCCATTAATGTTAACCATCCTTTTCTTCCATCCATTTCCATTTTGTCATCAAAACTATTCATTGTCTGGTTTTCTTCAATAGTTATCGCAAGTTTTGACAAAAGGAGCTGAAGTTATTTGTAATGTGGATATGAGACAAGGTAAGAAAGCTTGACATAGTCAACATTTGAACGGCCTTGGTGCCTAATACGTCAAAGCGTAAATTAAGTTTGTTGGCCGTTGCATGGAAAAGAAATATTATGGCTCGAGCTGAGCCTGGAACCAAGACATTTATTTTGTTGGAGTTGAAGCCAAGTTTGTCATAAACTCATAATAGATGCAGCTATTGGAAATTTTGGCGGCTCCAGCTCCAACTATCTTACTATCTATTTTTAATTTTCTAATGCTCCATAAAAGTATTAAAATCTATCCAATAGGTTTTACAAAGGCAAAAGAAAATTACCTGTAACCTTGTTTGGTTATAATTCTTGTCCATTTCAAAACTCAGTTTTTTTAGTTGAACAACAGGACATGATTTAAACACAGGATTCATATGTACCGGGAGTATTCCACGAATATTGTGCAAATTTACATTCACAGTGACTTGAAGAGTTCTGTTATCGAGAAAGAATTTTCAATCTGACATAAAGGTTGTAGTCTTGTAGATATAACTTCCACAACAAAAAATTATTAGACACAAAGTGTTTGTTTTGTTGGATACTTGTTGTTACTGTTGGGATATTTGGGATTGCTGCTTTGACAAGAATGCTTTTTTCCTCATATATTGGAATAATCGACTTCAAATTTTAGTACTCAAATATATGAGTAGCTAAACTTATTTTAACTTAATTTTTTTTAAATATTCTCCGAGCCCTAATGGGAGCGATATTTCACCCAAATTTGTCCATTTGTTTCTGTGTCTACTGTGTCACCACAACTCATCGCCTTCATGTTAAACCCGGTTCTCATTTAGGGCATTACTAGTTGTCATGTGAATATTCTGGAAATGAAACTTGATTTTGATTCAAAGCATTCGAATAATCAGATAGCAAGTCATATAGGATACCGTTGTACTGCAATTATACATGGATGCTAAGTCCATATATGAGAATTGCTCTCTTGCAGGGGCGGACACTTTCCATAATTTTGGGGGGGGCGAACTTGGATCGCCTACCGAAAAACACCGCGTCGTGTATCGTCACGTAACAATAACCTGTCGATGTCATTCTCTAAGTATTAGAATGTCATTTTGCTACTTATATGACGAGTACCTAGGATGCTTCGCTTAGACACCTTCCATTGCCGTCTGCAACAAGCACCGTGATTACGCGCTCGGTAAAAGAGCCGCCTATTTAAGCGTATAATGATTTTTCTGTTGCGTAAAATATTCAATCCATGACAGCCACGAGATTCTAAAATGTCCTTATATATTAATTTAATTGTGTGCAACGTAACTCGCGGTTGCGACTTCTTAGGTCAAAATAAAAATAATACTAAACTAAAGTACCACGACGATATGTGGACATAAAAATATGAGATAAGCTGCCTGATGTATTTAATTTTGATACGTATTTTTGCAATCTTCCGAACTCGTTATCGTCGTTACAAAATTCTCGGTATCTGATATAAAATCCCATATAGCACAATTTTACTTCATATAATGAAAATAATTATAAAGTATACTAGTAAATCAAAAATACAAATTCACCGCCTCGAAATCCACGCGGAACAGTCGCCGCGATTACGCCACTTGTAAAAGAGCCGACTTTTTCAACGAAAAATGATTTTTCACTTGTGCAAAGTAATCAATCTATGACCGATACAGGCATATTCAAAATATCTTGATTTATTAATTTAATTGTCCTCAATTTAAACTGCGGTTGAGTCGACAAAACAAGAGCCACTCTAAAACACCACGGCAATCTGCGGGCATAAAAATGTGTGGTAAACTGCCTTTTTATATATTGTTTTGATCCGTATTTTGGCTATTTTGCAAATTCGATAAATTTGAGATGCGAAATTATTTTTGGGCGACCGGGGGGCAATATGTTCCAAACAAAAGTTTGGAAATATTTGACAACCATATATCATCACCTCCATCAACACTTGAATGAAGCCATTGTTCTGCCGAAACCAACAACTAACACTAACAGTCGTAACAGAGTATTTACAAAGAAGCATTTCATTCAGGTCAAACAGGAGAAAATCTCTCCAGCATATTGGAAAGCAATCAAGCATATTTACACAGCATATCTGTGAACCACGAACTGAACAATACACAAACCCATAGCCTGTCACTGAAGCAGCTTCTAAGTGCGGAACACACAATAATAAGGCATACAAAGCATGGCCCATGCTTGGTATCAATGTGATAAATATCACATTGATTTTACAATGGATACTTATGCTTCAACGAGTAGGAAAAACTAACCTATAATACAGTGGATCAGAATTTTGCTCAGGTAAAACTTTTGATTGAGATTCTTTCCGTTTCTGTTGACCTTGACTAAAATCTGTACAAACGTCATCCACACCAAGGTAATTTTCCTGTAAATTAAAAAAAATCAATTGACGGTAATTAAACTATATAAAAAGGAATTATTTACAAAAAATATCTCAAAAGTAAAAAACTAGTTTAAATTCGGCTGGTTCGCAAAAAATTTAATATAGTGACTTGAAAATCAGCATAAACCTGCATCTACTGATGTTGCCACAGTTACTGAAGAGCTTTTACATATAGTGAGTATTAGTCTATGACAATAATGCAATTGTTTAAAAATGAGAGCTATCAAAAAATATAAATGGTATTTGACAAACCCCGTACTCAAAAACTAGCCAATTTAGTGATAATTATTTAACTAAAAACAGGGCTACATTCACTCAAAAGCAGAATTGTTTTATCAGTCGAACACATGACGGAGTGAAAACATAATACAATCCATAAAATATTATTCGCATGATAACAGTGAATCACCATCTGATTCTGATTATGTCTGACCTATTTTACATTTAGAAGCAATAGTATGAGATAAGTATCGCTTACCTTTATTGCCAAAAAATGATGTAGCAATGAGCCATATAGGTAAAGTGTTGATCCTGGTTTCAAAGTGAAATCGACTCTTATTTCATCAGGATCGAGCGAAGTTGGGTCGAACATAACCGATGCTGTGGGTTTACTCTTGCTATGTGAAGCAGTATTATCACTCATATCTGACAATAAAGGTGTAGAATCCACCATGTCTGTAGATGCTGATTCATTTATGGATATTGACTTTTTGAAAGACATCTTTTTGGAAGTTTTAGTTGATTGTCGCTGCACTACTTTTTCAATTCTTTCTATTTCTTTATTGAGGTCTGAATTTCGGTTTCTGGGGTAATCGTCTCTGGGTGACGGCAGTATCGGATGCCAAGTGTATGAAATGTTGAGCCCCATCTCTGGTGCATCCCAACATTTTACCCACTCTTCATTGATGACACCCCATTGTGGACTTTTACGTAGTCTGTGAGAATTTTCATAATATTTGTTATAATCTACAGCAGGATATTGCACTTCAGAGCTGCTTTGTGTTGAAACATTTGCACCGTTATCTGACTTCTGAAAATTTGAAGAAATTTGACCTGAAAATATAAAAACTTTCTTCACCCTCTGAAAAATACATTATAAATAAATATGATTTTAGGGGGATATTCAGTATATTTCCATTTTAAAATTCAACTTTTTAAGCATTCAACATCTAGGAATCAAACAAAAAATAAATTCAATTTCTATTTTGCATAAAGTTCACCTCAGAATATATTATGTTAATATAATTAATCGTATATTATTACAGAATATACCTGTACTTGGAATAGTGGAATATTTTCAATTTTTTTGGCCTGAATGCATATCACATCCGTTTATTTGACAGCAAGCACATTTCTTACTAATAATGATATTCACCTGCGTCCCATGCATCCATTCCATTGTATAAGTTAAGTAGGAGGTTACGTGAAGGATTAGACAGTGGGATGAATAAACATAACTCAGCACGCATAACACGAAAATTAAACGGTATGCTGTACGTTGACGCAAGGAATGAATGAAATGGAAGAGTAAAATTAATCCTCAATGACTTTCCAGTTAGTCCAACCAATGCTGTAAAGAAAGCAAACTAGAAATAATTATATAGAAAAAAAATAAGTAAGCATGTGGCACAAACACGAGAGAAAAAATTGATTTGAATATAATGGGAAGTGAAGATCCCAAAATTGAATGCTATACTGAAAAAACATGCTGAGGTGCAATGTTCCTATTAGAGTTGGAAAAACTGACATTTGACTCTGAAATCCGATTCAGTATAGAAAAATTTTATTTCGTCCTGGCTTCAGGGATTGATGAAAATCTTTACTCCTACTAAAGCTCCAAATTACTGTGAAAATCAAATTCTGATAATAAAAAAATTTGGCACATGCAAGCCTTCTTTAAAAGACTGTGAAGAACGCTTAGTCGACTAAATTTTATCAAAAGACTAAAAATTTTGACTTCAAAAAATTCAAAATTTCTTTGACTCTGACTCAATAGTGCTTGTTCATACCTACGGTATATGTATGGCAATATCATATGCTGCAAACCATTTCGCAGTCGAGAATATATTGTATATAACATTTTCTATGAATCAGAACTGTTATAAATTTACCAATTTTAATGTCAACTTGGCATGACTTTGAAGAGTGAGTCGTGATTCAAAAAAAATTACCATCAAATATAAAAAAGTTTTGATGGTTATTACAAGTTCATTATCATTATGTATATTAAACAACCACCATACAATATATATAAATCGACTAAGCAGGCTGACTATTCGGACAATTTTGATGAGAACCAGTATTGTAGAACGCTTGCGAATAATCATTTGTTTTAGATTGGAAAGGACAGGAATACTGTTATAAATCCTGAATAGATTACACTCAAATTACTGTTTACATAAGAAATATGGCACACCCTATGCTTGAGATGTTCAAACAACTCAAAGAAATAATAAGTGTGATTCAGTGAAATTATCAGATAACGAGAATTCAAAAATCAAGATATCTCAAACAAATATTTAAATAATTGTTCAATAAATAGATTTAAAAATATGTGAATATCAGGAATTCAATGCAAAATGGCAAATTATAAAAAAAAACATTATCATTGATTTTAATCACATAAATTTCAAATACTTTCTTGCAAACTAATTCTTCAAGCATTCATAGTTAAGTATTGGATAGATATAAGTCTATATGCCAAGCAGACGAATAACAAATAAAATTGTTAATTATTCTAATGCCTTAAATTGCGATACAGTGACTTCTTACGGCCACAAATTATGTTAGGTCTCATGAACTTACCGTTTTCTTTTCTTTTGGAGGCGCAATCGACCCAATTATGTTCATTTGCTGGAAGAAGTAATTCAAAGTCTTGAAGATCAAAATTCAATTTCATTTTATATGGCGTAAAACTCATCAGATCAGGAGATTCTCTGTTAGACCAATCATCCATAAAATCAGCAATAAAATTTTTATGATCGAAAACAAGAGATGCAGATGCCTGGAATATAAAAAAAGGAACAAAGCAATTAAATCATCTACAAAAACTAAAATAACTACAGAACCCAACAGACTACTAATACTCAACTTTCAAAACAAAAAATATTTTAATCCAAAGCTTTTTTCAAAAACTCAGGTAATTGAGGCTTCACTACCTCAAGCTTGGTGCAGCACTGACCATATATACAGTTTCATACACTCTGGGCATTTCAGTAATTGCATGTAACTTTTCTTAGAGATGAGCCGCCTCTTCTTCTGAAGGAAAGTGTGCGCCTCTGCTTTGAGCAATTTCACTCGAAATAATTATTAGCAAGTTTTACCAGTCTTCTGTTGTGTTTAAACTTATATTAGACAAAATAAGATTCTGATCTTTGTTGCTAAAAACTCCCAACTTATTGATCATATCTTATTCGAGCATTCTTGTGACACAGGTCACATACAACACCAGCAGTACAAGAAACGTGGAACGCAGAATAGATAGGTAGCATGTCACACGTCCCTGTAACACAACTTCTAGCTACAATAAAATAAATATAACAAATTCCTAGTTTATACCAAATCGTCAACTTACTTTAGTAGCTTTTATATCACAGATCCACATTTGTTGAGAATTCCATACCGGTGGATAATTAGCACTGATATTGAAGCTTAACGTTTCAGCACTAATAAGAGGTCGGAATGACATACTTGTTGTTGCATCTGGATATATTAGTTGACCTATAAATAATATTTGAGTATGTCAGAAAATATACATCTTAATTTTTAAGATTTTTTCATGACCTTTACTATGAACAAGGCTCTGGAAAAGCAGTCACCGTTAGTTGAAAAGACTACACAAATTAATATACCCAGACATATTCAACCGGCAAACTCAAGATAGGTTAAGATGCAATGCTAGAATCACTAGGTCATAGTCATAGCATATAAAACCATGAAGAAACAAACTAAGAATTAGTTGCAATCAACAATAACAAAAATATTATTGCCCCTACCTGATACATTCGTTGTGAAACCATTTTCAGATACTGTCATTGGCACATTCATTTCAACACATGATCCCTGAATAAAAACATAGTAATTTAAATTAGAAAAGAATCCAAGTAATTACCGGTATGTCCCAATAGGAAAATATTGTAATATCAAAATATCAAATATTCAGCTACATATATATATATATATATATAAAGCTGAATAGTAGCTTGAATAAATATTTTTAAATATTTTCAAATAATTTTGAGTCATATGAGATCGGACATTTTACTTGAAATTTCCTGTTGAATTTCAATTGATAGAAATGCTATTTCTATTCAATCAGGTGTGACCACCTACATCATGGCAGTCCTTCGTTTCGCTTTTGCAAATTCGGTGTTCAGTCACATTCCTGAGTGCTTAGACTACCGGTATTGCGATTAGCTATTAGACCTTTGTACCCAAATATTTAGAGCATTGCTCTCTTGCTGTAACAATACTTGTTGTAAGGGTAACAATATTATATATTTATAAGGACATCATTACATACTTTCATTAAATTGATGTGTATCGCACTTGCTTCATCATTTTTCATAAATAACAAATCTATATCTGATTCATGAAGCAAGTTAATATAAAGACTGAAGCTTGGTGCCATCCGGATCTCTCCTTGTTTGCTTTCAGGTGTTATTTGTTGAGTCTTATAATCAAGAGGGTAGAAAAACCTCCATAGCTGATTGACTTGCCTGATAAAAAAATGGATAATAAATTGAGGCATTTAATAATAAGCTATATTGCAGGCATTCAATTGCATAATAGCTTGTTTGTTGCAGATTACCGTAATTGTAGTGTTACATGTAAGACTCAAAGAATAGATATTTGCAATACAATTTATTAAAAAGGTGTCATTTAGGTATACGAAAAAAAAAATTATGAAAACTTTCCTCTCATCAAAAATTGTTGTTTTCAGTTTAAAAAAATGATATGTTTTGGAACAATTGTCAATACTCCATGTTCATATTTGGAATCCCAGGCCACTATTTATCTTAATCCAATATCTCACACAGGATTATATTCATATTTTATACGAGGTATGGTTTTGCTCTGAACAAGGCCCTACACAACAGGCACTAAAGTTTTGAACAGAAGGACGGGAATGTTCCTGGTCCAGCATTGCCTACATTAAGGTTTCCCAAAACTTTTTAGGCCGCGGACTCCTATTTGTAAATCTCAGTTTTGAGGGACCCCCATCCTATGTTGTATCAATTCCTGTACCTAACCAACAAGTAAGGATAATGTTTCATTTACAACACAACAACACAAACGACATTAATAACATGATGGATGGAGTTGCTTTTTACTGCACGATTTAGCGATTCTCAAAGCAATTAGTGACAAGCAAACTCATAGATCAGACTCTACGGCATGTGTATCCCTGTATTTTGTCATCATATTGATAAGGGGTCAAAAAATGCTGCCTCACGCCTGTAGGTCGATGCAAAAAGCAATAAAATTTTAAATGCCTTTTCTGGTAACAAGGGATATTCGACCGCAACGCTCAACCAAAAATATGCAACGAAGTTTTGATTGGGATCAATCATTAAATATCGACCAAACTTTTTTTTATACCGTTGCGGACCCCCTGTGCAGTTGTCACGGACCCCTAAGGGTCTGCGAACCCCAGTTTGGGAAACCCTGGCCTACACAATTTATTAAACCACAAGAGATTGCAACTTGCAATGCCATCATATACACTAGGCCATCCTACAACACCCATACTAAGTCAATAAGTATTACCGGTCAGCCCATGGTCCATAATTCATAGTCAAACGTCTTTCACAACGAACTTCCAACTCCCAAACAGAATTGTCATCACTTGAATCCATGTCGCTACTTTTTGCCTCATATTTTGAGAATTTTGACTTGTCTATCGGTACTCCTGTTTTACCTGATAGATAACAGAGCATGATTTTAAATAGCAAATAAAGATAGTGTATCCACAAGTCTATTACATAATATCCATAAACTTCAAAAAAGTACCATATTTATTTGAGTATAACACGATGTATTACTTTTTGATTAAAAATTGGCATAAAATTTATTTTCACTTTTTCTCAGTTCAGAGTCAACTTCAGACCAATGACAACCCCTTGCGCCTACTTTGATACTGCAAGCGAACGCGTCTTTAATCAGCAAGGCGCCAGAAGAATGTTCCAAATAACAATCGCATAAGGAATAACAATTGCACAATTGTGTCTATCGGACAACAGCATGCTAAGCTATTTACAAAATCCGTACAGAATTTCATGCGTAATCCTTGAATAGATGCAGTATTTTGAACGTTAGGTGAAGTGATTAAGCCATTTTACCGGATTTTCTGACCGGGACATATTTTTGCGAATTTGAATCAACCCATATTCAAGAATTAAATTAATATAACGAGGGCTGTAAATTCATTTGCAATGGTGGTAAATGGTATGAAAGATCAAATTTTTCGGAAAATAAAACCTTTTCAGTTGTAAAGTTTCAGTGTGAAAAATGATGAATAATCAAATAATACATTCATTGTCGAAGCACGGTAAGACAAATAATGAGTAACTTATTGTATAAAATAAAAAGCTCAATATCTCAGAGATCTAATTTTCAAATATAAAATCAGCGGACTACGAAACACATGCTACGTTAAAAACTGATATCAACATGATATATGATTGTAAGTAATTGTAGCAGAAGTAGCATATCCTCGAAAAGAGGATAGACCCAATTATTGAATTACCTGGTTCATCCCACATGTATTTAAATGAAACAATGTTTGCATGAATCAAATCAAATCCTTCACTCATTGTTCGAGGAGGGGGATCATTTCCTAACACCTGCATGTTAGCAGGAAGTGCTGCAGGGTCATATTTTGAGCTTGGCACCAACATAACACGAAGGGAACCCATTGTCCCCTCTAATACATGCATGAAGAGATCATATTTATTGCTTGCTTTTGTCGTTTTGTATTGAGAGTTCGCATCCTCAAAAGCAACCACTAAAAATATACAATTTGGAAGGATATAAAATCAAAAAAGCAAAGAATTAACTTATTAGGTTGAGACCAGAGCTGTGAATTTTCAAATAAGTTTCATTCAATTGAGGCTCAGAGCCATTTCGAGAACCAGACTCTGTATCCTAGTTGATAAAAACTTTATACTCAAACTCTTGCATATGACTTCAGAATAGCAATGTTTTAAATGTATTTGTGACATCTATACTGCAAATGTAGATCGAACTTAAGAATACATGAATTCCATACCCAAAGTGATGGAGTTATCTTAAAAAAATAAAATACACCATAAAAAGCATGGTATGGTGGACAGAATAAAATCAAGAGTAGGCTATAGCCTATAGGACATAGAGTAGACGGTAATAAATAAAGAGATTAAGGTACTTTTAAAACAAGTATCGTCTTATGCTTAAACCTTGGCTTGCAACAAACCTTCTTATATGTGAATGTGAAGATATGCATCACAAGAAAAATACTTCGGTTTACATATAAGATTTTTCTTACCAAGGGTTGAAGGTAAGAGACGGTTACCAAAAATGACTTTTCCATAATAAATAGTAATTTTAATGACTGGAATTAAATTTCTCCACCAAGCAATTTTTTGTGACTGTGATTTCTTCCCATCTGATTTCTTTGGTGATTGCTTCGCATGTTCTTAATAAAAAGATAACAGAAATGGATGATTTAAAATGATTCAATTGCAAAGAACCCGACTATGTGTGATAATATTCAGAAAAAGCAATTTTTTCCAAGAAAATTTTCCCTAAGCAGAGTCACCTATATCCCTGCAGAGGTAAAGAGAGCACATCTCCGAAAAAGTTACATGTTACGGCCAAAATGCACGAACCACCTAAACTGTATAAATTTATGGTGATACATTATACACCAGCAAATGCTGATTGATGGGGGAGCTGAAGTAGATCAAGTAAATCATATGATCAGGAACACAGCTATATAGCATAAAAAACTGAACTAAAAAAAACTAAACATAAAACATGAAAAACATAAACATAAAAACAAACATGCTAAACATAAAAACTAAAACTAAAATCACTTGTTTTTGTGTTGAAAACGTTGGAATCCAAACCAAACAATTCTTCCAATCTTTGATAAACATCTGATCGGTTATATTCATGATATTCAAGCCCATAAATGTGAACACTCAATCTGGTATGACCTTGATTCAAATCTAGAAAAATACGACATTTTTAGATTAGCTGCTTTGCACTAGAATAGACAAAAAATTAGAATCAAAGCAAATCAGGAAATACATTGTCTAAAAAACACAAAAACATTTTGATGCATTTTATCATCACACAAATATTAACTTACCTCGCTTTTTTCTCCAGGGACTAAATTTATATGGTCTCCACCATCTAAATATGAAATATCCATCATGAATTCGTACAGATAAATCAGGTGTTATATATTGCACATCTCTAAACATCACTTTGCCCGACAACACAGAAAAGGAAAAAGATCCTAATTTGAAATGACCGTCTGTAATAAAAAAACAGCATGATGATACAAAGTGTATGTACGATATCATTAGGATAAAAAGTATACAATATGAGATAATGAGTGAGTGTAGCAGTATAAAGAGTGTCAATATAGAAAATATCTGAATGTAATAAAAAAGTTGACTTTCAAAACATGATGGTGATTAAATCATTTGACATTTATTCAATGTAATCTGGAGAGCTACTCTCTGAAGCATCTGAAAAAAATTGTGGTAAATATATACCAGTATATGATATGCGCTTTTATTAAATAAGAAACTTTGTTAATGGCACTTTACTGCCTGGCTAAATACCAGGCAATATTGAAAATGTTCGAAGAATTTTGTATAAACTTGGATGAAATACAAAAATACTCTCATATCCAGTCTACTTATTAAACACTACACATATAACATCCAGAATTTGGCCACTTCACAACTAATATGTCGCTCTTCAGTTTTCATTCTTCAATAAGTCAATATTTAATCCATAGTTCAAATACCTTATTAAATTTAGGGAGGTCATAATTAAGGAGGTAGTTTGATGATAATATTATTTGATGACCTTATTTTCACGACTTTGACAAAAAAGGTAATAAACTCAAAACCAAGGTTACGTACCTTTGATAAATTGATTCAAGAGTTTCGTCAATATAAATCCAATCAGTCTAGAGTTGTAATATGTAATATATATGATCCAAAGCATAGAAACAGCCACAACAAGAAACAGCTGAAGTAAAGATGAATTTGATTGCCTCAGACCCTTGTCAATGCATTCAAAATTAACAAGCACTTCATCGTCTGTACAATTATATCCAGATTTTTGATTTAGTTGACTCGATTCGTCGAATAACGTCCAAGTACTGGAGTCATTCATGTTTGGTAAGATTGTGCTTTGAGCACCACCAAACATAGGCATCGAAGTTAGTAGCAATATGATAAATGTCTCTATTCCTCGCAGAGACATTGTTGATCAATATGTCAATGCTAACTAAGTAAGCTGGGACGAACAAGTCTTACACCAGGTAATTTTATATGGTGTATAATATGGATTGAAGTCGATCAGTGAGATCAAAAATTTTCATTTTTAAACTTTTTTTATTTCTGATAAATTATTGTTGGTTAAAAAAATAGGCTGTATAAGGTTTAACAAAATCTAAAATTAAACAGTTGAAACATGTCTCATTTAACACAATACACTGATAATGATATCATAACTGAATAGGATTTTACATATTTATCCCAAGGAGAGGTGCGGACCTTTATTTTTAGAAAAAAATGAAAATTTGGGTTGTATTAATAGATCACATTTTGGTTTGGCGTTATTTGAGCACTTACAGCATTCATTTTCTACCAACATTTGTGTTCGTGGGTATTTAAGCAGTTATGGGGATTGCTTCACGAGTCCCAATACAGCAATACCGTGTATATACACAAATACTGAAATATCAGAATATTGAGCACCATTACCATTACTAAAAAGCCTTAGTGCACCATGTTTGCTGAAGAGATCGTCGAACAATTGACAACAACACACAGAATAAAAATGTGTTGGACATGAAAAAACAGCAAAATTAGGGGTAGATAGGCCGGGTCTAGTATAGTTTAGTACCACAGGTACTTCCAGTGGGCGTAGCATAACGAATTTTGCATATGTTATTCCTAACCGCCACCTGACTATGCCATCCAAAAATGACGTCACTGCGACGTCGCCATCACGTCATAGGTCTTGCCAAAGTATAATTACGATCGCCCGAAATGACATCTGCGCCGCCGATAACGAACTCGCTAAAGCCGGCGAACTCTCTCCTATCGTGATCGTTGTGACGAGAAAACGAGAGAGATAGCTTTCTCGATTTCGGGTGCTCGTCTGCGCGTTTTGGACGACCATTCGCATACTTTGGTGGGCATTATTACTCCACTGTGACGTCAAAATGACGTAATTTTTGGGTGACGTAGTCAGGTGAGGGTTAGGATTGACATATGCAAAAATTGTTGAGCCAGGCCAACTAGAAGTGCATGTGGTACTAAACTATACCAGACCCGATAGGCCTACATAGATAATTAAATGTCAGAAAGCTTACACTTGCAAAGACAAATTGACAGACTTATCGCTTCAACCTACTTTTGTATACCTGTAGTCTATATAGATGGGCAAATACTCAATTCAGAAGTTGGGCTAGCGCGTATCTGCATAACGGTTTGCTAATGCTGTTACTTTAACAACCTGTCATCAGAATAGCAGGATGGCATTTGCAGAGCTTGCAAAAACACAAGGCAGAATAAAACTATTATGAAGCTAGTAGCAGCCTTCATCTAATTTCACGCGGTGATGCGTAAAGTCTCTCTTTCGCACTAAGGGTCTTGTCAACTGAACTAGAAATACCGTATATAAATATACTGTATATACCAGGGATGGCGAACAACTGACCCGCGGGTCACAAAGTGACCCACCGCGTTTTATTCGTGACCCGCCAAGGCACGAATAAAATAAAATGCTGATATAACAGTGATAAAAATTGATCAAACCGGCCTTAAATTAATCTAACAATAACTGAACTATTATAATGTACCGTCAGTTTGGTAGCCAGGGCTGCGATCGCTCATACTCAAATAAATTGTTAATTTCGGGCCGGTATGGTAATTTTCACAACCCCATCATCTGGATGCCGTGTCTGCACTCTGCATCGCTGTATAACGTTATTCAGCTATTGGCTCTGAGATCGTTTATGACATAACAATGCAATTGCTCTGTTTATTTCTCGCGACATCTCGTCTCTTACGGAGGTCCATTTGCAGAATGTTTTAGGGGTTATACGAGAACCAGATGCTACTTTGCAGTTTATTAGTTTCTCGCCTACAATGCGGTTGAGAAAACAAAATCTTTCAGACTTGAAATAAAAACCTAGAAATCTGAAATACCAATGGGGCGGTACAAAATTCCCTAAAGTGGTTGAAAGCTGATCAAAAAATATAACACTATCAATATGGAATTCCCTCCAAACCCTTTGGAACCGTAAAATAATTTGCCGCATCATCCTAAACGTTTTCGTTAACTCATATGCGTGTTTTCGTACTCTATTTCATAAAATCGAGAGCCATAAAAAGTTCCTGATGGAAGTGCTGCATAAATAAAACCCAAAACTACACCAAGAGAAGAGAAGATTTGTTTCGAAAGTTTCCTATAGATATAAACATTGATTATATATCTGTGACCCACTCTATTATGTTCCGCGATAAAAATATCTTTTTTGACCCATTCATTGAAAAAGGTTCGCCATCCCTGGTATATACCAACGACTAACATACGGTATATTATATGTGGTATTCTCAACTGAGTGAAGAAAACGCGATCTGTAACGACATTGGAAATATTTTTAAAGATTAAATTACAGATATACATACGTTTACCACTTTTTTCATGGATACCGATGCCGGCAAGCCGATATTTCAATTAGCCGATTTTCCAATGATTTATAAATACTGTACCCTCATCACATATATACCGTGTTTTCCCGAAAATAAAACATACCCTGAAAATAAGACCTAGCCTAAATTTTAAAAATGATTTTAATATTAGCCTTCCCCTTTAAATGGACCTTTTCCCGAGCATCGACTTCCTTGTTTACTCCGTGATATTGGCCAATCAACAAGATGCAAAAAGTGACGTAACAATGTTCCCTTTTCGCATTCGCTCAGACACTTTTCTCACTCAGACAGATTTTCAAGCGTGGTCGTAAACATTACCTCGTTTTCGCGTTATAGAACTCTATTCGTTAGTTTTCGGTTGTGTTTCGGAAACTTGAATGTAAATCAGATAATTCAATGATCACTATGTCTTCCTAGGAGTTTTTATTAAATTGCAGTAGTAAAAATTAGTGTAGAAATAGCTGTGATAGACTAGGCTAAAATTCTTTACCGGTACTTTCGGAAAAGCAGATTGTTGTATGCGATGAATCATAATGACGATTTGAAACACATAATTATTTCTCAGGCGCTAAATCGCAAAAGCACTTTTAAAATAGCCACGAAAATTTTGCAATGGTAAAGTATAGGAAGAATTTTTCGGGGGTCAAAGGTCGGGGAAAGGTCCATTAGATTGGACCTTTCCCCAACCTTTGACCCCCGGAAAATTCTTCCTATACTTTACCATTGCAAAATTTTCGGGGCTATTTTAAGAGTGCTTTTGCGAGTTGGTGCCTGTAAAATGGGGTATGTGTTTTTAACCCTCTTTATAATTCATCGCATACAACAATCTGTTTTTTCAAAGTACCGGTAAAGAATTTCAGGCTAGTTTATCACAGCTATTTCTACACTAATTTTTATTACTGCAATTAAATTAAAACTCCTAGGAAGACAGAGTGATCATTGAATTATCTGATTTATATTCAAGTTTCCGAAACCTATCTAAAAACTAACGAATAGAGTTCAAAAACGCGAAAACGAGGTAATGTTTACAACCACGATTGAAAATCTGTCTGAGTGAGAAAAGTGTCTGAGCGGATGCGAAAAGGGGGCATTGTTACGTCACTTTTTACATCTTGCTGATTGGCCAATGTCACGAAGTAAACAAGGAAGTCGATGCTCGGGGAAAGGTCCATAGCGCGAACTTTTTTGACCTAGTCGATATCAAGAAATCTCTCCTACACTTTTAAATGAATAATCTAAAATCAGGGTGCGCAATTGCTTTCCTGAGTAGGCAGGATGCGCGTAATAGACTTGATTACTGGGCCGGATGATCAAAACTCAAATAAATAGACACAATTGTTAACGGTACGTTATTACAGAGGATGCAAATACGGCAGTTGCATAGAGCAAATTGATAGAATAAGAAGCTCAACAGATAGGCTAACTCGGTATGTTAGTCGTTGGGCTAACTGCAGTGGTTCCCAACCTTTTTTTATGTCGCGGCACACTATTGAGCTATTTAAATATTCGCGGCACACCTATCACAAGCAGGAACATTTCCTACTCTTGAAGCCATTTAGCTATAAAATAATAAAAAGAGGAGAAGATCAGATAAGGGAAATTCTATCCTTGTTAATATAACATATCCTGTATTTGACATGGATGGTTAACAGTTACCGATATTATAACTGTTTTCTTACATTAATGTACACAAGACCCACCTTCGGAGCACCTCACATTATTGTAAAAGATGCGCGGCCTCATGGGTAATACGTGACGCGAATACGCTTTGGTTTTTTTCGCCCTTAACCTGGATGTTTCCTTATTATTATCACAGGTATTCTCACTTTCGCACAACATACCTCATTTTTGATACAATTCAATGTTTCTCCCATTGCCAAAATCATTCAACGGTGTAATTGTCGGACTAGCGGAAGAAATGAAAGAGACAAACAAACCGTATTTCATTACAACAATTAATTATTATCGCTAAAAACACTAAATAGGTTTAAAGTTGTTATAAACAATTTTCACCGATGAACGATTTTTTTCACGTTATGATTTTCGTGCAAGGCCCAAGCATGATTTGATGGCAAAGATCGTAGCATTTACAATGTCGAAACTCTTATTCGACTTTCCAGACCGCAGAAACTATCCGAAAAATAACCGTTTCTGTGTTCGAGATATGAAATAATCGTCAATTCCACCACGCTTTCGTGAAGTAGTGCAATTTACTAAATTCAATGAAGGTTTATTAGTAAGTTTCATTGCATCAGTATTTGTGCTACCACTCGTTTCGCATGATTACGGATCGCAAGGATGGGCAAATCATAATATTTTCATCGAATCGAATAATTCGAATATTTTTACCGAATTGTCGAATATCGGATATTTTTAATACAAATCATGCGCGTACAAGTGTCTGAGTAAAAAAGTGTCTGGTCTGCTGGATAAATTCCAATTGTTACGTGACGACGAACTTTATGAAAATATGCCATTTTTAGGGGAAAATACAACTCGGGGAAAGCTTATGCTGACGTGTTGTAAATGTAATAAATTTTCACGAATTAGTTGCGTTCAGGTTGTTACGATCCTTGCCCTGTATATTTCAAAACATCAACTGTCAGCCTAAGATTGATACATGATTTCTCACCTCTCCATCACTTCATTTCTTTCAACTCCTGCATAACTTATCATTGCTGCCCATATTGGTGTCGACTTTATGAATTTAGACAAAC